CTGCTGTGGAAGGAAGCGGCTCAGCAGCTGCTCTGAAGTGGGGCGTGAGGCCAGACAGGACAGAGTGCGAGGGAACCGAGGGCCCTCTCGGGTTCTAGGCCTTAACCCGGGGCAGGTAAAGGGGTATCATCCACAGCTCATCAACGTATCTTTAAACCACTCACAAGAATGGTAGGTGGGGTAGGCGGGGTTGGCCAGGTGTGCACTGGGGCTGTCATGTGAGTCCAGGGACCTCAGGAGACCTCTGTGGGTTGAGCGTGATGGGGTCAAATTTCAGTGGAGTGTGTGCTGACGGGGCGTGAGGAGGGTCAGGGGGCTGACTCTGCGTGGCACACAGCCAGACCCAGGGCTACCACAGTGAGCTGAGAGGAGAGGCGGTCCCTTGGCTGGGTCAGTGGCCATGGTGGGCTCCCATCCACCTGCAGGGCTCCCTGCCATGGCACCTGTGCATCCTGCTCTGGGAGCTGCCCACACGAGCTGCGGAGCACAGGGAAGGACGCGCTGTCCCCAGTGCTCCCTGGGGCACCTGCAGAACCATCCTGGTGTCTAGTCAGTGCAGGTCTGCACCGCCACAGGGTCCGGCCCATTGGCCTTGTCCACGTGGCTTCCTGAAACTGTTCCCGTCCGGGTCTCCACCTCATAGGAGCGGGGAGCCTGGGCTGAGGTCTGCGGGGCTGGCCAGGGCTGCTAGTAGAAGCAGGATTAGTGGCTGGCGGGTGCGGGCGGGTACTGGTGGGCCCCACGAGATGCAGCAGCTCGGAACATGCGTGGAGCAGGGTCTGAGAGTTCCCTGAGTTTGAGCAGACCTGAGCCTGGGGCCTGTGAACACGTGTGTGTGTGCGTGTGCGCGCTCACACACACACAGATCCAGGGAAAGGGCCTTGTCAGACTGAGCAAGCTCCAGTTAGAGACAACCCTGTTTCTTGAACTCTGACCCCAGCCCCCACCCCGACTAACCTCCCAGGCCCTGCTGAGCTCCGGCCCTGCCCCTTCACTCCACCCCAGTTCCCATCAGTCCATGTCTTCCTGCACCATCCACGGCTCTACAGCCCGTCAGTCTCGTGGTGCTTGCTGCTTCTGCCCCAGTCTAGGGACCTGAGCTGGTCATTCCAGTTCAGTGCTTGACAGACCTCCCCGGGGCCTGAAGCCTGGCGCTGGCCCTCCTGGCCATGATTTCCTGACCTGTAGAGCATGGGGTTGGGGCTGGGGGTGCAGAAGCAGGAACCCTGATGAGCTGGTGGAGGCCACCGAGGTCTCTGCTGCCCAGGTCCCAGCCCATCTGGAACAGCTGCATGGCCCAGGTATTGATCAGCTCCTCAGCAGGCAAGGTCCCTGGGCTTGGCCCCAGTAGGAGCAGTCAGGGTGGTGGCTCTGCCCTCTTGGCTCCAGCTCACATGAGCCAGCAGTCCTACCTCTGCCAGCAGGGCCCTTCCCCAGGCTACCTCAGCAAGTGTGTGCTTCTGTGTGTGCATGCATGTATGTTTGCACACGTTCACTGTCTAGTGTATCTGTGTGTATGCACGTGTGTGGATGTGTGTGTCTATGTGTAACCCACAGGGTGTGTGTCTGCATGTGCACATGCACATCTGTTTTTATGTGTATGTGCGTGGATATGCACACCTGTAAATTGTGCTTGTGTGCCATACACGTGTGTGCCTTTGTGCATGTGCATGTATGGGGAAGCCATATGACCCCCGCCATTCCACAGCTGGCCTGCACCTGCCCTCCTCTGGCAGCAAGGGGCCACCCTGTTTGCTGGAGTCTCCTGGCTCCCTTGGCCCCCGGTTCCCTTCTCCAGCTGCTTCCCCTACCCTTGAGCTCAGAGACCACTTGTCCCCAAGACCCTGGAGAAGCCCCATTCTGCACTGCTGCAGCCACGTACAAGTCCCACCACTGCCCAGCCACTTGAGGATCTGCAGCAGAGGGTGTGGCTGTCTGTGTTATTTCATGTTTTATTGTGGAAACTTCCAGCGTGCACAGACGCAGAGGCAGGCGGAGTCCACATGCCTGCCCCCTGTCGTTGGCAAGGATCAGACCACTCCCTCCCCACTCTCTATCTGTGGCCCAGAACACTTTGAAACACATGCCAGACATCATATTGTTCTACCTACAAAAACCCCAGCGTGAAGCCAAGATAAGGACTTTGACAAATGCAGGTCCCCGGACGATTCCCACACCCTCGCCAGAGCCGTCGGCAGGCACGCACTCTTGAGGTCCCCACTGTCTGGCTGGTTTCCTGAAAAGCCACGGGCTGCGGGGTAAGAGATGGGGCCTAACTCCTGTCTTCATTTCAAAAAGTAATTTCCTTGATTGAACTGGAACCAGAGGAGTCTGACCCGGGTCAGAACCCTACTTGCGATTTCAGCCCAAGCACTGGGTCTGCCAAGTGCTTGCCAGCCCCCTGGGCAGCTGCCTCCCCACTGCAGGCAGGTGACTGCCCGCCTCCTCATGGTGAGACCATCTGCTCTGGCCTGTTGTCATCTCAAGGAAAACCAGAACACTGCGGTGACGGCACCTCTTTCTTCTCACGTAGGCTGTGCCTGAGGCCTGTCAATCTCCCTTCACTCTCCTGTCAGATTCGGGTGTGACTTCGGTTTCTCTCTCCATTTTTGTTTTTAAACTGGGGATTGAACCAGAGACACGTAACCACTGAGCCACGTCCCCAATCCTTTTTAATATTTTATTTAGAGACAGGGTCTCATTGAGTTGCTGAGGCTGGCTTTGAACTCATGATCCTCCTGCCTCAGCCTCCCGAGCCACTGGGATTACTTGCTTCTTGGCAAGACCATGGCATAAGTGGCATGCCCTTCCACCAGGAGCCACTGGATGACCATGACTGACAGCCTCTAAGAGGACCTGCAATGATCCCTGCCCCTGGTTTTTGTTTTTTTTTGTTTGTTTGTTTGTTGTTTTTTTTTTTTTTTTTTGTACCAGGGATTGAACTCAGGGGCATTCAACCACTGAGCCACATCCCCAGCCCCCTGCCCACTTTGAGGGGATGGACTTACCAGACCACTTATAAATAGAATACACGGTGAGAAAATAAAGGCCACTTGGTACTTCTGAGGTTGAATTGGGGAGAGTGGCATCTGTCACTCACTGAGGGAGTGAGTGACCACAGAGCTGACCTCTGAGGGACCAAGTGGCAGGGAGCTAAGAGCAGCCTCTGGACAAGAGCCAGGGAGACTGGAGGTCCTCTGTCCAGCTGGCCATCAGGGGCAGAGCCGGGGTGATCTGGAAGCAGGTCCTCCTAGCTGAGCCTTGGCCAACAGCTGGGGCAGAGGTGGGAGGCCAGGCCCCTGGCCCACAGAGACTGGGAGCTGACCCCTGCTTGTTTCGGGGTGATCTTTGTGAGCAACAGTAACAGACAATGCACAGCTGATGCAGCCGATGACCGTTCCACGCGGTGGACAGGACAGCACACCCTCATTCTCTCTTCCTTCTCCCACTGGCCGCTGAAGCTCATGGGAAAGAGGTTCAGACTGTGTGGTCACAGCAGGGGATAGTTTACACAGGAAAGCTGGATGAGGTCCGGATCCTTTCCTTTATTTACAAGCTTCTGACCATGAGCAGCTTCCCTAGCGAGCGTCTTGCACGGATCCGTGAATCCAGACGCCTTTGCTTTCCAGTGCATTAAGTATCCCTGCCAATATCCATGTCGCCCCCTTTCCAGTGACAGTTACTCGAGTGGACGCTGAGTCCCTGTGGTGTGGCCTCACGGTCTGGATGGCCATCCTGTTCCTCAGAGGAAGAGGCGTTCCAGGCCCCTTCCCACTCCCCCTGCCCCACCTCACAGCTCCTCTGAGGAGCCCTCTCCCTGTCCAGGACAGCCAGCAGGTAGACGTGGCCTGGACACCAGGGCAGCCTCTTGACTGTGTGAGTCACTGTGCCTTATGTTGCATCTGGACCACCCCAGATCCAAGGCTGGTCCCGGCGCAGCCGTGTGAGAGGCAGTTCCTGGGAAGCGCCTGACCTCAAGGTCCTGACCTGCCCACTGATGGAGTCGCAATTGGATGGCATGGTTGGGAGGTGGACACTGTGGGGTGGAACCTGGTTAGAGGAAGTGGGTTATTGGGGGCATGACCTTGCGGCTGCATCCTGTCCCCGTGCCTTCCTCCACCCACTGCTTCCTGGCTGCCATGACCTGAGCAGAGCCCTCCGCCCTCCCCTCCACGACCTACGCTCCCCTCAGACCCAAAGCCTCGAGGGAGTGGGCAGCCATGGCAGGACCTCCGAAACAGGAGACAAGCAAGCGCTCTCCTCCTGTAAGGAGTTTTCCCAGGGATTCTGTCACAGCGATGCAGGACGGACCATCACATGGTGGGTCTCGTTAGTGGACAGAACCGAGTCACTCTCCGAAGATACGACGCATTGTGAGCACAAACCAACACTTTCCACTCAAACCCAGAAGCACGGTTCCTTCTTGACCGGACCAGCAGCACCTCGGTGCCACCTCAGCCCATAGGCCACGCCCACAGCAGTGCCAAGTGCCCTGCCCACCCACACAGCCCGGAATCCGCTCTGCTGTCCACAGCAGGCTCACTGAGAAGGGCTTCAGGGTGGCCAGCGTCTTTTCAGGGACATTGGGTTTCGTCGCTATAGGGACAAAACAGTGCCTTAGACTTCCCTGGAAAACCATCGTTGAAAGCTGGACAGTGATCGTGTGGTCTGCAGGGGGCCGGGCCGCGCGTGGCCAGAGGACTGGTCTGCGGGAGGCCGGGGCTACCTCGCCACCCCACGTGCAGGTCCTTGGCTTCCATATGCTTCGGATGCTAACGGTTCCTCTTCAGACTTAGTTGGATCTGGTGATCGCACAAATATTTACACGATTGCGAAGCCAGACCCACAAACCCAGGCCCGGGCTCCAGGCCTCCATCCCTCCCGGCCGCCCACTTGCAGTCTCCGACCTGGGACGCCGTCTGCCTCACCCACAGCCGCTGGCTCTCCCACAGCCGCAGTCTCCATGCATGCGCCTGGCTGGGTGCCCTGGGCATGGCCCGGGAAGCCTGTGGCAGGTGGACGCCCTCCCCACCCCGGGCACTGGGGTGCAAGCCCTGTCCCCCCACTGTCTGCTAGACTCAGGGCGTAGGGCAGGGACTTGGAGGGCCTCAGATGTCCTTGAGCAGTGCCAGAGGAGGCTTCTCTCTGAGGGCCCATCCAAGGGACAGAGGCCAGGACCCTGGTGACAGGGACCCTGTGACCGCGAGAGCCTGTCTTCCCACCCCGCCCCTCCACACCCTCTCCTGTGAACCGTCGGTTCCCACGACTGTCAATCAACCCCATCTTGCCCAGCCTCAGAGGCTGTGTCCGGGCTGGTGGCTCCGGGCAGGGAGGGACGGCCAGAACCCAGTACCGTTTCCAAGGGTTGAGGACCACCTGCCTGAGAGTCCTGGCACGGGACAGACGCGCCACCCCAGGCCACCCCAGGCAGCCGGCCTGGAGCCAGCGAGGGCAGAGGCCACTGTCCTGGTAAGGAGCAGCCAGTCCCTCACAGATTCGCTGGGGCTTCTGCTGCCCAGACTTCAGCTGCTGGGTGGTCACGGTTTGTCTGAAGCAGGGCAAAGTGGCGGCCACTCTCTCCCCGCCAGACAGAGCTGGCCTTCGAGCTTCTGCCCAGCAGGCCGCGGGGCCCTTCAGGCTCTGGAGCAGGGGAATGGCCCTGGAGAGGGGCTCCCGGGGTGGGTGTTCTCTCCTGGGAAAGGACCTTGTGGCCAGGGTGGGTGGCTGGCAGTTGCAGGGCCGTGGGAGGCGTCCTTCCCAGGATGGGGCTGGCTGGGGCCCAGCGGCCAGCCTTCCAGTCAGAGAAAGCCTCAGCCTCGAAAGAGGAAGGAGGCTGGGGGTGGGGAGCAGCCGGAGGCAGGGAGAGCTCCGCCAGGCAGCAGCCAGGCGAGGCCACGCCTGGGAGGCCACAGGAGCCGGCCACAGGAGCTGTCCAGGGGTGAGTGAGCTCTGGTGAGGGCCAGAGTCAGGGGTCCGGCCTGCCCGCACCTGCCCTCAGTGGGGCCGTCCTGCTACAAGCTGCGGCCTCCGAGGGCGGGGACAGCACACCTCTGGTGAATAGAACTCTGTGCAGGGCCAGAGGCCTGGGAGGCCCCAGAGGGTGGAGGCTGTCTCTGTCTTGGGACAGAGGCCTGGCCTTCACTGCAGGAGGCTGAGTCCACAGGGCTCCTGGGAAAGGGGGCACCAGGGGAGGGAAGGCCATTGTGTACCCACAACCCCAGGCCCCTGGCTCCCTCAGGACCCCTCAGCTCCCCCTCAGATCCCCTCTCAGGACCCCCTAAAGACGCCCTCAGCTCCCCTCAGGACCCCTCAGCTCCCCCTCAGGACCCCCTCAGCTCCCCCTCAGGACTCCCTCAGGACCCCCTTATCTCCCCCCCAACTCCCCCTCAAGACCCCCTCAGGACTCCTCAGCTCCCCCTCAGCTCCTCTTCAGGACCCCCCATCTCCCTCCCAGGACCCCCTCAGGATACCCCCAGGACCCCCTCAGCTCCCCCTCAGGACCCCCTTGGCTCCCCCTCAGGACCCTCCCAGCTCCCCCTCATCTCCCCCTCAGGACCCTCCCAGCTCCCCCCATCTCCCTCCCAGGACCCCCTCAGCTCACCCTCATCTCCCCCTCAGGACCCCCTCAGGACCCTCCCAGCTCCCCCCATCTCCCTCCCAGGACCCCCTCAGGATACCCCCAGGACCCCCTCAGCTCCCCCTCAGGACCCCCTTGGCTCCCCCTCAGGACCCTCCCAGCTCCCCCTCATCTCCCCCTCAGGACTCCTCAGCTCCCCCTCAGCTCCTCTTCAGGACCCCCCATCTCCCTCCCAGGACCCCCTCAGGATACCCCCAGGACCCCCTCATCTCCCCCTCAGGACCCTCCCATCTCCCCCCAGCTCCCCCTCATCTCCCCCTCGGGACCCCCTCAGCTCCCCCTCATCTCCCCCTCAGGACCCCCTTGGCTCCCCCTCAGGACCCCATCAGCTCACCCTCAGGACACCCTCAGGACCCTCCCATCTCCCCTCAGGACCCCCTCAGGGTCCCCTCAGCTCCCCTCAGGACCCCCTTGTTTCCCCTCAGCTCCCCGCAGGACCCCCTCAGTGTCCCCTCAGGATGTCCTTAGCTGCCCCTCTGGGCCCCCTCTGTGTGTCCTCGAACTCCCAGGATCCTTTCAGGATCTTCTCAGGACCCCCTCAAGACCCTGCAGTCCCCACAGTGTCTCTTGCTACCGGTGGTGGCCTGTCCTCCTGCCACGGCTCTCTGGAGGTGGAAGCCTGCCAGGGGAGGCTCATGGCTGGCCGGGCCTGGGCGCCTGCAGTCAGCTCAGGTGCCCGCGAGACGGCGGGCTGCGGGGCGCACCTGGTCCCACGGCTGGGGCTGGGGCAGAGGGAGCCAGAGCTGCCCAGGGCAGAGCACGTCCCCCCGCCTGGGCCCAGGAGCCCTTCAGAGGACCACGGGGCTCTGCTGGAACAGGGTGGCCCGGGTGGCACGGTGCTCGGGTCAAGGCAGAGGCTGAGCCAGACCTGCAGGCTCAGTGGTTTCTGGGAGTGCCAAGGTGGGAGGGAGGGAGTGGGCCAGGGGTGGGCAGGGGCCTCACGTCCTTCCTTTGCCATTTGCTGTGGCCTGCTGGCATGGCCATCTGGGGCCAGTGCAAATGGAAAACCAGTGCGTGGTGTTGCGACCACACCAGGGTGGCCAGTGGGAGCGGGCAGCCGGCCTGTGGCAGCTGAACTTGCCATCACACAGAGAGAGCATGGCGCCGTCGGCCAAGGGTCTCAAGCCACAGAATGACCCCTGTCCAGGGGCAGATGATAGAGAAATGGCCACTGGCCACTCAGTCCCCTTCTCCCTACCTCCACGCAGAGGAGGCCTTGGCCTTCCTGGCCACGGCCACCCAAACCTCTCCTGCAGCAAGTCCCCTCTGCCAGGGCCTTAGAGGGTGGAGCACCTGGGGCCTACAGAGTGCATGAAGGTGGCCCTCATGCAATGGATCCCAGGTCACATGGGAAGCCCTGGGTGTGGCCACCAAGGGACTTGGCACACGGCAAGTCTCAGGGTGAGGTAGCTTCTGGTCCTGCAGTGGCCCGCTGCTGCCTCTCCTGCCTGTCCCCCACTGGGGCCACCTGTCTGCTGTGCATCTGAGGCTTTGTCCTCCAGACCCTCCACACACTCATCCCCTGTTTGCAGAATTTCATTGAATTATGGAGAATTTCAAATCCACCCCAAAGAAGAGAGCAGGGGAGAGACCACTGGGTGGCCACAGGGCCCTGCTCAGCCCAGCACGTGCAGGAGGTGCCATCCTTCTGGGCCTCAGGGGGCCTTCCCCAGGTGGCTCCTTGGCATTCAGGCGAGGCCCACCAGGCAGCTCAGAGGCTGGAGGACAGAGTGGCCTGGTTGACAACCAGCCAGGAGAGGGACTCAGCCTGGGGAACACCCAGCTGGCCCAGCTGGCCCCAAGGGATGATGTGGGGGATGGACAGCAGAGGTCAGGAGGCGTCACCAAGAGCAGGGCACCTCTAAGGGGTTGGGTCCAGGGTGGGAGGGAGGGAGGGGGCCAGGGGTGGGCAGGGGCCTCTTTGCCCTCCTGGAGGAGAGAAGGGGTAGGGTCTGAGTGCTGGGGCACCCTGACCAGCAGAAGCGGGAGTTGGGGTGCTGAGGTGGGTGCAGGAGCCTCCCCCGTGCCCCTGGCTCTCCTGTGAGGGGCCGTGTCCTGCAGGAGCCAAGGGAGGAGTGGAGGGGAGGAGAGAAGCTGAGCCAGAGGGTGTGGACAGGGCGCCCAGCCCCGGCCCCCGGGCTGCTGTCCCACCCCGCAGCACAGTGACATCATGGGCAGGGAGAGGGCCCCAGGGCTGGGGTGTTTCCCAGACCGAGTTCTGCAAAGAGGGGAACAGAAAGCGCTGACACAGACCTGGAGCCGGCCCACAGCCCCTCTCCCTCCGGCTCTCCTGGAGGCCACGGTGCTGAGCCCAGTCTCCCGGGCAGGGCCACTCCAAGGTGGTTCAAGGCAGCACTAAGGGCTCCCAAGCCAACAGCCGTCGAGGTAAAATAACGCTGATCCTGCTGGATCCTGACCGGCTCCAAAACCACGGGACAAGATGGAAAAGGGGGAGGAATTCAGTGGCCGTTTGGCCCAAACTATGAAGGCAACGGATCTGGATGGAAAGCCGGACGGGTCAGCTCCAGGGTGCAGGCTTAGGTGGCCCCGGGGCTTTGGGAAGGCAGTTCCTGTTTTCACTCACCTCGAGCCGTGCTCTAGGGGCAGCTGTGGGAGGAGACAGGTTGAGCAGGGAAGGAAGCGAGATTCCACAGGGGCCATTACAAAACCAGGGAGGACCACACAGCACCAGCGCTTCAGAGAGGCAGGGGCAGTGCTACCACCGCCCCTTGGCACCACCCTGGCTGGGGCTCTGGAGGTGGTCACAGGTGCCCACCCTCGGGGCAGGCCCAGGCCGACTACAGTCCTCTGCTGGGTCCTCACTCTTGGCAGATCTGGCTCCCAGTGCCCTGTTTCCTAGAGGGACCCAGGTGTCCAGGGGCTGAGGCAGCTCAGGAGGGCACCATCCTGCAGCTTCCTACGGGGCACTCTCAGTTTCCAGGGCGGGGGTCTGGATGGCATCTGACTGCCCGGCACCCTTGTGCTCAGAGAGTGGACCAGGGCAGGGGCAGGGAGGTGTTCTTTTGACACAGCCACACAGGTGCAAATGGGGGGCCAGGCTCAGAGTGAGGGTGCTGCCTGGGAGTGGGGGCTGCAGAGCCGTGGAGCTGGGCAGTGGCCCTGGACTCGCATGGAGTCCTCCACAGAGGCCTGGTGTGACTGGCCTGAGGCTGCCCAGCAGGGGAGATAGTGGGCCTGTCCTGACCTGGAACAGGAAACTTCCCAGCAGTAGTCAGCCCTTTGGGACCCCCAGGAATCAGGGGCTTTTGAGTGAAGGGCCCAGGCAACTCCACCCTCCACAGGTGGCCCAGGCAGCAGCGCTAGGTGGCCGGCACAGGAAAGGGCCCACTGGAAGCCCCGACTGCTCTGCAGGGACTGGCCTGGGTAGAAGTGGAGACAGGTGGGGGCCTGGGAGGCAGGAAGGGGGCAGGCGGGGATGGTGGCCAGGAACCCCAGCCTGTGTCTGTCTCCCAATGTTCAGGGTCTTCCCAGGGCCACCTGCTCTCCAGGGCCCTGCTGGGGAGGAGTGCAGGGTGGGCTTCACCCAGCAGAGGGCGGTCCTGGGAAGGGGAGGGCAGTGCCCAGCAGACACGCGGCAACATGGCTTCTTGACCTGCAGAGCTGGAGAATCCCCTGTCCTGTGGTTCCAGGCTCGGTGGCACGGTGGGGACTGGACCCTGCTGGCAGCACCTTCTGCTGACCCAGAGGGCACATCCTGTGCCAGAGTTTGGGATGGGCAAAGTCAGGGTGGGACAAACCAAGCAAGATTCAGGCAAGAGCAGGGACCCCCCCCCCCCCCGCTGAGCCTCAAGGCCAAGGTAGGCTCCCCATGCACAAAGGGGACCAGGAAGGGGCCCCAGTGACTACTGGGGACCTGGGTCTGCAGGGACAGTGGAGAAGAGGTCCACGTCCAGGCCAGTGACTTCCTTGGGTGCCTCTGGGCGAGGAGCCTGCTGGACCAGGAGGCTGGAGCACTGCTCTGGACCTGCAGGCCCTTCTCTGGCTTCTGCTGGTGGCTGTAGCGTGGGGGCGGCAGCAGGGTGTGGGGACAAGTTGTCCAAGCCCTTGCTGGTCTTGGAGGAGCTGTGGTCAGAGGCCTGGGGCCAAGTGGGGCCAAGGTCCCTGCTCCGAGGTGCGTGGGGCTGGGGAGGTGGTCTGCAGGGAGGGTGGCTCCCCCTGCCCAGCTCCAAGTGCAGAGAGCTGCAGGAGAGAAGGCCCACCAGGGCCTGCAGGGCCAGGGGGTCGGCACAGGCCCCCCAGGGTGTGGGCTGGGCTGCACAGGGGCAGCAGTAGCCGACCTGGGTCTCCCTGTGGGACTGGGCCCGCCTATCCCATCTCCCCCCGAGCCTAGGTAGGGCTGCCCCCACATGGTGTGAGCCTGGACCGGCGTCCCCCACTGCCCCTGCCAGGAAACAGGACGTGGGGAGCCCTCCTCTGACCTCAGGCACTGAGGTGGCACAGGCAGAAGTGACATGAGCTGGGGACGAGGGAGCCTCCGAGGGTGGGGGCTGCCGCTGGTTCTGCTCTTTCAGAGTTGTTTCCACAACAGTCTCGGGCATGGGTGGCCAAAGTCCCACTTTCCTCCCATACAGTTGTCCTCTGCCCACCATGCTGCCACCTCGGGCTGGGGCTGGCAGAGACAGTGAGAGCCCCTGCCACTCCTGCTCTGTGCTCTGCAGTGTCCAGGACACCCAGCCCAGGACTGGCCACGGCAGCCCAGTCCCCCACTCTGCTTCTCAGGCAGCCCCTGTGCTGGCTTCTGCCGTGCGGGATCAGAGGGCTGAGCTGGGTGCCACCACTGGCGGCAGGCGGTACTGACATGGCTGGAGGCCTTCGGTGGGACAGGCTGTGTCAGGGTCTCAGCCTGGTGTGGCTGTGATGGGGCCTGGGGTCCTCAGGGAAGGGCTTTTGGAGGAGCTCGCTGGAGATGCTTGCATCTGGGCGGGTGGGCTGTCCTCTGATGGAGTGGGGTGCCCATGTGGCGAGCAAGTACAGAATGACTCAGGGGTCTCTTAGGGCCTTGGCCTCTACCTTATTTGAGACTCTGAGAACTGTGGTGAGGGTAGTAAATGGCATTTAAAGGTGGCACAGAGAAGCACCTGAGCCCTGAACCCTCCAGCTGAGCCGCAGGCTTTGGGAGGCTCCTTCTCTACCCTGAGCCATTTCTGTGTCGGGTCAGCTCTGCAGCACCTACAAGGCCTGAGGCCTCCATGGTGCCCTGCCCAGGCAACAGGGGCCTAGGAGGGGGCCGTGGTTCCCCCCAGAGAGGAGGAGGGCCGGGAGGGGGCTGTAGGTCCCCCCAGAGAGGAGGAGGGCCGGGAGGGGGCCGTGAGCTCTCCTGCAGACAGGAGGAGGGCCGGGAGGGGGCTGTAGGTCCCCCCCGACAGGAGGAGGGCAGGGAGGGGGCCGTGGTTTCCCTGCAGACAGGAGGAGGGCCGGGAGGGGGCTGTAGGTCCCCCCAGAGAGGAGGAGGGCCGGGAGGGGGCTGTAGGTCCCCCCAGACAGGAGGAGGGCCGGGAGGGGGCTGTGGTTCCCCCCCGACAGGAGGAGGGCAGGGAGGGGGCCGTGGTGTCCCTGCAGACAGGAGGAGGGCAGGGAGGGGGCCATGGTGTCCCTGCAGACAGGAGGAGGGCAGGGAGGGGGCCATGGTGTCCCTGCAGACAGGAGGAGGGCAGGGAGGGGGCCATGGTGTCCCTGCAGACAGGAGGAGGGCAGGGAGGGGGCCGTGGTTTCCCTGCAGACAGGAGGAGGGCAGGGAGGGGGCCATGGTGTCCCTGCAGACAGGAGGAGGGCTGGGAGGGGGCCGTGGTTCCCCCCCGACAGGAGGAGGGCCGGGAGGGGGCCGTGAGCTCTCCTGCAGACAGGAGGAGGGCTGGGAGGGGGCTGTAGGTCCCCCCAGACAGGAGGAGGGCTGGGAGGGGGCCGTGGTTCCCCCCCGACAGGAGGAGGGCTGGGAGGGGGCCGTGGTGTCCCTGCAGACAGGAGGAGGGCTGGGAGGGGGCCGTGGTGTCCCTGCAGACAGGAGGAGGGCTGGGAGGGGGCCGTGGTGTCCCTGCAGACAGGAGGAGGGCCGGGAGGGGGCTGTAGGTCCCCCCAGACAGGAGGAGGGCTGGGAGGGGGCCGTGGTGTCCCTGCAGACAGGAGGAGGGCTGGGAGGGGGCCATGGTGTCCCTGCAGACAGGAGGAGGGCCGGGAGGGGGCCGTGGTTCCCCCCCGACGGGAGGAGGGCAGGGAGGGGGCCGTGGGTCCCCTGCAGACAGGAGGAGGGCAGGGAGGGGGCCATGGTGTCCCTGCAGACAGGAGGAGGGCCGGGAGGGGGCTGTGGTTCCCCCCCGACAGGAGGAGGGCAGGGAGGGGGCCGTGGTTCCCCCCAGACAGGAGGAGGGCTGGGAGGGGGCTGTGGGTCCCCCCCAGACAGGAGGAGGGTCAGGATGGGGCTGTGGGTCCCCCCCAGACAGGGGGAGGGCTGGGAGGGGGTCATGCCATGGTAGGGCCTCCCTCTGCGACCACTACCTCCTCCCCTGATGGTCATAGCTGAATCAAGGGGGAGAGGGCCTGGTCCTGCCCACACCAGCCCCACCCTGGGCAGGAAGTCTCAGCGCCGCAGTCACCATTCCCAGCCTGTGGCAGCTTCTCCGAGAGCCTGCTGTGTGCAGGCAGACGGGAGGGCCCCGAGGGTGGAGACCTGCTCCCCTGAGCCGCTGGGCTCTGGACACAGCTCTGTGGTGGGCTAGGGCAGGCACGTGCTGGCTGCGGGCCCCCAGGACTTCACCCCCCGGACTGTTGGGAAGGCACCAAAGGTGTGCCATCCTTTGGGTGGAAGCCAGAGTCCTGTGAGTGGGTGCTCCGCCCAGGCCTCCTGTGCCTGGGGACTTGGCAAAACTGGGGCTGTCCTCCCCAGTGATCCAGGGGAGCATCATTGCCAATGGGAAATTTAAAGACTGTGCTTAGATTTTTTTAGAAAAGCTTCCCAACAAAATACTGGACTGTCTGAGGCTAACCTGAAAATGAAAGCCCGGGGTGGACATGAGGACATCAGAGAGCAGCCAGGCCGGGACCCACACCCTCACCCCTCCACAGGCAGGCTCGGCCACAGCCAGCTTCTACCTCTGCCAAGGCAGCAGCGTGGGCCCGGACCTGGCGTCCTCCCCACACAGGCCTGGGCCCACCTCACGGCTGCGATGTTATGGGACTCTGAACGGGGACAGTGAAGAGGACATCTGGGTGGCCTGTGTCTCGTAGAGAAAGGTGGCCAGGAAGGGGCGTCCCAGTGGTTGGGGCCAGGAGGTCCTGGGGAACCCGGGAGCTGGCCTGGTTCAGCGTCCCTCTGTGGGCCTCAGTATTGGGATGGCAGGAGGGAGGAGGGAAGAGAGCCCTGGGGGGCCCAGCAGCCACCTGGGGGCAGGGCGCAGACTTCACCTGCTGGCGGATGCGCCATCACACTTCAGTAGCCGTGGGATCCGCTGAGGGAGCAGGAGGAAGCTTCCTGGCTGTGGTGGGATCTGTGCCTGCTTCCCTAATGCACTGTGGGCTGGGAGGGTCCCTGGGGGCCCCAGGCAGCTCTAGGGAGCCAACCGGCCTGCAATCACGGGGTTGGTTGGCTGCTCCTCCCTCTCCTGCGTGGAGAGGGCTCCTAATTCCCCCTGTAGCAGACAGGCCAGCCTGGGTCTGGCTGTCCTCAGGAGACTGGGTGCCAGAGGCGGCCCCTGCCCCACCCAGGTCCTTCCTGGTACCCGGCGAGGAGGCAGAGGTGAGGTGTGTGGCCTGTGGGTTTGGGCTCTGGGTGATGGCCATTCCTTCTGGCTGACCACAGCAGTGCTGTGCACCAAGGTCAGCGCCTCTCACAGTGGGGCAGCTGAGACTAGCCAGCTGGGGAGGGTGAGGCCAAGGACCTGAGTCCGATCACTGTGCTGACTACCACTCCTGGGCATGAGACTTCTGCCAAGTCCATGTGGACTAAGCCTGGGGGCTGGGCTTGGCCCTCCTGGGCTGCCCTGTAGAGCATGGGCCAGGGAGCGAGGGACCACAGTGGACGGTGGAGTGGAGGGCTCCACCCCTGAGCAGCAAGGTCGGGAGGGACAGGGCTGCCCTCAGAGTTCAAGGAGTGGACACCCTGACCCCAGATGTGGGTTGGGCTGGAGCCTCAAGGGGATCCAGGAAGGACCTCTGGACCTCGGGCCTGGGGGTCAGTACTCATAGGGAGGTGGAGCATTCTGGGGGGGCCATTGCTGGGGGCGGACAGGTCCAGGGAGGGGCAGTGTGGTGCCAGGAGTGGCAGCAATGCTGCCTTGGCCCTGTTCTGGGGCCCTGACTTGGGACCTTAGGCCAGCAGGTGGGGCCACTGTGTCTCCTTGTGGGACCTTGGCACTGGTGGGCCTGGGCTTCCTGTCCAGCACCTGAAGTCCTAGAGGGCTTGGGTTCTGGAGGGTGGGGCCTAGGTGCTGGGCTGTGGACTCCAGCTCCCCCTGCCTCCCTGTGCCCAGCCCCAGGCTGGTCCCAGGAGGGAAGGGCTCTGGAGGTGGGAAGGGGAATCTGTCCGTCTCTGCCACCTTGGGCCTGTACAGCGGGCAGGGTTTAGTCCTTGAGGTGACTTTGGGTGTGTGGGCATGGGTCAGGACTCACCTTCACCTGAATCCCTGCCCAAGGGGCAGCAGGCCATGGGGTAGGGCAGGGCCTCACTCCCTGGGGTCCTTCCTTCTGCCCACGCTGACCTCCTGTCCCTCCTGCAGCCCCAGGACCATGAACAGCACTTGCAGCACCGTCTCCTGGCCCCCTGGGCTCAAGCACGTCTTTGCCACCTACTCGGGCACGCTGATGGTGCTGGGCCTGCTGCTCAACGGCCTGGCGCTCTGGGTGTTCTGCCGCCGCATGCGGCAGTGGACGGAGACCCGCGTCTACATGACCAACCTGGCCGTGGCCGACCTCTGCCTGCTCTCCTCCCTGCCCTTCGTGCTCTTCTCCCTGCAGCACACCTCCGACACCCCGCTGTGCCAGCTCTCGCAGGGAATCTACCTGGCCAACAGGTACATGAGCATCAGCCTGGTCACGGCCATCTCCGTGGACCGTTACGTGGCCGTGCGGCACCCGCTGCGTGCCCGAGGGCTGCGCTCCCCGCGGCAGGCTGTGGTGCTGTGTGCGGCGCTCTGGGTCCTGGTCCTAGGCTCCCTGGTGATCCGCTGGCGCCTGGGGCTGCAGGAGGGCGGCTTCTGCTTCCGGAACTACGCCCGGCACGACTTCAGCAGCAGCACTTTCTCACTACTGGGCTTCTACCTGCCACTGGCTGTGCTGCTGTCCTGCTCCCTGCAGGTGGTGACTGCGCTGGCCCGGAGGCCAGCCTCCGAAGCCGGCCAGGTGGAGGCCACCCACAGGGCTGCCCGCATGGTCTGGGCCAACCTGGTGGTGTTTGTGGTCTGCTTCCTGCCGCTGCACATGGTGTTGACGGTGCAGGTGGCCATGGGCCTGTCCTCCTGTGCAGAGCGCAAGGCCTTCAGCCGGGCCCTCTTCATCACCAGCAGGCTCTCGGATGCTAACTGCTGCCTGGACGCCGTCTGCTACTATTACATGGCCAAGGACTTCCAGGAGGCCTCCGCGCTGCCCACGCCCGCCGGCACCAAGGCCCACAAGAGCCAGGACTCTCTGAGCCTCGCCCTCACCTAGGGGGCACTCGCTGTGGGCCAGGTCTCAGGGCTCCGGGAGGGGCAGCTTGCCGGGGCACCTGGGGCCAGCGTGGAGCCCCGAGACAGACCCTGGCCTCACCCTGGTCTGTGGGCCCTCTAGGAGGCCAGTGGAAGGGCTGGACCCAGGTCTGCCGAGCCTCGGTGGCTTCGTTGCTATCCTGGGAAGGGACAGGGACAGCAGCCAGAGGATGACTCCTGAGGGGGTCAACCCCAAGGACCCTGGGACAGGGACACACAGCTGTCACCCTAGAGCTGACTCCCTTGGGGCACCGGGTGGGGCCTTGACAGCCTGCCTTCTTCTGTGGACCCCCTGGGCGGGGACAAAGCTGTCCGCTGCGGCAGGCTGGCAGGGCCCTCTGTCACTTTCACCCAGTCCTCGCCCTGGGTGGGGCTGCAGTGGCCTGGGTGTCTCCCTCCTTCCCACTCTTCCTCCCAGGCCCCTGCCCCTCTGCTGAGCCTGGTCTTTCTGGCTTGGCGGCCCTGGGGGCTCTTAGGACATGCTGAAGCCCTCCTGAGGCGCCAGGCCCTGGCTCCGCCCCCCACTCCCCTGCAAATGCCACCCAGCGCTTGCTGCCTGATGGACACCCACCCCTCCCTCCCACCGCCCCCTGCAGCCTCTGAGGGGACCTCAGGCAGCCTTGGCTCCAGGCCCGTGGGGTGCGGCCTGCAGCGAGGTCCTGAGGCCCTTTATGGAGGTGGGGCTCAGCCACTCCCACCAGAGCATCCACCAGCACCCGGAGCTGCTGCCCAGGCCCAGGGCACCCATCCCCAGGCGCCCTAGCTTGTTACCACCTGCCAGTCTGCCTCGGACACTCCCCGAGCCCCATGCCTGCACTGGGCATGGCCGGGTCACACTGTCCTGGGCAGTGTCAGGTGAGCAGGGCAGGGACAGTGCTAGGCAGCTGGCAAGGCCCTGTCCTGCACTGTCCCCCCTTCCTGTCTGCCGTTTCCTGCTGCAGGTAGCCCTGCCTGTGCCCGGAACAGCACCGCCAGCTTCCCTGGGATGGGGCCCACCACGTCCACTCCGTGGCCTCACCCTGCCTTGGGCTGAGCTCCCCATACCCCTTGGTCCCTCCAGAATCCTTCCCAGCCCTCACAGAAACCCCACCCTCTGGACATGTATCCCTGCCCACCGGGTGGGCAGTTTCCCTGACCCTGACCCCCAGACTTACACTTCCAAGAGGCAGGAGGTCCACTGAGGGTCTTGCCCTAGGCTGGGAGTCTGCAGCCTGGCCAGTGGGGCCGAGGGGTCTGCAGTCCCCCTGTTCTGCCTCTCGCCGGGACTGGGGGTCCAGGGGGACAGGCGGACCAGGCTGCAGGCTCAGCTCAGGGAACCAAGGGTGGCAAAGAGCTGCAGGTGAGGGGCCAGGTGGCAGGAGCTTCCAAGAGCCCAGTCCTGAGAGATGCCTGCAGGGCCACCATGCACAGGCCTGGGCTGTCCCCCCAGTCACCAGCTGTGCCCATGGGCTCTGACCACCAGAGCAGAAGGAAGGAGAGCACCGGAGAGGGAGAGTGTGGGCCTCTGTTGTGGCCAGGCTCCCTGCCTGGGTCCCGTCTTGCTGGACACATGGCCCTCCTTGGCTTCCTTGCCCACACAGGGAGATTGGGGGATGGGGGTCTCCAGCTGCTGCACCCCTCAACCCAGCCTTGGCTTGGGGATGTAGAGCCAAAGCTGCCCGTGTGGATGCCATCTCACCCTGGAGCAACCCCTCTGACCTTGGGCAGCAGGGTGACCCCAGGGCCCTGACCACTGGGTGAGCCAGCTTCTGGCGTGGGCAGAAGGCAGTTAGCTGGCTGCCCTCGCCTCTTGCCCCCAAGGCCTGCCTGTGCCTGGTATCAGCCTGACCTTGGCCTCGCCTCTTGCCCCCAAGGCCTGCCTGTGCCTGGTATCAGCCTGACCTTGGCCCAAGCCACTGGGAGATGATTCAACACACTCACCGAGCAGGCCCCCGGCCTCCACCCTATGTCCTGCTGTGCACAAGCAGGGGAAAGGAGAGGAGCCTACCGCCCAGCACTGCTGGCCAGGCTGAGGGAGTGCCCCTCAGGTCCGGGTCTGCTCCCCTTGGGTGGTGGCCAGGACGACTTCAGGGTCCATTGCCTGGACCCCTCCTGGGCCCACCTCAGATCTGGCTTCCTGGCACTAAGTGCTAAAGCCTGGCCTCCCAGGGTCTGGGGCGGCGTCTTGCTACGAGGGCAGAGTGTGCTCAGACCCCTGTCCTTCCAGCCGGCGTGGGAGCAGGCCTCCGGGTGACTCCCAGGCCCGAAGGGAGTCTCTCTCCAGGAGGCCCCCAAGTCCCCTGCCAGCAGGCGAGGCCTCGTCTCTGTGGCCACAGGGCAGCAAGCCCAGGTCCCCGTCTTCATGACCTCAGTCCTGGTGTAGGACTCGTGTAGCCCAACCCAGGCTCAACCTTTCCCTGCCAGGGTGCCTGGCGGAGGCTCTGCCTCGCGGTTGGAGGGAGATTTCCAGAGGCTCCAGGTCCCGGGAGTCGCCTGCTGAGGATCGGCTCTGGGACCTGGAACTGAGAACACAGGGCCGTAGGGCTGACCGCACCCTGGGCACCCAGTGGCGATCCTTCCAGTAGCCTGTCCCCTGGGGGGTGCCGCCAGCCATAGTCCTCCCGAGGGCACGTGTCCCCGGCCGTGTCTGCGGTACCACCTGCTAGACCCAGGGTGCCGCTGAGGAGGACGCGGGGCACACCATCTGCTGAGAGGACCAGAGGAGTGCGTGTGGAGGACAGGGTCTGAGCACGTGTGGGGCGGGGAGAGGACAGGCATCCTGCAGGGGCCGAAGGAGCCTGGGCCAGTGCCCGCAGTGGGCGGCAAGGAGTGGTCCTGCCCATGGGCCAGGAGGGACCTCTGTGGGGGCACCCTGCTCTAGCTTGCCGTCTTGGTCATGGGCATTTTGTAAAACTGTTGATGGCTACTGGGACCCAAAGCCTAGGAGGCAGAGCTGGGCCTCTGCGGGCCCCCCCCACCCCCGTGTTCCCCTGCCCCTCTGCTGGGCCGTCGGGAGCAGCCAGGGAACAGCCAGCTGTGCTGTGGGCCTTCACGGTGGGAACGCTGCTTCCCCAGAGGCCATCTGCAGATGGTCGCCCGTGGCTGGGCCGGAGTTAGCTCCTGCTGTCCCCACGGAGGGCGAGTGTGGAACCCTAAGTGGACAGCCGCGGGCAGCAGGTTAGCAGAACAAGCCGACTGAGTCCCCAGAGCAGGCACAGCAGGGCTGCGTCAGCCACCAGGAAACCTTTCCTGTGAAGGGTGCAGAGCAGACTCCAGCTCTCCTTCAGAACTGGGCCTGCTGCCCCGGGAGCGCCAAAGCAGCCGGGGGTTCAGGAGCCGGGGGCGCCGCCCGGTACACCCAGCCGCCCTCCCTCTACAGAAAGAGGCAGCAGTAGGAGGCCCTGAGCTGAGACTGCCGTCTTTCCTTGGGTCTGGCCACCGACATTCCGCCTCACTCTCTGGCCTAAATGAGCCTTTTCACCGCAGCATGAGCTCCCACCCCACCTGACCCCAGCACCGGCCCCGGGGGGCAGCACCAGCTCCTGCCTCAGCCCAGCCACCTGCAGCCAGCTCCCACCAGGTCAGAGGGCACTGAGGTGGCGGCGCAGAGCCCCCAGGACCCCCTCTGGTGAGCGCGGTTTGTTGGCAGAGCCAGAGCGCCTCAGCAGAGCGTCCGGTCACTTAAGCCTAGGGCTGGGCTGGGCTGCAAGGAGAGGCATCGAGGGCCAAGAGCCAGCCACCGACAGGCTGCCACGGGAGGTGTCTCCAGGAAGTGCTGTTCATCGGGCAAGGGCCCAGGCCTGGGGGGCTGTCCGAAGGGGAGCAGAGAGGGGAGGTGGGCTGCGCCAGTAGTGGGCCTCCAGGACCTCTGAGCTCTGTGTCCTGGGCCCACAGACACCAGTCGCCCCTGGCGAGGGGCTGGCCGGGGGCTGGTGAGCTCCTGGCGAGGGACAACAGGGCCCGTCCTTCAGGTCTGCATCTTGGTGGGTGAGGAGGTGGCAGGACTGCAGGCAGGGAGGTCTCGTGACCTCGAGGACGCTTGCCAAGGCAGGCGCCTGCAGGGGCCTAAAGCTCAGTGGCATGGTGGCTGACGAGGACATGGTGGCAGATGTCTCCAGGCCCCGAGAAGCCACTGGACCCGGCTCTGCCTGGCCAGGTGAGCTTCTGGCTGCAGAGGGGTGCGACCTGGAGGTGAGGACGGAAGGGATCAGGTGGCTAGGGTGCTGGTGGAGGTGTGCAGAGGGGGTCCTGAGGGCCCCGGCGCCAGGGAGCCTGTGTTGCTTCCGCAGGGGGTCCTGGGGGCTGAGTCCTCCTTGTGTCCATGGCCCCTGGGGCCTCCACTCCCAGGCTCACAAGCATGCAGCTAGAGTGTCAGGCCCTGAGCAGCCCTTGGGGTGGCAATAGACATGATGCGGACTTTGCCAGGGCCCCTCAAACACGGACTGTACCACACTCACCCTCTTTACACTAGATGCCCGACCTGTCCCACCCCACGTGGGGCATCTGACAGAGTCCACTTCAGGTCTCCAGGGAAATGAGGCCAGAACCGGAGCTTCTAGCCAGCCAGGAGGGATGGTGCACACCTGTAATCCCAATGACTCAGAGGCTGAGATAGGGGGGTTGCAAGTTTGAGGCCAGCCTTGGCCACTTTGAGGCCCTAAGCAACTTAGCAAGACCCTGTCTCAAAAATAAATAAATAAATAAAAATAAAAAGAGCTGAAGATGGAGCTCAGTGGTCCCTAAGTTCAATCCTCAGTAGAACAACAAAAAAGAACCGGAATTCAAAGTCTCAGGCAGGAGAAGCCTCCACTGTCCCAGCCTGGCTGGACTGAGATCAGCTCCCTGCCATTTTGGGGGACCCAGAAAGGTCAGCGGTGGCCATCAGACTCGGGCCTCCTGGGTGAAACGTGAGTGCAGGGCGGGAGCTCTGCTGTTCTGAGGGCCACAGGCCTGAGTACAGGGCAGGGCCTCTGGCCACAGGCTCAGCCAGACCCAGGGTCACCTCTGCTCCAGGAAGAACCCGAGTCCCTCCCGGGGCCGGAACTTTCTGCAGGGCACTCAAGACACAGAGGCTGAGGAGTGGCGGGGCCACCCTCAGCCAAGAACACACGGCTCAGCCATCGATGGCTCCAGCAGGACAGTCTCAGTGCCCTCTGCACACAGAAGCTGCCCCGTTACGATGGAGAAGCAATGTGTCACCACGGAGGCCACCATCCTCCCAGGTCACTTGGCCTCCTTGGGAAGGAGCCTGTGCTCCCCCAAGGGTGGCAGGTGACAAGTCCTGACTGTGCTTTGAGGGTCTAAGGACAGGTGGCCATCTACCGCTGAGGCCAGGTCTGACCGCAGTCCTACCTGCTGGCAGTGTAGAGGGGTGGACGGCAACCAGGTCACGTGGCAGGCTGGGTTTCCGGGAGCTCCTGTCCCTGGCCACTGCCCCTCGCTTCCTTGAAGGACGCAGAGCTCTAAACTCTCTGCCACAGTCAGCGAGGGTGGGGTGGACAGAGAAGGGTGGGGAGAGCTTGACCTCTGAGGTCGTTCCCGGGCTGGCCTTGGAGTACCCAGGGGCCTGTGCCACCTACAGAAACCCCATAAAACGTGCTCTGGGAGCCCCAACTCTGCCCGATATCACTCAGGGTCGGAGGCAGAGGAGAAGGTTTCCAGGAGACGTGGGAGGCCAGGTGCCTCTCTGGGCTCCACAGGGTTGGGGCTGAGGGCCGGGAGGCAGAGTCCACACGGGCAGGTCTCCAGGGCTGCCAACACACCAGGCCACAAGAGCACCAAACCAAGACGTGCTCTGGCCAACTCCAGCGAGCGGTCCTGCGCCACAGAGGACCGCGAGCCCCCTGTCCACAGCTGCGGACAAGCCCCCAAACTCACTGAGTGCTGCTCCAGGCCTCACTAGCAGACCACGACTCAGAAGGGCCCCAGGAGGCGGCAGGTGGCGTGGGGTTGGCTGTCCCCACCCCGTACAGCAGGCACGGAGGGGACTGTCCACTGGGCATCTCTCGTCGCCGTCTCTAGGGCAGGCCCAGCTTAGGTGGAGCAGCTGGACCTCCACACAGCAGCAAGACCAGACGGGGAGGCTCGGGGGCGGGTGGCAGCAGGGGAAACAGGGTTTCTGGATCCCTGGGAGACAACCCTGGAGCACGGGGCAGAGAGGTGTGGGTCTGCTCACAGTGTTTGTGAACCACTTACCAGTAAGAGTCACATTTATATGATGCATATTTACAAAACACTAACCTAAAATTATACTTCTGCCAGTCTCCACTTGAGATGTGTGATTACTCAGATCATAACAATAAAACCAAAGAGAAAACATCGATACTCTTTTAGAAGACAAAACAAAGTTCTCGCTGTGTTTCTGTGTTTTTTGTCCCACTTTCTAGTATAACAAAGTATTTTAATTACCCTTCCTCCAAATAGAACACCATGAAAATACTTGTAGGAGTTGGATCTCAGTAACCCACAGCTATAGAACATAGTCCAAGAATTACAATCTCTCTGATTGAATGATTATTGAAGAGAAATAAAAACAAAAGTTATCTGAGCAGAGGGAAGAGTGTCTTGCTATGGTTCTGGAGTTCAGAAGTGGGCTCAAGGGGAGGTGGTCACTTGGAGGCCACTGTCCCCAGGGTCAGGCTGTGTGGACAGTGCTTGGTTTAGACACGAGTCTTAGCTCCTCAGGGCAGGAGGGTCTCCAGAGGGCAGAAACAGAGGGTCTGAGCTTACAAACCCCAGGAGCAGATGGCCCCACCCAGGGACAGGATGAGAAGGGATGGGTGCCCCACCCAAGCCTGGGGAGAAGGCAGGTGGCGCAGAGGCTGCCTTGTCCAGGCAGATGCCAGTGGAACTTCTGATGACCACTGGATGGCCACAAGAGCTGGAGTCTGGGCAGCCTAAAGCACGGTCAGTGTTTCTGACGGCAGAGATGCCTTCCTGGAAGGCCCGGGCTGCCCGTGGAGCGTGAGCCTGGGTGGGGCCTCCGCGCCCTGGAGGGGACCGGTGCCTTCCCTGGCTCTGCTGGGCCCCAGGCCACTGCCTGCTCTGGCCTCTGGCAGGTCTCACCACTGCCCGGCCCTTCGAGGGGCAGGCTGGGGTCACAGGCCTGAAGGGGCGAGGTTCGAAGAGATGAAAGGCCCCGGGCGTGGCTGGACTGGTTCTGGTGGGCAGGCGCAGGCTGCCCGGCCTCCTCCCTCCACATTACATTCGCCAGGCAGGCTGGGAGCTGGCTCCCCACAGGAGGGCCTGAGCAGGCCATGCCCTGGCTCTCCCGCTGCCTTGGCGTCCTGTGGCTGTGGTCAGCCCTCTGGAAGGCTGGTGGAAGTGGGGGAGCTGGCCCCATCTGCTCTCTGCCCGGATGACCATTCCCACTGGCCCTGCACACTGGTTCTTGCTCGGGGCAGCCACCCCACAGCCTCAGAATAGCCACCCATTCCTGAGCACCTTCTCCTCCTCCTGTCACACCACAGTGGAGCCCCGATGACCCCCAGCCCCTGGGACTGTGACCTCCAGGCTTCAGGTCCTCTCTGACAAGCCAGTGCCCAGCTGTCTCCGAGGCGTCCCCAACTCCTCAGGTCCCTCCTGTCTGGCCATTTGTCCTCAGGAAGAGGCCCATCTGCACCTCAGGACAGGGTGCCGGGGTGGGGGTCCTGCAGGGCACTGGCCCCTGCCTCGTGAGCCAATTCCCTCTCCACCCACAAGTCCTGGGGCTGCAGGAGGTACTGCCAGTCATTCTGTGGGTGCCCAGTCGCGGCCTTCCTTGGGTGTGTCATTAACCCGTGGTGCCAGGCAGAAAGATGGCAGCCCAAGGTGGCCACCTCTGCAGGCGCAGCTCCTGAGGGCCGGCACTCTGCTGGTGGCCCAGCACCCCGATGGGAGTCGTGGGTCCATGCCCCAGGCCCCCTGTGCCGCAGCTTCCTCCTGGGGCGCTCGTGGCAGGTGACTTGGAGGGCGGCAGAGCTGGGGCTTGGAGGTGGGCCACAGCCCAGGAGCCGGGGAGAGGTGCCGTGGTCCTGCGGCCAGGAGCCCAGGCTGAGTCACAGCTCAGATGGAGGCTTTGAAGGAGGTGCCCCGCCTGGGGCTGGTGAGAGGGGGATGTGGGTCCCACTGTGCCCACACCCTGGGGAGGACACCAGGCAGGCAGGTCCACTGTGGGTGCTCCTGACCACACCAGCCTGTGACCAGTGGGGCCGGTAGCAAGGGGTGCAGGTGTGGCTTTCCCAGAGGTCAGGTGGACGCTCCAGCCCTCCTCCCCCCTGGACTGTAAGGCTGGCCAGACGCACACGTCACCTGGTCCCTGCTCAGCACGGCTCCTCCTTGGAGCCCGGGGTGATGGCTGGTCTGAACGTGTCCCTGTCCTTCTTCTTTGCCACCTGTGCCCTCTGCCAGGCAGCCAGGAGGGCGTCCAGGGCCCTGCTCTCGGCAGGCGCCTATGCCAGCTTCGCCCGGGAGGTCGCTGCGGCGGCCCAGCTGGCAGCCTGCTGCCTGGAGATGCAGGTTCTGATGGAGATCGGCCCCTGGGCAGGGGGCTTCGGGCCCGACCTGCTGCTGACCCTGGTCTTCCTGCTCTTCTTGGTGCATGGGGCCACCTTCGATGGGGCCTCGGCCAACCCCTCTGTGGCCCTGCAGGACTTCCTCATGGCTGAGGCGTCTTTGTCCAGCACCCTGCTGAAGCTGGCAGCCCAGGGGCTGGGCATGCAGGCCGCCCACACCCTGGCCTGGCGCTGCTGGGCCTGGGAGCTCAGCGAGCTGCACCTGGTGCAGAGCCTCATGGCTGCCCACTGCAGCTCGGCGCTGCGCACCTCTGTGCCCCAGGGCACCCTGGTGGAGGGAGCCTGCGCCTTCTTCTTCCACCTGGCCCTCCTCCGCCTGCCGCACAGTGCCCCTGTGTACAGGGTGCCCACCCTGGCTCTGCTGGTCACCGTCATGACCTACGTAGGTGAGACCTGCTTCCCTGTGCGGGGCCCTTCAGGACCACAGCAGGAGAGGGGGGTGCTGGCCAGAGGTGCTCCAACCCCCAGGCTGAGGCGGCCACTTCCTGGGGCCCTGATGGGCATGTAGGGCCAGCAGGTTGGAGGCCGGGTGGTGGGGAGGCACCGGCCCCTGCCAGCTGTCTCCCTGCCAGCTCCCAGCTGCCTGGTTCATTCCAGAAAAGCCACACCTGGTCCCAGGGTCAGCCCAGAGGTTCTTCAGGGCCTGGCCCCAGCTCTGACCTGAGATCCCCTGAGTCCTTTGACACACCCCCAGGAGTGACAAGTCCTGAGGGCCATCTTCACTCACGTCCCCACACTCCCTATGGGGCTCTGAGATGGCAGTGCCTTCCTTGCCGCACACCTGTGACCCCTGTCCCAGCCAGGCTGACCTCCTGACCAGACTTCCTGGGCCCCGCTCATGGTCCTGCCCTGATTCTGGGTCCTAGACCTCAGGCACGGGCACTGGCTCCACCAGAGGGGACTGTCCCTGAGCAGGTATCTTACACAGATGGGCTGAAGCTCAAGTCAGGACAGGCCCAGCACAGGGCAGGCAGCCGGTGGCCTGGGCCACCGAGGCTGTGGAAAAGGCTGTCCGAGTCCCACACCGATGGGGACACTGAGGTGAGATGAGCCGGGGGCTCTGCAGGGACAGGCTCTGTGGCCCGATGGCCTGGGCTCGGCCTCAGCACAGACGCCCAGGCATCTCGGGTGGGTATGCCGCTGTCTGACCTGGTCACCACCTGTCTGCTGGGCTGTGTCCCGTGGCCACCTGCTCTGCCTGACTGCTGTGGTCCCCCAGCCATCCCGAGGGCTGCTGGCCCTCCAGCGCCCCCCTCGCTCCTGTCCTCTCTGCCCTCACCACCTGGCCTCTATCTCTGCTCTGCCTTCTCCCCTCTCTGTGTGCCCCCACCTCCTGGTCTCTGCTCTGTCCCTCCCCGTCTCCATCTGTCTGTCTCCTCTGCCTGTCCATGTCTGTCTCTCCTTCTCTCCCTCCAGGTCTCTCTGCCTCCCAGTCTTGGCTCCCTCCTGGTCGCACTCAGAGGCTGCCTCCTAGTAGGCAGGGAGTTGGAGGAGGGTTGAGTCCTTCTGGGGCCAGGTGTGGGGAGGGTCTGGACCCTTGTCCTGGCTGCCCTGAGGCCTTGGCTGCCCTGGCCTGCTTCTGTGTGTCCATAAGCACAAAGGGCCCTGGTCAGGAGCTGTACCCAGTGGGCCTGCAGTGTGGTCTCGGGGGCTCGGGCCTGGCCTGGACCGGCAGCGGCAGGCTGGGCCCACCCGAGGCCCGTGCTCTGTCTGCAGCTGGGCCCTACACGTCCGCCTTCTTCAACCCTGCCCTGGCCGCCTCCGTCACCTTCCGCTGCTCCGGGCACTCCTGGCTGGAGTACGCCCAGGTGTACTGGCTGGGCCCTCTGACAGGTGAGTGGGGGAGGGTCCCTGGGGCTGGGCTGGAACCCCTGGCTGTGGGGGTGGGTGGGGGTGCAGGGCCCAGGGATGGAGAGCACACCAGGGCACCCCTGGCCTCCAGGTCTCCACTGTGCTGCGGGGCTCGGTTTCACGAGCAGCTTGTGGGTCTGCAGCGTCCTGTGGGAGGAGGGCGGGTCCCCTCAGGCCCTGCCTCCACACAGGGCCGGGCCCCTTGCCTCCTGGCCGGCGCTCTGGTCCCCAGCATGGGCCTGCAGGCTTCCCTGGGAGTCCTGTTGGGTGTCGACCTGGAGGGTGCCCAGGGACACCCTGCCCCTCCACTCCTGCTCCAGGGCCTCACGTCCTTGGCACCCTGACCTGGTCAGAGGTCACTGCTGCCACTGGGCTTCACTTCCTTTCCTGAAAGCTCCGACTTGCTGGCCAGGGAGGGCAGCCTGACTTCCACCCTGCTCCGCATTCTAGCACTGTCCACCCAGACGTACCCTCCGCTCGGCAACCCGTGGAGCGCCCTCCCCACAGGGTGACCCGGGCCTCCCTGCTTGGGGTGATTTCTTCTCCTGGGTGAGCACATCTCACCAAAGATGTCAGGTGATGGCTGACAGAGGGTGAACTTACCCGGCAGGTGAATTTCAGACCTGTGCGGCGTCTTGGTTCTGAGCTGTGTTTGACTGGTGGCTGGCTTGGCCAGAGTGACCACGGCAAGCGACACAGACTGGGTGGCTGCACACAGCTCTGGAGGGCAGTCTGAGGCGGAGGGGGGGGAGGCTGTGCCCCTGAGGTCTGGGGCAGTGTGCGCCTCTCCCTCCTCGGGTCCCCGGCACACAGGCACGCCACTCCAAGCTCCTCCTGTCTGTGCCTGTGTCTCTTCTTCTTACAGGGACACCCCTGGACATAGCAACCCACTCTACTCCATATGACTCAACTAATCACATCTGCAAGGACCCTATTTCCAATAAGGTCACATTCTCAGGCTCTGGACAGGACGGGGATTAGGGAATGCTATCCACCCCATGTGGCCTCTGGCTCCACTGAGACTCCATCTGAGTAGCTGAGGTCCACAGCCATCCACATGTCCCTTGGAAGCTTCTGGGAGCTGAGTGGGGAGAGTCTGGGAGCTCGGCGCCCCACACATACACGCTGACATTGCCCCGTCCTAGTAGGGAACCTGGCCCTGATGCCCTCTTGGGGAGTGGCCCTTCTCCTGACAATGCAGTGGGAAAGGCCGTGCTCTTTGAAAGGGACTTTGAGCTCGTCTCCCGTGGATTTGAGCCCCCCTCCCAGAGAGACCCCTCCCAGAGACCCGGCCCCTCTTGCTGAAACACCAGGGTTCTGTGGAGCGAATGGGTACACTCTAGCCCACCCACCCAGCCCAGCTCCGGCTCCCTGCCGCCCTCCTCACCCAGTGCCACTGCAGAGCCGAGGGTCCTCTGTGGCTGGTTCTTGAGATCGCGCAGGAAAGATTTCAGACATGCTCAGGGGGGCAGACGTGACTCTGTTGGAAGGAGCAGGAGAGGGGAAAGGGGAGGAGAGGGTCTGCATGCCCCGCCTGCCCTCCTGTGTGGCTGGGGTCCCAGGGAAGTTTCCGGGGAGTCCTCCCTGGGCCCTCCTGACTTTGGACTGACCGCAAGGCTGCATGGGACCTCCCAGCCCCACCCCTCCAGGGGTCTCTCCTGTGGAGGGGAGTTCACTTGCCAACCACTGGAGGCAGCGTGGGTCACTGTGGTCCACGCTGACCAGTTCTCACCCGCGTATCTCCGTCTGTCAAAGCCATCTTCTCCTTATCCGCAGGCGGGTGGGCTTTGGGGGCCACAGGCTACTTGTTGAGGGAGGTAGTATATCCTATGAGTTAGGCCAGGCAGGGCTGCAGCAAACGGTGGGTCAGCATGGTGGGCCAGCATGGTGGGCCAGCATGGTGGGCCAGCATGGTGGGTCAGCATGGTGGGTCAGCATGGTGGGCCAGCATGGTGGGTCAGCATGGTGGGCCAGCATGGTGGGTCAGCATGGTGGCCCAGTCACGGGCTGTCCCTCGCCCTCAGGCTCCCCCTCGAAGCTGTCTGTCCCTTGACGGTTCACTTGCTTCTCAGCTTCCAAATCTGTGCTGTGCTTCTCCCTGCTGTCACCCACCTTGGCTGGCTGGCGCCTTTGACAGAACCTTGTCCCCTCATCTAGAGCACTTCAGCTGGGCAGAAGCACGTGCCCGTAGCCGTCCTCATCCAGAAAGTCCAAGTTAAAATCTGCCCCTGAGAACCAGGGGCTTGGGGGCAGTGCCGTCTGGTGGCTAAGATCGGAAGCCGGGCTGGCTGAGGAGATGTGACTGCCCCCATGGTTGGGACCCTGAGCAGGTGTCCTAGCCTTCAGCCTGGCCCTGCTCGAGAGGGACTGTACCATGTCCACCTAAGGAACAGAAAAGGGCAACTGAAGAGTGCCAGCAGCTGATCAGGCTTGTCCTCAGGACACAGAGTGGCTGCTGGTGTACCACATGTGGTCAGGCCAGGCCGGCCCGGGCCTCGGTGGAACTCAGCGAGTGCCCTGGGGACCACCACCCACAGGTTAAACCTGGCTGGCTAGCCTTCCCAGAGGCCTGGAGACTGGGTGGGAGCTGGAATTCTCAGCTCCTGGATTCCGCCCAGAACGTGGGGCCTAGGAGGGAGTCGGCCAGGCCCAGGCCCACCTCTGTCCCTCTCCTCCCCTCGCCCCTCCCAACAGCACACAGTGCCCCCACGATGCATGTGCCCTTCATGAGGTAGCCTGGGAGGAGAGGCTGAGCAGGTTGGGCCTGGCTCGGGACCCCTGTGGGATCCCAGGTCGGGGCCCCAGAGCATGTTCTAGAAGTTACAAGCTCCGCATAGCTCTGACGGGCTTGTCTCCATCTCCAAGGGAGGACCCCAGGCCAAGGGGTGTGGCCAGGAAGAGCCAGAACAGGGCCAGGCAGGAGCCCCCTATAGGCCCCCACGCCCGGAGGGTCTGGGCTGTGGTGTCTGGTCCACCCTGCGGTCTGACTCTGTCTCTCGTAGGCATGGTCCTGGCTGTCCTGCTCCATGAAGGTTGCCTGCCCCGCCTTTTCCAGAGAAACCTGCTCTACAGGCAGAAGAGCAAGTTCCGAACCCCCAAAGGGAAGCTGGCCCCAGGTTCTGAGGACAGGCGGGCACTGGCGGCAGGGTGCAGTGGCCAGGAGCTGGGGCGGGGCAGAGCCGCTGCTGCGGGGCTACTGCTGAGCCGCCTGGCTCCGTGAACGCCAGCGAGGGTCAGCGCTGATGGACCTGGGGCCTCGGAGCCGAGGGGGCCCCAGCTCTCCTCCCTGGAAGCCACTTGTCAATAAACCGTTGCTCGGTGCCTGTCTCCCTGGGCCTGAAAGGCCTCTCGAGGGGCGGGCAGGGCGCGCACTCGTCTCCCACGGGCTCTTTCCTGCTTCTTGTTACAGAATGAGAATAAAGGGTGGGCCCCGGGTGCAGGGGGAGCCTGGGCTGAGGAACGTCTCCTGGGCCCAGGAAAATTGTGGATGGCACCGGCAGCCTGGGACACGGAGCTCGCCCAGGGCCCTGGGAGATGGCCGGGGGCCGACAGCGGAGACTGCAGAGTCCGGGCCAGGTACAGGGCCCTCAACCTGGTGTCCACGGAGTTCCCTGGCCACCAGGATGATGCCTGCTCACCCCAAAGACAGGAAACCTTGTCAATCTCCAAGAATAATTGCCAGGGGCACCCCATTGTCCCATGGAACCCCAACCGTGGAGCCTCCACCATTTCCCCCCCTCAAACCAGAGCTGATCTGGGAATTCCCACCACCAGAGGATGAAGGTCCCCCTTCTGTGGTCCCGAGTCCCATCCGAGAGGGCAAGGCTGCAGGGGTGTGCCGTGGTCCCACTCTGTCTTGTGGGAGCAGCAGCCCTGACCTGGCTGCTCTGTGGGGAGGGTGCCCCGAGGGGAAAGCCAGGGTCTCCCTGGGGACCTGGTGAGGCCTCGTCTTCTGCTGGCCTTCCAGTGAGGGGACAGAGGAAGGTCCTCCGGCCCCTCCCGTGGCTGCTCCTTCACCCCTCTAAGTCCCCTCACCAGGCCGCTGGTCAGGAGCCTCAGCCTCTCCCTTCCCCTGCTTGGTATGACAGCCTGGGGAGGGGGGACCAGGAGCCCAGGTCCCTAAGGGAGCGCTGGGGTGGAGCCCGCAGCCAGCCCGTGTGGCTGCCCTGCCAGGGCTCTGCAATCCCAGGTCCCACCAGCCACCACCCCTGTGCCCAGCACGGGAGCAGGCAGTGCTGGGCAAGCTACAGCCGGGGAGTGGTCAGGCTGCTACAGGTGCAGAGGGAGGCTGGTCCAGGCCAGGCCTCAGGTCAGGGCCCAGGGAGAGTGCCAGGCCCCAGTGGGCATTGCTGTACCTCAGGGACGGGGGGCCTGCTCATGCAGGTTCTGGGGGCTCACGCAGGCAGCTGCAAAAGCCCACCTAGTTGTCCAGCCCCACAGGTGCATCCCAGAGCAGCACCAGGGACTCGTCCAGGTGCTCAGGCCAGGCGAGCCCAGGGGAGGTCTTGAGGTTTGGGAAAGGGTGGCTCTGGGAGAGACTCCGTCTGGGCTCTGGCAGTGCTGGCGGGGCCCAGAGTGGGAGCTTGCTGCAGAAGGCAGACTCCTGGATTGGGCGGGTCCCCAGGATGGCAAGACTCACTGTCCCTCAGCAGGGGCTGTGGGGCAGCACTAGAGACGGCACAGCTGCCTTGGTCCCGACAGGGTCTTTATTCTGTCAAGCCCCCACGCCTGGGTGTCTGCACACACAAGGCCCTGGCGAGGGGGCTGAGCTCCCTGGGCAGTGCTCAGCTGGGCACCGCTGTCCTGCACCTCCTGAACCTCGTTCGTTGGATCTGATTTGCTCCATGGGGGAGAGGAGGTGACTGCAGGATCCAGGGCGGGTTGGAAGCACCTAGAAGCCCGTGCTGGGGGCAGCTGACCGCCCAGGGGAGAGCTGGGCGTCAGAAGCCCCTTGTCTGGGTGGGGAAGGGCTCTCAGGGCTGATGGGCCTGCTGACCACTGTCTGTCTGGGAGGCCGCCATCTGCAGGGGAGTCTCTAGCTCTGAGACACCTGGTGAAGGTCCGTAGTCTCAACTTCCTGTGAACCTACCATTATTGCAAATTTTTGAAAATAAACCCTTTTTACAGTTTTTCCTGACTTCCCTGCAACAATCACCATAAAATTATTTTTAAAACAAAGAGTGGGGAGTGCATCAAGCCAGAGCTCTGCCTGGGCGGGCACGGGGCTTTCCTGTCACGAAGGAGAAATCAGAAGGACTGGGAACCTGGCCCAGAGGCCCCGTGCCCTGCTTCAGAGCAGGGTCACTCTGAACTCAGGGGAGGCCACGTCACTCATGTAAGGGAGGTGACCTCACGTGTCTTTCAGGGCTCAAGACCAAACCTCCCACAGCCTCCAGGACACCCAGGCAGAGTCCAGGCTGGCCCAGGCAGGGGACCAGCACCCCAACCAGGACCGGCTCCCGGGTCCCTCTGCCGAGGCCTAGCCACATTCCCTGTGTCCAGCAGCCCTCCTGGTACTACTGCCCAAGACCTGATGGGCTACCCTGCACCTGACCTATCTGCATCCCTGGGGGCCAGGGCCCAGGGAGGAGCCCACCACACACCTGAGCTGGAGGCCTGGCCTGGAACAGCTCCTGAGCCTAGACCTAGTCTCGCCGGCTTTGACCTCTCAGAATGGCCTGTGCTCTGAGTGGCAGTGACCTTGAGGCCAGCCCTGCCTGGCCAGGAGACTCCCGTGTCCCCTGAACCATGTTCTTTTTCTGGGGAGCTGAACCCTGGCCTTGGGGGAACCGAATTGGACAAGATCCAGCCAGTGTGGTAGTCACCCCAACTCCCACCGTGGCCTCGGGCAGGACCAGGCCCTACGGGCAATGCCTCACACCAATACTTGGGGTAGCTCTGGTCCCAGAGCCTGGCACACCCTGCTGGGGTTCTGAGGGCCCAGACCCCAAATGCTGCCTGAGGGCAGTGCAATGGCCTAGCATGAACCTGCACCTACAGGTGAGGGCACCTGGGGCGGCTCAGAAGTGGGTGGCTCCAAAGACAGCACCCCTGGCACCTCACCCCACAAATCTCTCCCAACCCTGCCCCTTCCACCCCAAGAAGCCAGCCCCTCCCTGCCTGGCCTCTGGGCAGCAGATGCCATCTCTGGACTGTGCCGAAGAGATGCCCCTGTGACCCCCCAGCAGACCTAACACAAAGCCACAGCTGAGACACGGGTATGGGTTGCGTAGAGCCACGTTTATTTCTTACTTGGACACAGCCGTGATGCACACACAGTACAGGGGCCTAGAGCTAACACTCGGGTAAGACGTGGGGAGAGTCGCTACATCGGGGTAGTGGAGATGACACAGGGTCCCACAGCAATCACATATGTACAAGCCAGGGATGCAGCCTCCAAGCTGCAGGGGCACTCAGAACAGACCAACTACAGGAAGCACAACCCGGGGAGAGACGGGGGCCGTCACAGCCTGTGTCCAACCTGGGGCTGCAGGGGTAAAGGAGGATGCCTTCTGGGGCCCCAGACCTGGCCGAGCTGGCACGGGACCAGCACCACAACCCCGCTCGCAGTACCCCTGACCACGTTCAGGACCCCCAGGTGCCCCAGGCTCTAGGGACCAGGATGGATGTGGAAGGCCACTCTCGGCAGCTATGCTGGCAGGACCACTTAGCAGGAGGCCTTGGGCTTCTCAACCCCACAGGACCCCAGGAGCCGGCATCCCCCAGGCCAAAGCAAGGCCAGAGCTGGGCAGTATTAAGCCTCAGAACCAAACCACCAGGAGAGATGGCTGTCTCGACCTCTCACCTCCGTACCAGCAAGAAATGGGGGCCACAGCCAGACCAGGCGCTCCCCTCCGCGTCACAGGATGGGAAGACCCCAAGGGTCTCTCCACGGCACAGATGTGGACACAGCATTCCAGGGGTGGGGGCAACTGTCCTCAGCTGGCTGGGTACGTGGGTGGTTTCGGGCAGGGTGGGCAAACAGAAACCAGGCTTCCCACCTTGTGGACGCACTGCCCTTGGCCTCTCCTGTTTCTGCAGACTGACTCTGGACGGCCCACAGGGCAGGGGCCCATCTCAGTGCCAGCCGATGCCAAAATGGCACCGCCCAGGCCTTCATGGGGGGGGGGGTCTTCTGAATGCAGAGGGCTCCAGGCTCCTGGCCTTTCCCTCAGCCTGACCCCAGACAGCAGGTGCTCTGCAGGTTGGCTGGCCTCAGACACCCGCTGGTGGGCGGCCCAGACCTTTCCGAGGCCACGGCTTCAGGCTGGCTGACCTGAGTGGCCGTGGTGGGCCTGGACTCTAGCCTGCTGTGAAGGGTGTGGCCTTGAAATCCAACTCAACTCAGAGCAAGGTGCTCTGTCCCACCCTCCCTGCCTCGAGGGGGTCACGGGTACCAGAGTGAGTGCCATCTGGATGCTGTGTCTCAGCCCACTGCCCGCACGGTCCACAGGGCGGTCACCTGGTTTCTGCACAAGGTTTACTTCAGTCTGGGACGGCACTGTCCTCAAGGAGCCCTCTAAAGAAAGCGCTGCGTGGCCCCCACTGCACAGCTGTGGTTTCCTAAGACCTGACGCTCCGACAGAGGCCCCGGGCCCTGGGGACGAGGCAGCCACCCCTGCTGCAGCGGAGCCTGGTGGGAGGACGAGCTTGCATCTGGTCTTGTGCTGGCTGCAGGCTCAGATCCTGCTTCCACAATACCACTCACCCTGAGCCCTGCGGTCTGGGGTGAGGGTCCAGAGGCCTGGACGGTTTCCCCAAGGAAGACCTGAACTTGTTTGTCAGCATGAAAGAGGCCCACACACCTAGTCTCTTCCTCCGAGAGTGGCTTGAGCTCACTAGTCAGGGTAGTGCCATTCAGGGACCACCTGGGCTGATGGGGAACCTCAGAGCCCCCGGCTCATCTGAACCAAGCAGCAGGAGCTGGCAAGGGGGTGGAAGGTGCCCAGCCCCAACAGCAGCCTGGTCCAGGTGGGCCGTAGGGTTAGGGGACTTGCAGTTTGGTTTCTGATTTTCCAAATGGCCTGTGAGTGGGAATTCCCCAGGTGCAGAAGAACCCTGGACAGCCAAGACAGCCTGGTATCTGCCCTCACCCACCTGCCAAGACATGCCCCGTGCATGGAGTCTGCTCCCTGGGGTGGAGAGGAGGGTGTGTGTGAGGAGCTTCCAATCACAGAACTTCCTCCCAGAGCAGCCTGGGGCTCTGCGTCCTCACAGCACCAGGGAGGCCCTGGAGGCCGGGACCCACACCCTGAATGCTGACCTTGCCTGCTGCCCAAGAGCCCTGTGTCTGAACCCAGCCACCGGCCCCGACAGTCTGGACACAACTGGTGAGCCTGGGCGCCATGGACACCCTGGCCTCCTCCCTCCTGGCCCCCCATGGTCCCAGCTCAGGTCCGCTCACCCTCTCAATCCTGCTGGCACCACCTTAGCACCTGGAGACCCCACACACCTGGAGGAGGCTCAGGGAAACCTGGCCCAGGTGTGCCTGTGTGCCAACCGAGGGTCCCACGTCCAAACTCCTCTTCCCCCGCTCTGCCCGAAGGCTGGAGATGCAGAGGGAACAAACAGGGAGGGTGGCCGCTGGGTCTTGCAGGTCTACTCGGAGGCATTAGAAATAAATATCATAAATAGAACACAGTTACAGTTAATTTCTCAGGACTGTCTCAACGTCACTAACTACTGTATATTAATTATAAGTCTGTCTATGCTTAAAAAAATATTAGAGTGGCGGCAACACGGGGTCTTGTGCCCTCTGGCCTCCCTCAGATCCCCAGCTCTCCCCACCCAGAGCAGCTGAGGAGGAAGAAAGAAGGACTCGGGCAGGCTTCCCTGGGGCACAGCTGGCCCTAGGCCCGGGCCCGGCACTCCCTGGCAGGGGAAGGCTAGGCAGCCAGGACAGGACAGACGGGGACGGGGCGAGGGACAGCCGGGTGCTGGCTGGTGGGGGGCTCTGGCTCAGACCCTCATCTGTGCAGACCTCCTCCGGGAGAGCTTGGACCTGCAGAGGGAGGAGAAAGGGGTGTCACGCTGGGACTGACCCCCCGGCCGCGTCCGTCAAGCCCCTGGCGTAAGGGCAGCCCCAGGACCACCAGACGCTCAGGCCCTGGCACTGAGCGGGTGAGGCCTGGTGCTGCCTCAGCCCTCCCACACCCGCCAGGCCCTCGTCTGTGACGTGGAGGACTGTGTGCGCACACCGCCACACATCAAGGCCCACCCAGTTAGTGCAGGCCCACCCCCTCGGACCCCCACAGGATCCAGAAGCAGCTCGGCCCTGCCTAGCGCCCCGGAGGTGCTGGCTGGCGGGGCCCGGGCACAGCCGTACCGGATGGTCCCCGCCAGGAGGGGGTTGAAGGCGTACAGCCAGTCATGCATGTCCTTGTCACTGTTGGCCTGCAGCAGGATACCACGGTGCTCTGTGCACACCGCAAACGTGTTGGGCGTCTGCAAAGGAGGCTGTGGTAAGAAGGAGCGGGCCGGCACCCACCACTCCTGAGAAGGAACCTGGGGACTCTGAGGTGGGGCTCGGGGAGCCGCAGGCCAAACCTCGTGGGGAGGCAGGGCGACCCCTCTGCAGAGCACATGGCCTATCCCGACCCGCGGTGCTCCGGCTCCCTTCCAGAAGCCTCTTCGGTCAGGAAGCTCTGTCCTGGGCCTGGGCCCCACCCTGCTCTGCACCCAGGGGAAGCGTCTGCCCCTCCAGTGGCCGTGGCTGAGTGGCCCTGCTGGCCTGTGTGCAGGGTGTGGGCGGTGGACTGAGTTCCTGCTGCCCCTCCTACAGAGGAGGCCACTCCACAGCTCCTGGGCTCAGAGGACTTCTCTCCCCACTAGGCCCCAGGGAGCCTGCTCCTATGTGTCCAGAAGGCCACACTCGGGGAGGGAGGGGGCCACGTGCCACAGGTTCCCCAGGAGGACAGGACGGGCCACTGGCCATATCTGCCCTGCCCTAGGACCACACTCATCACCAACAGTGGTCACCAGGACTGAGCTGCAGCAGGGCTGAGCCCCAGGTCCCATCTCTGTGCACAGGACACAGTGCCGCAGCCTGGGCAGGGCACAGAGGTGCCACCCAGCCCATGTGGGGCACAGAGGCCTGGCCCGGTTCCTCCCCACTGTCCCCGCCCTGTGGGGGCCCCAGGCCCGGGGACCGGGCGTACCTTGAGCATGGCCTGCTGGTCCTCGCTGTACTCCACCTGGGCCGTGGAGAGGTTGAGCACAAATCTCTCCACCGTGTCCTTGTCACTGTTGTACATGTAGGCGTAGGGGCGTCGTACCACTACGAAGCGCTTGGCCCAGCCGGCTGTGTGCGGCTCCAGGAAGTGCAGGTACCCCTTCTTGGACACGATCGGGCTGTGGGGCAGGGCATCTGCTGGCTCACGTCCCGGCAGCCAGGTGTGGTGCGGGCAAAGGCAGAAGTCACGGCCCCCCACCCAGAGCCAGGCCCACAGTACTGGTCATTGCCCAGGAGAAAGCAGGCCAGAGGCCGGAGTCCAGACCCACTAGCCCACCTCTGGCCCATTTCTGGGGGCTCAGAGGACATCCCAGCTGGGGATGGAGAGACTTGAAGAGCAGACACAGCCCTGGAGCTGCCAATCACGGCCCGGTGACACTAGGCCCCGCTCTGGCTCGGACCCCCGCCCCCCGTCTGCATGTTGCCACAGCAGCACCAGGACCATCGGGGGTGGGGTGACCCCTCTAGAACAAAGTGGTCCCCAGTCTGGGTCAAGGGGTCTGCCTGACCTGGTTCAGAACTGTCCTGCACGTGGGGGAGGGTGTGTGCCTGAGGCCTGGCCCCTGGCTCTGCCCTGTGCTCGGGTAAGGGGCACTGCCTGTGGTGGGCAGCTTCATGTGGGGCCCTACATACCTGACTCGGATTTCCTGGATGTCGGGGACCAGGAGGCGCTGGGGCTCCTTATCGGCCTCTGTGGCCCGCGCAGGGGACAGGGGCTTCTTGGAGTCTGCCTCTGGCACTGGCTCTGGCTCTGGGCTGGCTGGCCGGGAACAGGGCTGCGGGGTCCTGGAAAGCAGGGAGACACACTGTGTGCTGCCAGGGCTCCTCGCCAGGCCCACGCCTGTCTCCTGGGCCCATCCCCTCAGAGGGACCAAGGTGACAACGGGAGCCAGGAGCCCAGCAGGCTGTGTGAAGCCTGTCTCAGAGGTGTGGGGTCGAGACCCTCTCCCCTCCTTTTTTTTTGGTAAAGACAATCTGGGAACCCAGAGGCGTTTCAAACAGGAGTCAAACTCCCTTGAATCCGCCATCAGTGGAGTGAGCCGGGCAGGGGCTCCTCCTGGACGCTGTGCCGCAGGCTGCCTGGCAGTGCTCAGGGTGCTGGGCACACGGCTCTCCCCACGAGCACTTGCGGAGCTCTGTTCTGACTCCCTTGTGGATGTGCTTTGGTACGTGCGCTTGGAGGCCATGTGGAGCCAAGCCACACAGGGGGCACCATGCACCCCTGGAGAGGCCACCACGCCCTCTCCAGCAGGCCCTGCCCTCACCTGTGACACCCCAGGCCCTCCGTCATCCCTGCCCACTTTCCCTGTCCTTATGCCCGAGTCCCAGCTTGGGGTACGGAAGCCTCTCCAGGAGCCCAGGGCTCACTCACCGCATGTCGGTGGCACCGTAGCGACCTTCAACCAGAGAGGGGCAGGTGGAGGACGGGGTGAGCGTGGCTGCTCCCAGAGGCGACATGGACGGGTCCCGCAGCAGGGTGACGGACATCTCAGAGAGCTGAGGCAGAGAAGCCCTCCTCAGGGCCTCTGGGCCTTCTGGCTGCATCCTGCCTTCTGCTGGGGACACCACCTCCCGATTCGCCCCAGCCTCAGCTCAGGTGCCCCCTGCCCTGGAGACCCCCCCTCTCCCAGCCCCTCACACCCCGGCCTGCCCCTCCCAGAGCTTCAGATCTGCGCTGACCCAGGTGGGTTCCAGGTGTGGGGCCAGCTCCAGGTGCCCCTCCACAGCCTCTGTGGCATGTGGTCAGCAGGAGGCTGCTGGGTGAAGGCCGTGGGCCAGGCAGAAGGCCCGCCTGACCTGGTGCAGGGCACCCTTGGGAGGCTGCGGGAGTGAGGCACCAGACCAGCCTCGCTTGGGAGGGGACTGAGCCTGCAGGACGAGCCTCCTCCGAGGAAGGACCCCAGTCCAAGGGATGGGAAGACAGCAGGGGCCAGGAGGCACTGGGAGGGCACACGGGACCCTCAACCACACCATCCTCCCAGGAGCCCCGGCCTGGGATGCCTGACAAGGATGGGACTTCTTGGTGACAAGGGCCCCACAGGTGGCCCTGGGACCCCACCCACCTTGCTCTCGCTGGCACTGATGCAGACATGGCTGTGGGTGTACTCTCTGTTGAACGTGTGCGTGAGCAGACGTAAGCACTGTGGGCAGAGAGCATGCACTGTCAGGCCACACGTGGGCAGACGGGCGAGCCCAAGCATGGCCGGTCAGGTGGGTGCCGACACTGCCCCGGGGACAGGTGAGCCAGGGAGAGTCTCACGGTGTGCAGGAGACCTCCCACTGGTCCATGCCACCACAGATGGTCCAGCTGCAGGGAGCTATGCGCTCCTCACAAGCTCGGGGGTTCCCAAGAGGGCAGGTCGCTGCTGAGGTCCGAGGCAGCAAAAGGCCCCCAGCCGACTCCCCTGCTCCAGAGTGCGATGGGCGCGGCTAGAGGGGGCTCCGGGTCCGTCACCCTCCCCGCTCCTGGACTCTGACTGGAGCCAGCCCCAGGGATGGGCCTGGGTGCCACCCGCGGGCTCCACCTACCTTGACTGCCAGCTCCCGCTGCCTCTCATTGGGTGCCTCCAGGGGCGACTGTCGGCCCTCGGCGGACAGTGGGGAGGAGGCGCCAGAGGAGCTTCGGGACTCACAGTCTTCACTGGAGACGGGGGACAGCACCTCAGGGCCGGGCCGCTGGGTGGTCTCCAGTTTCTCCCGCAGGAGCAGGTAGTGACGGGTCTTCTCGACCTTCAGCAGGAACACGGAACTCAGCAGCCGCACCCGTGAGGGGCAAGGCCAGCCCAGGAGCACCACTGAGCAGCGGGCTCTCTGGTCGGCCTGAGGGGGTCTGGCCCTGGCTGGAGGCCCCCCACGTGAACTGAGCAGGCAGACTCCAGGGCCACAAGGCCTGGGGGACTCAGCCCCCCCAGGCTGCCCTCCCTGTCCACGGCCTCCTGGCCACAGTGCATGGGCCAGCCGGGAGCTGTGGACACGTGCATTCCCTCCCTGGGTTCTGGGGTGGAGGGTGCCACTCTGCAGTGTTAGTGCCTTGGGAAAGGACCGAAGGCTGGCTGGGGCATGGGGCTTCAGTCTCCCCACGGACATGCCACACTGGACAGCCCAAGCTGGCTTTGGAGGTGGTGTCCCTGCCCAGAGCAACAGATGCCAGACCCAATATCCTCCCTGGACTTCTGTCTCATCCCTGTCTGAACACCCCACGTCTCCCGAGTCAGCTCGAGGGGCATGTGCTCCGTGTGGTTCACTCTGGGGACAGGGCCATGGTGCCGCTGGGCCTGGGCGGACCCGGGGCTCACCTCCTGCAGGAGGCTCAGCTTCTCCAGCTCCCACTGGTGGTCCAGGATCAGACTGTCACTCCGGGGCCGCCAGCCGGCCAGGTTCTCCTCACCCCGGACATAGGCCACGGAGGTGTCCAGCACCCGCCGGCGCCGCCGCTGCATCCCTGGCCGAGAACAGGCACTCTGTCCTTCCGGAGGGCTGCCGGGTTCTCCCACCCACCAGGGAGTCCCAGCCGCTGAAACCCCTCCCTTCGGGGATCAAGGTCAGCTTCCAAGGTCAGCAGTGAGGCCCTGGGGCTAAGACCTGGCAGCCACAGGGCCAGCTCACCCCACTCTCTCCATTTGAGAACGACCCCAGAGGCTTCAAGGTGAGCACTTGCGTTTTGCAGGTAAGGGACCCCAGCTTAGCTAAGGTCACCCCAAGTGGAGCAGAGACCCAGCAGCCCAGTGATGCCAGGAACCTGCCTCGGCTCGGCAGAAGGGCAGGGTGTGGCCTACCTGGGCTGCCGGCGTCCGCCACGTAGCACAGGCTGAGCTCGTACACGCCAGTCACTCGGTTGCTACGGCGGGGGGGAGGGCATGGTCACCAGGATGGGGGCAGGCAGGCTGATAGACAGCTGACCCTCATACCATCAAACACACTCTGGGCACAAGCCTATGACCACATCATCTAGGTGCCTGTCACGGGTGCTGACGGTTGGGGTCTGTGACCTGTAGCCTGCCTAGGCAGTTCCACCCCAGACTTCTTCCTGACCCCCAAGCTTGCTCCGGCTGTGCCCAGATGGGCCTGGACACTGGGCACATGAAGCAGATCATGGGAACACCCAACAAAGGTGACCACAGGCCTGCAGAGGACGGCCCTTCTCACTGCCCTGATGTCCTGGCTCGTCCTCCACCCCCAGGACGCAGGAAGTGCTGAGTGCAAGCAAGGTCCTGCCTGAGCCGATGCCCTCGGGCACTGCAGCCTCCCAGAGGACCCGCTTGGCCACGTCCTGCTCAAAGTCCTGTCCAGGGCCCCACTTCCCGCCTGTTGCCCTGCGTAGCAGGCAGTCCCAGCAGTGCAGACCCTGTGGTCCCGGGAGCAAGGCACTGGCAGGGGTGCAGGGGTGCCCCCACGCAGGGCACAGGCTACCTGTGGCCAGGTTGGCCAGGTTCTCTCCGGCCCCTCCCAGGGGGCCAGGGCCAGCAGGGAGTTGGCCGGGAGCGTGCGGTGCTTGCGACCTTCTGAACACAAGTCCCATGAGTATCAGACCACAGGGGACACCCAGGGCATTCTGCAGAGTTTAGGGTGGCTCTCACCGCACCAGGTGGCAGACGAGGCAGCTCCCCTGCCCGCCCCCGTAGGCTCACCCCTCTGAGGCCCTCAGGCTCCCGCTGCCGAACAGGTTTCGGATGGAGCGTGAGGCTGGCAGCTTGGCGTCGCGGGAGTAGAAGACCATGCAGAAGTCCTTGGTGATGACAGCGGGCTGGGTGCAGCTCTCCATCTGCAGTGGGCAACAGCGGACTGGGCACAGGGACCCTGGGAGGATCTGCTCCTGCCCTGAGCCACTGCGGGAGAGGGAGCCAGGCCTGCCCACTTCACTGCTGGGTGGGGCTGGCCCTGAACCTCAGTGAGCCTCACAGCAGACCTGGCTGGACCCACGTTTTAACTCTGAAATGCCACGGGACGTCACTTCACAGCAGGTGACGGGCCTGGGTACCTGCCCTGTGCCCCGTGCCCGCGGGGCACAGCCTCCACTGTTCTCAGGCCGACCTTGCTACCACCCATGAGGTGGTCAGAGACAGCCCCATTTATAGCTGCCCCTCCCTACTGAACCAGCTAGAAACACCCCACTCCCAGCCCCCAGCTGGGCGTCAAGGAGAGGCCTGTTGGCCGCAGACCCTGGAGCAGGGCAGTGCAAGTGGGGCACTCCTGGTTTTGAGCCCCTGGAACACAACTGCACTGTCATCTCAAGGACAAAACCCACCGCCGTGGACGCCGGAGGGGATCAGCTGTGAGCAGGGCCATCAAAAGCAGCTGGGTTCAACTCAGGCCTTGGGCTGTCCTCTGAGAACAGGGCCAGCTGGGATTGTCCAGGGCTCACAAGCACCCCCATAGTCCCCTGCCTGCACCCCAGCTTTGGGGAGTGCCCTTGCCTCAATGTAGGCGGACAGGGTCATGTAGATCTTCTCCCTGTAGGGCGTGACGCGGTTCAGCAGGAGGGAGTTGTGCATGGAGCTGTCCCAGGCGGCCTCAAACTGGTAGAAGGTCCTGGAAGGAAGCAGAAGAAAGGCCACAGATGATGGTGCAGGGGGTCCCGGTGGGACTGGACATGCAGACAGACAGTGCAGCAAGGGCAGGGAGAGCCGCTGCAGTCAGAGGCCCGGGAGCCCGGGCAGCAATGGCGGGGGGACAGGCCCTCCTTACTAAGTCAGAGGCTGAGCAGCAGCTCCTGTGTGGCCCTCCCTGGTCCCCTCAGCTCCAAGGGAGTGGATGAGAGGATGGAGGAGAAGGAGGGAGGTGGGAAGGGAGCCTAGATGGTGAGCCGGAAAGGACAGGGGAGGAGGGTAGGGCTGGGGAGGAGGGAGGAGGGGAGGAGGGAGGAGGGGAGGAGGGGAGGGCTGGGGAGGAGGGAGGAGGGGAGGAGGGGAGGGCTGGGGAGGAGGGAGGAGGGGAGGAGGGGAGGGCTAGGGAGGAGGGAGGAGGGAGGACAGGAGGAGGGAGGAGGGTAGGGCTAGGGAGGAGGGGAGGGCTAGGGAGGAAGGAGGACAGGAGGAGGGAGGAGGGGAGGAGGGGAGGGCTAGGGAGGAAGGAAGGACAGGAGAAGGGAGGAGGGAGGACAGGAGGAGGGAGGAGGGAGGACAGGAGGAGGGAGGAGGGAGGACAGGAGGAGGGAGGAGGGGAGGACAGGAGGAGGGAGGAGGGGAGGGCCAGGGAGGAGGGGAGGACAGGAGGAGGGAGGAGGGGAGGACAGGAGGAGGGAGGAGGGAGGGGCAGAAGCCTGGGCCATCACAGCCTCAGTCTGAGTAAGGAGCTGCCCTGGCCCTCTCTGGCCTGAAGGGCGGTGCCCGGTTTGCCCAGACCTCCAGGACCATCTCCCCACGGGCGACTCGCCCTCCACCAGTGCTCCAGGGAGGATGCTTGGAGTGGGAACCAGGAGGCCGGTGGCAGCGGCGTCTTGTGAGGCTGCACAGCCGTGGACAGGGACTCTGCTCTGTCCCTGCTCTCTAATCTGGAGAGATGATGAGCAGCACGTCTGCCAGTGGCCCCCAGGCCCTGCCCAGGGCAGCTCAGGGCAGCCCCAGGAGGCCAGGACTCTGTGTCCCCCACGGGGTCCCACCCTGCTCTGTGACCCTCAGACGCCTCAGAGGCGGAGTTTGTATCCAGCAACTTCTGCTTGCAGACGGGAGCCCTCGTAGGCCAGGTGCCCATCTGGGGAAGGGCACCTCAGTCCCCACGGCCACCCATGCTGCCCCGTCCCACACCAGCACCCTCGCAGGGCCTGTGCAGACACACTGACAGACAGCGGGCAGCAGTACACGCTCTGACACGCCAGGCCCGATGGGCCACACTGCCCCATCTCCTGGACAGTTGGCCTGGGTGCAGGACACAAGAGTCTCAAGGGTCAGGGCCAGGGCAGGGCCACTGTGGGCACACAGAGCCAGGGAGAGGTCCAGGGGAAATGGGGACAGTGGGAAACCAGGAGGGGGCACAGAGCAGGCAGACATGGAGGAGAAACAGAGTGGTTGGTCAGGGCCAAGGGGACAGCAAGCACGGGAGGGAGACAAGAGTGGGCTGTACCTAGTGTCATTCCGGAAGGGAAGGCTGAGGGGCACCAGACACACGCACACACAGGAGAGAGCGAGAGTCAGACGTCACCCCGCTTGGCCGCCTCACCGCCCCTGCGGCCCCAGCCTGGCCCTGCAGAGGCCCTGCCCCAGCCCTGCAGCAGAGCCCAGGGGGTCCCCAGCTGGACTAGAGGTCAGGGCCCTCTGCGGCCAGGCTGCAGGCCAGAGCTGGCGTCCAGCACAGCCTGACTCAGAATGAGGGCCTGCAAACTGCCCACCTCAAGCGCCACAGAGCCACCCCAGGCCACGTGGTCTCAGAGTTCACCAGGGTGTCTCCACCCTTGGCTTATCTGTATGACAGGTCAGTGACTGTCCCCACTCCACCCGGATGTCCTCAGATGCATCAAGCTAGTGTGTGACCAAGGAAAGAAGGGGCTGACTCCAGCACACGTGACTGCCACTGTCCTCGCTCTGTGCTTGGGTCAGACCAATGGGCCACCAGCCCCGTCTCCTGCTGGGCCCAACCAACTGACCCTTGGTCCGCCTGCCTTGAGAGGCACCGAGCTCCCCGGCCAGCTTCTCTGCGTGGCCCCTCTTCTGGGCCCTAGCCGCCCAGCTCCTTAGGAGCCCTGTGCCCGCCCTGACCTGGGGCCCTCGCCCTCCACCCTGAGCAGGTCACACCACAGGAATGAGCTTCATAGTGTCAGCTGGAGCCACTTCTGGGGACAGGGTGGGCTCGGCCAGGGGCCTGGGTGGAGGATCCCCCCGTCCAGGTTCGGGGCCTCGAGCAGCTCAGACTGCAGCCAGCCAGACACCCGGGGAGCTGACTCGGGGTCTCCACAGCTGTGGGCCTCGGAGGGGTCTCTACCTGACCATGTCCACAGCCAGGACTGGGTCTTCCCAGACTACTGCACCATCCCCCAGGACCCAGATGGTCAACTGGACCTAGGTCCAACATGGACACAGCCATGATGCTGCCCACTGGTTACTTCCAGACTGGTGGTCGGCCCTTGGCCTCGGAGGCCATCTGCTCTGCTCCAGAGGAGCTGCACACAGGGCCTCTCAACCAGCCTGCAGCCCACACCAGCCACGGCTCCCGAGTCCTAGGCAGCCAGCCCTGGAACACCAGCAGCGAGGGTCAGCGGCAAGGCTGATCCCAAAGCTTCTGCAGGGCAAGAGTGCACCCTGACCCGAGTGACAGCCAGAGAGGGTGGACTTGGGTGGGGCAGGGGTGACCAAGGGGCAGCCCCTGGGGACACACCAAGAGTGCAGGCATGCTGTGGGGACCAGGGTCAGCCCTCAATCACAGGGCAACAAACTAAGACCCAGAGAAGCTGAGAGGTGGCCAGTCCCCCACACAGCAAACCCCAGGAGCAGGTCTGGGAGGGCCTCAGAGGCCACAGAGCACCCATGGCCCGAGTGGGCTCAGGACCCGCAGGGGACCTCTATACACACAGGAAGGGGCCTGTGTCCGTCCCTGAAGCCCTCACTCTGCCAAGCTCCAATGTGGCCAAACCCCCTGCAGCAGATTGGATCAGAGGGAATGTCCCCCAAGGCTTAAGAGTGTTGAAACTCAGCCCCTCTGGGGGTTAGAGCACAGAAAGAATCTGACCACAGTGGTTAGAGTGGGGCCTTCAGGGGTGATCGGGGTTAGATCAGGCCATTGACAGAGCCCCAGACTGACCCCTGGAAGCTTTATAATGTTCCAGAACACACATATGTATCTCCTATCTCTTGTCACATGATGGGCCAGGTTGGGACTCCACCAGTAAGAAGGCCATCACCAGAAGCATCCCCTTGACTGCAGACCAGAACCAGGAACCAAAATAAACCTTTTTCCTCTAAAAGTTACCCAGCCTCAGATATTGCATTATAGTAACAGGATGGATTAAAATCCTCATATTCAACTGTATAAAGGTGTGCACACTGACCTACTGAGGCAGAAACACTGGAGGGGTGTCCTTGTAAACAGAGGACCCGGGCTTGTCCTGTAGGGCTTCCCCACCAGCTCTGTGGTGCCCATCATGCTGGAGACCCTGGGAATCTGCCTGTTCTACAGCTGGGAAACCTAGGCCTGAGTGCTCTTACCTGTCCCTTCCTCTGGTGAGGCCATCCCAAACCCCTTCCCTGTCCTTACTCCTCCACTGGGTCAGGAGCCAATTCAGGCTCCACCCCTGGCCACCAGAAGCCCAGGGTTTTCAGTTTGCCTTCAAAAATGTCCCCTGCTCCGCCTCCTTGGACACGCTCCCAGCCCACTGCGGACCAGTGTTCCCACTGCAGTGCTGGACACTTGCAGATGACAGGTGCCATGTCCTCTGCCAGGTCCCGGCCTGTTTCCAGTGAACCACGCCCAGCCCCCCGAGGGTGGCGAGGGCTCGGGACTGACGTCTGGCCCCTCTTACAAGCTGGACGCTCTGCAGAGTGCCAAGCGGGGCAGGAAACACACTCGGTGGACGGGGCAGGTCAGAGACGGCAGAGCCGCCAGACAGGAGGGCTGTGGCTGGAGGGAGCTGTGCCCTGTCCCCAAGGCTGGGGCAACAAGCAGGTGCCAGAGAAACAGGGCCTGGCCCTGTGCTGGCTTCCCCGGCAGGAGGCTGCCGTCCAGCAGGCAGAGGGGCAGGGGCTTCCTACCCCTGGGCACACCCGTGGGAGGCAGCATTCACTCTGTCCAGGGTCTGTGCCTCAGGGCTTGGCAGCAGAGGCTGCTGCCTTGGAGAAGGGACCCCCAAATGCCAGGCAGTGGCTGGGCCTGGCCGGGTGCCTCCCTGCGCTCCGTCCCCTTGGCTCCCGATCGGGTTCCCTTCACCTCCCGGCTCCATTGCTCCCCAGTGCAGTCTGCCCACCAGGGACCTGGCGCTGCCTTCTATCAGGTCATCAGGGCACTGGACCCTGACACAGGGGTGCCTGTCCCCTACTGCAGTGTCCCAGGACAGGGCCTGCGGGGTCAGCATCTGCTGAGGGTGGAGTGGGTGAGCCCCTTGGCCAGGCTTTGAACCTCCTGGACAGGCAGCTTCCCATGCAGCCCTGCAGCCCATGAGGTGGGGCCTGCAGGACCCAGGGATGGATGGCTGAGCCAGCTAATGCCGTGGGTCACGGCAAGGAAGGGCAGGAGGGGACCCTGAGGTCTCCACGGGACCTATGTCTGGGCCTTTCCCCAGGAGGTTGGCAGAGCCTCTTGGCAGAAGCCAGTTTCCAGGCCTGGTGGGAGGGGAGGGGAGGCCCGAGCCGCTGCCCACCCCATGGTGGTCTCAGGAGAACAGCCTGACGAGGACCTCGCTGCCCTTCGGGGACACCCATTCCGATCCCTCCACTCAGGGCAGGCAGGACGTGGAGCCCAGGGCAGGGTGCACAGATGGGACGCAGATAGGTCTGGACCACCCTCGTCCTGGCCCTGTGTGCCTCCCGGAGGCCGAGCACAAGACCTGCGGCATCTCACTGTGCCTTTCCCAGGGGCTGAACAGGTTCACCCGAGGCTGGTTAGGGAGCACGCACATCCGCCAGCCCCGGGGCACCCTGAGCCAGCAGCTGTCCTGCTCTCCTCGGGAAGGGACCTGGAGCTGCAGAATATTCCACGCGCAGTCACATTCCTACAAACATCAGGGCTCAGTCTGGTGGCCTCAGGGACCTGGCTCCTCCCCACACCCATCACCTGCAGGGCAGCGGCACTACCCACCACAGTGGCTCCCTGGCCCACAGAACTGGGCCCTGGGAGGAGGCTCCTGGCCCCACCCTTGCTGAGCAGAGGGCAGGAGCCTCGGGAGGCCTGGGCTGCTGAGGGAGGCCTGCTGAGGAGGAAAGGTGCTCCCTCCCCTTCCAGTTGCCAGAGCTGGCCTGCTCCACGTCCACCCTAACCCTTCCTGGAGGCCCTGGTGTGGGCAGCGGGGGTTATCTGCGACCCGCCAAGCACCCCGCAAACATACAGAAGGTGTGGAACCTGAATATTGGACAGACCCAAACTTGAACAAAATGCAGACGCATGACCTCGTGAGATCACACTGAGAGATCTCCCTGGGAGCGGGGAGGAGGCTGAGGCCACGGCCAAGCGCTTGCACACAGATGGGTTCCCAGCCCAGGATAATTCTGAGCACAGGGACGCCTGAGCCAAACCAGCTCACCTCTAGGACCAGCAGTGGGCTGCCTCCTTCAGCAAGCCTGCCCCAGGGGACCCAGGGCGAGGGAGGAGGGCCCCTGCTCAGGCCTGTGCAGGCTGTGCCCCTCCTTGGCCACCTCTGTAGTTGACCCTGGGCAAGGGTCTGCCTCACCCAGCTCCAGGTCCCAGCAGCCTTTAGGAAGACGTGCTCACCTAGGTAGGTGCATCCACGTGCTGCCCCAGGGAACAGGCCACAGCCCCACGGCCCCAGGGGGCCCCTTCCAGGCCAGTTTGCCCTCAGCTAGTTACCTGGTGCCCAGTCAGGCCCATCTTTACTGGCTCACCACCGTGACCTGATAAGGACAATCTCCAAAAGTCTGGACTGTGCCCGCCCAGCCCTAGGGCTCTGTCCAGGGAGCGGCCAGTATTTTCTGGGCTGTACAGCTTAAAGGCTCAAATGTTCATGGCTTCAAAACAGCTGATCTACTAATGACCACCATGAAGGTCTGACCACCATCCCATAGGCCCAGAAGGTGAGACTACGCAGACCTGCTTTTGGAACACCCTGCGTTCTCCTTAGATAAAGCCTGGATGAGGACCTTGGAGGCCATCTTAGGGCCTTCCTGAGCCCCTGCACCGGACCAGGGAGGGGCAAGGCCTGGAGTCAGGGGAGCAGGAGCTGCAGCCTCTGGGGCCTCCGGGGGGGAACCTGGAGCCAGCCCCGCCCAGGGACGCGGGGGTCTCCACGGACTCACTGCCTGCCACTTCCCAGAGGGAAGGCACGGCCACAGGCAGGGCAGAAGGCTGGAGTGCGTCCGTCCTGCAGCCCTCCTGAGGTCTGGCCAGGCAAGGGGCTCAGGCAGCCGTGGAGTGTGCTGGGATGTGAGCTGCCTGTGACTGGGTCCCCTCTGCCCCAGACCCTGTGTTCTTGGCTCTGCCTGCTACGGCCCTGGTAGGGAGTGGCTGGCCCATGCAGCTGGGGCAGCCCAAGGCAGCCTGGCCTGCATGCAGGGGACCCCTGTGCCCACTCCGGCCAGGCTGGGGTGTCAGCACAGGGTGGGCAAGGCTGTGAGGGCGGAGGGGCCAGCCAGCATCTATGAGGCAGGAGCTACCAAGCAGCCACAAATAAGAAGGGCAGGGAGCACTCAGCCAGGGGGTAGGTAGCAGAAATAAAAAATAAAAAAACAGAACCATATTCCAAGGAAATAAAGTAATAAAGAGGGAGAAACAGGAGGAAACGGTGAGCAAGTTTATAAGAATCAAAAAGCTGGAAATTAAATGTTCAGGGTTGTGTGGGCGGTCAGGGAAGGAGGCAGGGGAGAGGCTGAGAGGAACCAGGGACATGGATGATACCTAGGAATGTCCGAATCAAGAAACTGCCTGCAAAACACAAACAGTCAGAGGTTAGTGAGGGTCATGGGGAGCGGGCCAGCAGCGGGGCAGCAGCGGGGCAGCAGGGAGCCACCTGTGGTGGTGGGCCCACTCTGAGCCAAGGCGGCTGCAAAGCATGGGTCCTGGGAGCAGTGGGGGGAGGCTGAGGCCATGGCCAAGCGCTTGGGCAGCCCGAGGCCCCTGGGCCTGGCTGGGACTACCCCACTATCGTGGGGTCCATCCTCAGCCATCCAGACACAAGAAGCCCTGACCATGCGGGCCTTGAGGAGGGAGTCACAGGCTGTGCCCGCCTGGGGCCACCAGCCGGAAGAGTCCTCCTCGGGTTGGGGAGCCAGGGGAGCAACAGCAGAGCGGGAGCCAAGCAAGAGGAAGCGTCTGGCTAGTCTACACTCCCCCTGGACAGGCCTTCCTGCCTCCTGGGACCCAGGGCTGGCCCACCCTAGCTCCTCAGCCCCTGGGAACATGGCTGAAGCTCTTCAGTGACATGTTCCTGGACCCCAGGAGCAGGGCGAGCTGTGTGGCCCAAGCCCCATCTGCCTGAGGTCCAGCAGCCACCTCCAACATCACCCTCAGCTTAGCCAGGGCCACGGCCACCCAGGGAACCCCTCAGCAGCCAGGCTGGCCAGAGGAGGACAGAAGACCCTGGAAATATAGCCCTCAGCACAAGGAGAGAGTGTGGGGAGGAAGACACCCCCACCCACATCTCCCCCTGCCACCTCTCATCCTGCCCCAAGAATCCTGGCGCTCCTGTGTCAGGGAGGGTCAGAGGCGGGGGGATGAGGTCCTCTTCCAGGACCCAAGCAGACAGGCCCTCTGGACCCCCACCCTTCCCTCTGGGTCCTGGTCCACTGAGACAGGAGTGGTGGCCCACACCCCAAGGGCAGCACCCACACGGGAAGAGATGGCCTTTTCCATGCCACCCTCGTGGTGACAGGAAACCTGAGGTCAGAGGGAGAACCAGGCCCTGACCACCCTACTGTCTGCCTCCCCTCCCCTCCCAGATGTGACTCCCAGCCTTCCCACCCCGTGCCATCTGCAGGAGGGACCGTCCAGCCCTCTCCACCCCCTGGACTGGATGGAGGTGAGTTCTGTAAGAACGAGGGTCCAAGCCACATCTGTGCGTCCAGGTCTCTGCCTCCACCCAGTCACCCTGTCCACTGTCCCCACCGCTCTCTGACGCTGCTCTGCCCAGCCCTGGCTTCACCTGAGGCCGCCCAGGTTTCTCCTGGTGCCGAGGGGTGACCCGCCTCTGGCCTAGCCCTGGGGTGTCTCTGAAAAGGCAGCACTGTTTGGACCTGAGACTGGGAGAGCAGGGGACGTCTCCCGCAGGGCCCTGTCCCACGGCCGGCCTTCCCTGGCAGAGCTGCGGCCCCTCCCCCTCCCCAAGCACACCCACCGGTCCAAGAGGCTCTTCCTACAAACAGCCCCCAGCCCAGTCTCCAAGGGCGACGTCAGGCCAGGTGCAGCGCGCAGGGCACGGCCTGGCTGGGGCTCGGAGCCCCTGCCAAACCTCCCCAGACCTCTGGAAAGCAGCTCTCGACAGCACGCTGGCTGCCACCGCTCTTCAGGAGGGTGACTCCACATCCCTGACCCCAGTCAGCCTCAGATGCCGCCCCTCTCCCATCCCACCCACCCTGCCAAACCCCACAGGCCAGCCAGGTGTCCCTGAGACCTGAATGGCCCTCCACTGCCCTCACACCAGGACTGCACCCACCCAGGGTGCATGACAAGAGCATGGGACAAGCAGAACCCTGTGGTCACACCTCCACCCTGAGCTGCTGGGCCACCAGCTCCAGGACCCTATCCCCAGGACCCAACAGGCTCTAGGCTGGCCACCATGGGATGCACCCTGGGAGCAGGACCTGGTTGTCCACCCACTGTCCCAGCCACTGCCCCACCTGCCACGGAACTCCTGGGGACAAGACCTGGCTCCTACTCCAAGCCTATGCTGGACCCTCTGCCAGGTGTCACGGTGGCATGATCCAGGGTGGAGGTCACCTAATAGGCGAGAGGCCTGGGGGCCACCAGCCTCCACTCGGGCACCTGTCCCATCGATGTCAGAAAGCAGGTGGGAAGGCTCTGGGGCCAGACGCCTGGTGGCTGGGTCAGCAGCGGCCATGGGGCTGGGTGCTGGCCGCCACCCCTCAGGGACTCACCGGTCATCCTGGGCTGGGTGGACATATCCAGACGAGAGGATGTTGAGGGACAGGATGTTGGGGTCGATCAGGGACTCGTCAGTCTCCGGAGTGTTTCGGATGCGACCTGTGGGCAAGGTCATTGAGAGGTGTCACTTCCCAGGAGGCTGGCAGGGGTGTAGGGCAGAGGTGCAGGACACGGGTGCAGGACAGGAGCCCAGTTAATGAGCAGCCGTCCACAAGGCTGTGGAACGGGCAGCAGGCAGGTGGCAGGCGAGGCCCTGGCCCGCTGCTTCTCCAGGTGTCCCTTGCAGGCCACGCTCTGTCCCTGTGTCTGATGGTTCTGCCGGCCCAGCTGGAATGCACGGCCTTGCACTGCTGGAAGGAGCTGACCAAGAGACGGTCCTGCTTCCTTTAACACACATCTGCCCCGCTAGTGACGTCCACTCTGGAAAGGGGGAACCAGCCAGAGGGAGCGGGCTCTCCCCTCCGCCACCCCGGACGTGGCCAGGATGTCTGCACGCTGGGCCACCCGGCCTGGCTGCTCCGACTTAAGCTCTGCAGCATCTGGGTTCTGGGAAGAGGGGAGGTGGGCCCTCCTCATGCCGGGGCCCTCCAGGACTTGGGGTGCCTATGACAGGGAGGGGCTCAGTGCAGGGACAACCTGCCCAGACAGGACGTCAGCACTGGGGACAGCAGAGCTCTTGTCTGCAGGGAGTCTGCTGAGCACCTCTGGTCAGGACAGGGACACTGGTGGGGCCTGGCCTGGGGTCTGCTCCCAGTCAACAGCCCTCCAATACTCCCCAGCCCTCAGGAGCCCACCCACCCAGAGCTCAGCACTGCCTCAGGATGTCTCCTGTCCCTCACCCCTTTGGGGAGCCCCTCCCAGCCTATGGGGAAGGACCTGGGGTGGGGGAAGGCTGTGAAGGGGGCCAAGGGCCTGGACAGCAGTCAACTGCTCCAGAAAGTAAGTGGGCTGTGAGCCCCATGTCCAGTCAAGTGTGGGAGACCAACCTCACACGTGACTGAGTCGCACTCCCTGGCTGGGTGCTGAGGCGCTCAGTCACAGAAACGTGGCAGAGCTTTCCCCACCCTTCTTGGGTGCGAGGGTCGGTGTCTCGTGCATGTGTGTGTCTTGCTACAGCCCCGTGGTGGAGCTACACTCGCCTGTTCCTTTGTAATCTAACCCCTTGCCCTGCTTAGGATGGAATCTTCCACATACAAGTGCCTTGTGTGTGTCCCCTCCTCTTACTGTGCCCTGGGTGTGGCCTACCCAGGTGTCAGTCAACCTGCTGACAGTGGACATCATGAAGATAGACTCAGCCCCCTGAAACCTGACCCCTGGCCTCATTTGAATAGCTTCTCCTCAATAAAAGGGGTCAGCACATGCTCTCTCTCTCTCTTCCTGCGGACCCTTAAGGTCAGAGGAGCCGTCACAGCGACCCCAAAGAAAAAGGTATTTGTGTCTCTTATGGGGTTACTTGTGCAGCCCAGTCAGCCCCGTTTACCTGGAGTGACCCTGACCTTTTCGTCTCGAGGACTGAAACCCGGCAGTCAAGGCTGCTGGTTCAGGAAGCCAGAGGCAGCACCCAGTGCTCATCCTGGACTGGGGGCTCTGCACAGGGGGCAGGATGTCCCCTGTCCCCTTTCATTCCTACCCTTTCACATAAGGGACATCAGAGTCCACATTTTAAGAAAGGGAGGAAGATGGATCATGGGGTCAGCTCAGGGTGAGCTGGAGGGACCTGGGCAACAACAGACCCCAAGGCCCGTGAGGATACAGCTCTGTGTCAGGCCCCGCCCCCCCGGGTGCAGACAGTGGGCACAGGATGTTGGCATCCGCCCCCGGGGTGGCGAGGTTCAGAGGCCAGCTGTGTTGGATCTTTGCCTTTGAACTGATTCCCTCTTTGGGTCTGGCCAAATAGGAGGGTTTGTGCACCTGCTTCATGCTTTCTCTGTGTGAAACAGACACAAAGCTTGTAAAACAAGCCTCCCTGCCAGGGTCCTGACTCGGACGAAGAGCAGAGGGTGCACCCAGGGATAGGGCCCCTGAGCCCCCTCCCTGCCTGGCCATCGAAAGGCCGGGACCTCAGCAGTGCTCCCAGAGGGGCCCCCCTACACCCCAAGGCAGAGGTGGGGCTCACTTTGGCCCCACGCTGAGATGGACACCTGTCTGAGCCCCAGAGTGAAAAGGGAGTGGCGGATTCCGCACAGCTTAGAAAGGAAACATCTGACAGACCAGAGTGGAAACAAGAGGTCAGGGCAACGCCAGGATGTCCCTCTGGTGGTGGTCAGGGTGGCCTGGGTTTCCCCAAAAGTAGACAGCCCCCCGTGTGCAGGTGGGTGCAGAGGTCCCACAGTGGTGGGCCCTGATGTCCATGGCCAGCATGCTCGGGGTCACCTGTCAGAGGACAGCTGCCTGCCTGGAGGACTATGTGGAGGTCCGTGCAGCAGGGGCTCTCCCCCAGCCAAGGACGGGGATGGCCCTGCCACCCACCGCCAGGTGAGGCAGACAGGGCCAGAGAGTACGCTTCCCACTGGCCTTGATCTGGGCCTTCTGGCCTCCAGAGCAGGGGATTTCTGTGGCACTTTGGGCCAACAGCCCCAGAACACTGACTCGGATTAAGCAGGAATTTGGGAATCACCCCCCCAGGTCCAAGGCTCTCCTTTTTGGCTTAGGGACTGAGGCAGAGAGGTTTCGGGACTGAGCCAGGCCACACAGCACACTAGCATGCCAGCCCAGCCCTGAGGCAGCCCCACGTCCTGCTCACCCACGACCAGCTCGCGCACTTCCTTCCAGCGGATGTGGCTGCCCGTCTCATGCAGCAGCGTCACAGTTATCCGCCTCTGGATGCCCTGTGGGGCACAGGAGTGGGGACAGTCAGACCCCCAGGGTTATGGAGGGCAGGAGAGGACTGGGCACACTATGGGGGCAGGCAGGGCTTCACACCTGGTGGAGGAGGAAGGTCCCCATGCAGGGCATGCCGCCACGGTGGTCCACCACAGCAGGGATGTAGCTGGAAGAGAAGAGGGTGAGATGCTGGCTCCTCCCAGCCCTGCCCTGGCATGGCCCTGGTCCCAGAGAGAGCAGGCACGGGCACAGGAAGACATCAGCTGCCTCCACAGACAGAAACACCCCGCCAGAGGACACAGGGTCAGCTGGGCACCAAAGCCAGGCCACACCTCCTTGACCATCACCCCCAAGCCCTGCCCAGTCCCTGAATTGCCCGGGTAAAGTTGCAGCAGGGGTCCCGTCGCATGCAGCACAGAGCCCAAGCCAGCTCGGGCCTCCCCACCCTTGGCCCCTTCTGGGCCACCAGCCACACCAGGCAGCCACGGCCCCTGCGCTGTGGCCTGGGAACCTGGCTCCCCTGTGCCTCTTCAGGTCTTCCTTTCAGTGTCCCCCAATCATGTGTGACAACCCTCCATGCCTGCCACCTCCAGCCCCAGCCCCGACTCCAGCCTTGGGCCCTGGACCTGGCACTCAGCCCAGCCGCCAGATTGTCCGTCAGCCCCACCCCTCAGCGGGGGTGTCTGCTCCTTCCCCAGCACCTAGGAGGCCACCCACACCAGACACCTGCTGAACCCTGCTGAGAGGACCCCTGGATGGTGGGAACCAAGAGGCTCCAGGCCTGGCCCCTCCCTCTGCCCCCCGTGATGCCCTGAGGACCTGTCCCTGACCCCAGCGTGGGCACCGGGGCCGTACTCACTCCCCGTTGGCCTCCAGCTCGCAGATCTCGAAGTAGACCAGCAGATCGTACTTGCAGTGGCAGGGTCCCGGGCAGGGCCGTGTCAGCGTGCTGAGCTTGGTGGCAGGCACTGGGGACAGGCGGACACACACTGAAGGATACCTGACCTGCTACATGGCGAGCGCACACTGGGGTGTCCACCAAGGTGGCTCCTCAAGAGAAAAGCCCGGCAGCCAACCTGGCACAGCACACATCTGTGTGCTGCCTGGACCGTCCACTGACTGTACGTTGCCCAACAGGCCTTGTCCTCAGTCCCCACTAGCCCCTCGCTTGTGTCCAGCTCCTGATAGCTTCCGTCCCCCAGTGGACCCCTCACCAAGGCCCTTCCTCTATCGATTCCCATCTGAGCACTGGCTGGTTCACCTAACAGCTGTGGATCCAGATGTCTGTCCTGAGACCACGGGGAGACAGTGGCCAAGGAGCAAGAGCTGGACCCAACCGCAAGGCCCGCTGGCACACGGTGCAGGGTCAGCAGTCCTGGGGAGGGGAGGCTCCACAGCACCCACCTGCAAGACCCCGCCTCACCGCAGAGGGCCCTGTTGGCACCCACAGCTCGGGCACCTGCCCCGGTGAACCAGGCGAGTCCCACCTACCTGGCTTGGACAGTGGCATGACCCGGGGAAAGTGTCTGCGGGAGGGCCTCAGGGGGCTGTGGAGAGAGAGAGCCTTGGGAAGGGGACGTGGCAGGCTGGAGCCAGCAGGACGCTTGTGGCCGGCTGCCAACCCTCAGTCTGTCCCTGCCTCCCTGTCTCCCACCAGGCGAGGAAAGGCCTGATCTCATGCCCTGGACCTGTGTGGACAGGAGACAAGGCCCCCCACCCCGGACTCCAGGCTCTGCCCCAGAGGCCCCACAAGGCCACAGAGAACCAGGGGGGTGGAACTCTGGGGGTCCCAGGCCCGAGGCTCCAGGACAAATGATCCCAGAACGCTACAGAGCAGATGGGGCTCCAGGCCATGCCGGCCATCGGCCCTCTCTTCCCTCGGCCCAGTTCTGGTCCTGCTCCACGGTGGAGGGGGAGATGGAGCTGGTGACGATCTGGGCACAGAGGCTGATCACAGTTGTCCCACACTGAGTACCTGGGAGGGCTCAGCCTGGCCCAGAGGGCTCCATCCCACCCTCTGGGGCCCAGGGTGAGGGGGACCCCCACTCTCAGGGCCCAGGTGAGATGGACCTGGCTCTCTCTTTCTGAGCCCCTGGGAGGATACATGGGGTGAGGGGGTGGACAGACATGCCCAGATAGAACAGCTGGACAGCAAGCACCCCGACACTACCCGTGCTCAGCGGGAGGCCGAGTTTCCAGACTGAGGCCCCTGCTCCGTTCTAAGAGAGAAGCCAGACCAGGCGCAGAGCTCTGCTGAGCCACCCCGAGTCCTGCAGGCCCCAGGTGAGCGGCCTCCGGCAGGCGGGAGGAGCCTCAGAGGCACGCGGGCTCTGCAGCCTGAGGTGCAGGCAGTGACTGGGGAGGCGCCCCTGCCCTGTGATCCTGGCAGCTGACCTGAGCACATCCTTGCAGAGAGGCGGGAATGGGTGCTGCTGGTAGTGGCCAAAGACCTCGAACACGATGGGCTGGCTCCGGATGTACTCAATGAAGGACTTGGTCACCTCCACTGCGATCTGGACAGCAGAAAGCGTTCAGTCTCCAGGCAGACCCAGCGCTCTAAGGGACACTACCAGCCCACCCTCCGCCCTCCGGGGGACAACACTCCCTGGCAGACCCTGCCACGAGGCCTCTCCTCCCAAGACACACCCAGGCCAGAAACCAGGGGGCAGCCCACTTCCCCAGGGCATCTGGGGCCAGTCGCTTGGCTGCCTTTCAGAACACGGAGCCCGAGAAGGAGACCGAAGCCAGGGCTCCCCTGCCACCCTTGCCCTTGCCCACTCACTAAATTATGGGGTGAACTTGCACCCCCCAAATCCTGCCCTTAAGTCCTGACCCCAGGGCCGTGGAATGCAGCTGTTTAGATACATGACCGATAAAGTGAGGTCACAGAGTGTGCCTCATCCAGTGTCCAGTGTGGCTGGGGTCTGGACCCCGACGCAGGAAGGAGCCCCAGGAAGGAGCAGCCCGCTGCCACCTGACGGGAGGAAGCAGCCCCAGAACCAGGCTGCTCAGAGCCGCGTCACAGCGGCCAGCCGGTGAGCACTCCTCCGTCTGTCCTTAGATCCTGCTCTCACTGTCACCAGGCCAGCACTGTCCTCCCCACCTCTCAGCCTTGCTGGACTCCCGGGGCCTCTCAGGACTGTGCTCAGGCATCCTCTGGCCCTCCTCAGGCCCAGCCTCCACCCTGTCCCTGCACCCAGGGTGCCCTCGGACAAACCCAGCCAGGACCTCACTCGACCCTCTGTGCCATGTCTGCCCCTTGGGGACACACAGCCTGCTGCCCTGTGTAGGCCCACCCCCACATGGCACTGGCGGCCCATGCTCCTGCCGGGCAGCGTCCTGCTCAAGCTGTCCAGAGCAGACGGGGGCAAGCAGGTGAGGGCAGAGGGCTCAGACGTACGTTCTGGACGTGGTAGAAACCGAGGGGGGGCCCCCTGCCCGTGTTCTTCAGGGGCTCCGTGGAGAAGGCCTCATCATGGCGGTGGATGAAGCTGCAGGTGGGAGGATGTACTTGGTGGGGGGGACGTGGGGCAGGGACCACAGGCCTCACTGAGGGTCACATGTCCTGGCCTTCACAGCCCCCCAAACCTGTGTCTGACTTTGTGCCCCAGACTGACAGCCTCCTCAGAGTACCTCTCCTGACAGTTCAGGGACAGAGGGCAGGACAGCCTGGGGACAGAGGGCAGGACAGCCTGGGGACAGAGGGCAGGACAGCCTGGGGACAGAGGGCAGGACAGTCTGGGGGGCAGAGGGCAGGACAGTCTGGGGACAGAGGGCAGGACAGTCTGGGGGGCAGAGGGCAGGACAGTCTGGGGACAGAGGGCAGGACAGTCTGGGGACAGAGGGCAGGACAGTCGGGGGACAGAGGGCAGGGCAGCCAGGGGACAGAGGGCAGGACAGTCTGGGGACAGAGGGCAGGACAGTTGGGGGACAGAGGGCAGGACAGTCTGGGGACAGAGGGCAGGACAGTCTGGGGACAGAGGGCAGGACAGTCGGGGGACAGAGGGCAGGGCAGCCAGGGGACAGAGGGCAGGACAGTCTGGGGACAGAGGGCAGGACAGCCTGGGGACAGAGGGCAGGACAGTCTGGGGACAGAGGGCAGGGCAGTCTGGGGGGCAGAGGGCAGGACAGCCTGGGGACAGAGGGCAGGACAGTCTGGGGACAGAGGGCAGGACAGTCTGGGGACAGAGGGCAGGACAGTCTGGGGGGCAGAGGGCAGGGCAGTCTGGGGGACAGAGGGCAGGGCAGTCTGGTGACAGAGGGCAGGACAGTCTGGGGGCAGAGGGCAGGGCAGTGTGGGGGGCAGAGGGCAGGGCTCACTTAAACTGGCAGAAGATGTCAGCGTATTCGGCAGAGATGCTGGAGGCCTGCAGGACGGTCACACGGAAGGTGAAGGTGCTGCCCAGGCGGAGGTGGTCCAGGGTAGCGTCCAGGGGCCCATCCAGGACGGCTTTCTCAGGGCTGTCCAGCAGGAGACCTTCTGGGGGCACTGCTGCTGGGAGTCGGGGGAGCCACAGGGTCTCCAGGCTGTTCTGCGGCCACATGGCGGGGCTGGCAGCCAGGCTTGGTACCCCTGAGGGGACCTACCTGAGCAGGTATTGTTGTTCACCTCGTCGGCCGAGGGCCCTGCATCTGCGCCCTGGCCCTGGCCCTCCACAATGCGCAGCTCTTCCTGAGAGGTCCCCGAGCGAGCCATCCCCACCCCGGGGCAGGACTCAGACTGAAACTGTGCAGGGTGCAGAGTCAGAGACGGGGAGCTGGGAGCTGGCCAGGTGGGCCATCCCAGCCCAGCCCGTCGCACCCCACAGGAGGGTGTGCAGCCCTGGGCCAGGGCCTGCAGGGACCCGTGCTCCTGACCTGCCCCTGCTGCGGACCCGGACCCGCGGCCACAGCCTGTCCCCGCCCCCGCTGTGAGCGGCCACCCCTGACTGCAGCCACCCTTGACTGCAGCCGATTAACCCTTGGGAAGAACAGGAGACGGGCTTTGGGGAATGGGGAAGGGAGCGTCCTCTTGCAGCCGGGGCCCTCCCGTGGGCAGGACACAGGTAACCACCCGTTCCTGGGCATTCCTGGCACTGACACCCCTCTAAGAGGGGGAAGCGGTAGGGTCACGTGCACCCTGCTCAGGGTGCGGAGTTGTGAGGCTCCTGGTGACAGGTAGCCAGGTGGGCACAGGCTAGAAGAGTGTCTAAGGAAAAGACAAAGCCTTGAGCCTGGTCATCACAAGGGACCGTCCCCTCCTCTCTCTCTCCAGAGGGCACAAGAGGGCGCCTTGGGTCTGCTCCTTCTCTGAGGCTGGAGGTGGTGGCCTCTGTGGAGCCTCCCTCATTCTTCAGGTTAGGGTTGGGGAGGCAGGTGAGGGGGCAGTGGGAAACCCAGTGTGCCACTCAAGAGAGGGACACTGGGCTGTCTTCCGGAAGCTCGTCCCCACCCCCACTCTGTGCTCTGCTGTACAGGACCCAGGAGAGGCCAGAAGCCAGGAAGGGGCACTGCAGGTCGTAGAAAGCAAGAGACAGGACAGGCCGGTGCTTGGGGACGGGAGGAGAGCACCAGGATGGCCTCCAGGGGTTGGCGGTGTCCCCAGCTGTGTGAGGAGAACAGTGCCCTGTACCTTCTCGAAATGCTGGTCGTCAAAGGAGATTTTAGCGGTTCCTGACTGGCGGACACCAGAGCCGTAATCAGGGGCCTCTTCATCAGCTGCAAGAGGAGCCAAAGAGGTGTCTGGGTCCAGCTGGTCCCCATGGTGGGCACAGCCAGACAGAGGGCCTGCGGCCAGACTCACTGCTCTAGGGACAGCCAACGTCACCAACCACAGTTCAGTAACAACCAGGGTGGCGTCCAGGGCACACTGACCAGGAGCTGCCCCAGCATCCCGCATGTGGCTGTGTCCTTGTCACCACAAACTACATTGTCAAAACCTAACCATGGCCCCACCCAGATGCTCAGGTAGAATCATGCCACCACTCGTGCAAGCCACCCATAGCAGCCATCTGGACCCTCAGAGGCCCCACCCAATTCCCCAAACCCTGACCTGGCTTCTGATGGCCTCCAGACCCCAAGGCAGCTGACTGCCCAGGCCCCATAACCTCCCTCAGTCCAGTTCAGGCCCAGGGGACTATCATGGTGCCCTCCTCTCCATCGCTGGCCCAAAGCCGCACAGCTCTGTTCTGCCATGGCCCAGGGCACAGTGGGGCTCAGCAGATAGGCTGACCTTTGCCATGGCTGCAGGGGTGGGGCACAGGTGACTTCTGTGCCCACCACGTCAGGCACCTGCCTTCATAAGTGCCCGCAGCCTCACATAAGCCAATATTAGGCAGCACTCAGAATACAGTGAGCCCGCGGTAGGGCCTTTTGCACAGGTCAGGACCCTGTTTCAGCCTCGTTTCCCAAGTGTGACCTGGAGACAGACCTGGGCTCAAGGCACCCTACACCTTCCTAACAATCTTTCCTTGTCCAGGAAGTGGGGAAGCCCACAGGGTGAAGGGTGATGACGCAGAAGTGACCCTTCTCTCAGAGATGAAGCTCCGGGCTCAGGTCCTTCACCAACTTCCACGAGGACCCCTCCCACCAAGGGCAGGCAGGACAACAGTGGCCCCCCACTGAGTGGGCCAGCCCCATGGCCTCTGGTGTGGCCGCATCTCAGCAGGTGACAGTGGCAGGAAGTAGCCAGCTTGGCTGTGCTCAGTAAGGACAGGAACTAGTGGGGCAGACGCGCGGATGGAGGCCTGGGGGGATGGGAGCAGCTTCTTCGGGGCAGTGGGTGGCACCGGACACTCCCAGCATCCCTGAGCAAGGGGGTTGTGCCAACACGGCACTTTCCTACAGAGGGGCCTGGCAGGAGGGGGACCTGTTTTCTGGCCCCTCCCTGCACTCCAGGCTTGCCCCCTGGGTCCTGAAGTTTCAGTACCATGGGTCACTGTGAGCGCCTTGCATTTATGTAACAATAGTGGGGGACCTGGAATGGTAAGAGGTACTGGGGGAGCACTTAGATGCTACTAGTTTTTACTGCTAATAGGGCTAGATTATCAGTCACGTTAACACACAAGGTGGAAGAGATATAGGGCCAGGAGACTCGACATCTGAGTGCGGTTGAAACTTCCAAGGGTAAAGAATATGAGCACCTGGGGAGGTGAGCACCTGGGGGAACTGAGCACCTAGGAGACCTGGGTGGGAGAGCACCTGGGAAGGTGAGCATCTGGCAGAGGTGAGTACCTGGGAGGTGAACACCTGGGGGAAATGAGCACCTGGGGAGAAAAGCACCTGAGGAGGTAAACACCTGGAGAGATGACCACCCAGAGAGGTGAGCAACTAGGGAAGTGAGCACCCGGGGAGGTAAACACCTGGGGAGATGAGCACCTAGGGGAGATGAGCATTTGGGAAGATGAGGATCAAGTGGAAATGAGCATTTGGGGAGGTGAGCACCTGGGGAGGTGAGCACTGGAGGAGGTGAGCACCTGGGGAGGTGAGCACCTGGGGAGGTAAGCACTGAAGGAGATGAGCACCTGGGGAGGTGAGCACCTGGGGAGGTAAGCACTGAAGGAGATGAGCACCTGGGGAGGTGAGCACCTGGGGAGGTAAGCACTGAAGGAGATGAGCATCTGGGGAGGTGAGCACTTGGGGAGATAAGCACCTGGGGAGGTAAGCACTGAAGGAGATGAGCACCTGGGGAGGTGAGCACCTGGGGAGGTGAGCACTGGAGGAGATGAGCATCTGGGGAGGTGAGCACTTGGGGAGGTGAGCACCTGGGGAGGTAAGCACTGAAGGAGATGAGCACCTGGGGAGGTAAGCACTGAAGGAGATGAGCACCTGGGGAGGTGAGCGCCTGGGGAGGTAAGCACTGAAGGAGATGAGCACCTGGGGAGGTAAGCACTGAAGGAGATGAGCACCTGGGGAGGTGAGCGCCTGGGGAGGTAAGCACTGGAGGAGATGAGCATCTGGGGAGGTGAGCACTTGGGGAGATAAGCACCTGGGGAGGTAAGCACTGAAGGAGATGAGCACCTGGGGAGGTGAGCGCCTGGGGAGATAAGCACTGGAGGAGATGAGCATCTGGGGAGGTGAGCACTTGGGGAGATAAGCACCTGGGGAGGTAAGCACTGAAGGAGATGAGCATCTGGGGAAGTGAGCACCTGGGGGAGGTGAGCACTTGGGGAGGTGAGCATTTGAGGAAATGAGTACCTGGGGAGGTGAGCACCTGGGGATATGAGCACCTGGGGAGGTGAGCAGCTGAGAGATGCCTTTTGTCGGCCCACTGTCTCCCCAGGGTTCCCTGTGGGATGAGGTCCATACTGCAGGACTGGAAGGTGCCCTGGGTGGGGCCTGAGCAGTCCCCTGTGCCCGCTGAGAAGGCAGCCCGGGAGCCACCATCACACCTGGCACCTCTGACCTGAAGACCCCTGGTCAGCCACACTTTACCCAAGTCCTCGCCTGGTCTGGCAACATTCTCAGGTGGGATGCGTTAAAACCTGGCCCCATATACAAGGAAGCCACCAGGGCCCAGAGCTTCCGTGGCTGGCCAGTGGGAAGGTCTTGCCTCTGAGGGTGAGGGACTTGCCTTTTCAGGCCCACATGAGGGAGGGTCTGAGGGGGGGGGGGATCTAGGAGGCTGGAGAGGCAGAGGTGGGCAGGGACTCTGTTTGCAGGCCCTCCTGTGGTTGTGGAGCCTGTGGGTGGATGGCGTGGCCTGGCTGCAGGGAGGGAGCCAAGGGTCTCTGGGTCCCTCTGGGCCGCCTGATGGGGCAGGCTCAGGCCTCCCTGGGCTTAGCCCAAATCCCTGGTCAGCAGAGGGGAGTCTAGGAGGCCAGAGCCAAGAGCTGGGCCCAGGGGAGTGCTCCAGGCCCCACCGTGGGCAGCCCAGGTGAGGCTGGTCCTTGCCCACACGATGTCCACAGGCCCGTCTCCGCCCTCAGCGTCCGGCACAAGCAGAGCCAGCCCGGGCTCTGGCCCAGTGTGCCGCCCACACGCACCTGAGATGGCCTGGACGGCCACGCGGAGGAAGCCCTTCACCTCGCCCTTCTCGCTCACGATGGCCACGCGGTGCACCAGAGGCACGGGGTACAGCAGGTTGCTCAGGTAGACGAAGGCCCTGGGGAGCAGAGGCCGCGATCAGGGGCCACCCCCCATGCTCTGAGTGGCAGCAGTGACAGCACGGCCGAGGACAACATGACAAGAAGCTGCGAAGCAGAGCCAAGCCGCGGGGCAGCCAGGGTGTGGGAGCGAGGCGCCGGGCAGGGGTCGTGGGGTCTGCAGTGCTGATGAGACAGGAGAGGCACGAGGGGGCCAGGGAGTGGACCTCGGTGAGCAGAGGGCACAGCCCAGCAGAGCCCAGGTGTGGCCGTCCGAGAAGAGAACAGGTGGGGGGGGGGGTTTCAGCCTGCTTCAAGGACTGGAGGACCTGGTGGGTCGGTGCAGCGCAGCTGCTGTGACGTCCCTTCCCTGGCCAGCCCTGCTGCTCACGGGCCTCAGCCTGGTGGCTCCATCCTCCAGAGCCCCTCCCACAATGCAGCCTGTGGTGGGTGAGAGCTACTCAGAGTCAGCCAGTGCCCAGGGTGGCTGGCCAGTGCCCTGAGGACACCCCAGACCCACGCACAACCCCACCTGACCCGTTAGTGACCCAGAGCTCCAAGAGCCTCTGTTCCCAGCCAGCAGTTAGCTGCCCCAGCTGGTGCCAGGACTGACCTGGGCAGAGGACATGGTCACTGGGGTGGCTTCTGCATGCCCTGAACTAGCCAACATGTAGGGTCACAAAGGCAGCCAGGATGGAGAAGACCCTGGAGGACCCTGTGCCACCCAGCCAGGTGGGTAGGCTGCTGTGGAGAACGCCCCCACTGTTCAGGGGCCCCTCCTGGATGGAGCACCCTTCTAGGAATGGGGTCATCCTCCCAGGAACAGGAGCATCTCCTGGGTGGAGCACCCTCCCAGGAACAGGAGCACCTCCTGGGTGGAGCACCCTCCCAGGAACAGGAGCACCTCCTGGGTGGAGCACCCTCCCAGGAACAGGAGCACCTCCTGGGTGGAGCACCCTCCCAGGAACAGGAGCACCTCCTGGGTGGAGCACCCTCCCAGGAACAGGAGCACCTCCTGGGTGGAGCACCCTCCCAGGAACAGGAGCACCTCCTGGGTGGAGCACCCTCCCAGGAACAGGAGCATCTCCTGGGTGGAGCACCCTCCCAGGAACAGGAGCACCTCATGGGTGGAGCACCCTCCTAGGAACAGGAGCACCTCCTGGGTGGAGCACCCTCCCAGGAACAGGAGCATCTCCTGGGTGGAGCACCTTCCTAGCAACAGGATCATGCTCCAGGGGGCATCCTCCTAGGAATGGGAGCACCTCCTGGGGGGCACTCCAAGGAGTCACCTTGATCAGGAAGGGCCAGGTGAGTCACACTGGGGTGAGAACAATCAGCTCAGCTCTGCTTTTAGCCCAGAACCTACCCACTCAGCCACCTGCCCTCCTTTCCAGGTAGAGCTGACTGGGCATCCAGAAGAGGAGTGGGGAGGTCCTGGTGGCACCGGCTCAGGATTTGGACACTGGGGGGGGCTCACAGGAACCTGCCAGAAAACCACTGCACCTCCTGGGCTGGGGGGGAGGGTCTGCTACATGTCAACCTGTTGGCTCAGGTTCCCAGAAGTCACATGGGGGCCCTTTAAGTCCCCTAGGCATAAATCAAAGACCCAAGGAATAACGGCCCCAGCAGGTCTCTGAAGCACAGGGCAAACACCCTAAGAGCAGGTAGGACGCTGGAGAGCTGGCTCCCGACACCTGGAAGGCCAGTGGCCAGATGGGGCCCACGTAGCAGCGCATCCCCCTTGCTGGCTGCGCCTCTCTCTAGGGGCACCAAAGTAGAGCGAGGCCTGAGCTGGCAGGCATGACCTGTGGACTGTGGAGTCAGGGCTGGGACCTGCAGGTCCCTGACAGCTCCCAACCAGGCCCTCCAGGTCCCCCACCTCCCTACTCGGTCAGCACAGCCAGATCCTGGCCTTTCAGAACCCGCTCCTGTCTATGGAGAAAGCCCAACATGGTAGCACCCACCACAGTCCTCATGGGAGATGCAGCCACACAATGCCCCCGAGGGAGGGGCTGTGGGGTAGAGCCTGTAGGGACCTCTTGGTTGGAGGCCCAGAGGTTAATCATCAAAGGGCCACTGGGATCTGTGGCCAAAGCCTCCCTCTTCTCTAGCCCTTGACCCGTTCTGGACATTCTGAGGGATACCCTGGTAGAAGTCTGAGGACCCAGTGATAGCTCCGGTGTCAGTGTTGGAGAATGCAAAGGGGCATCTGTGGCTCTTCCCTCCAACCCACAGACCCCTGCCAGTCCACCTGGAGATGGTGATGGACCCACTCAGACCCCTAGTGGCATTAACCACCCCCAGTGGCAGCACCAGCTTTGAGGGGCCACAAATTGAGTCTTGAAGACCCCTGTCCCTGCTCCCATGGGGACCCCATCCAGCGCATGCACCCAGAGTTTGGGCAATGGGACCAGGTGGTGCCGGACTCCAGGGACCCACGTCAGGGGCCTTGGGCTTCTGTCCAGCAGGGACTGTTCTCCAGGCCTGGTCTCATCAGCCCTCCTGGTGCCAGGCAACCCAACAGTAGTGCCAGGTACTCTGGGGACCAGACAACTCCCCCAGTCCTGACCCTGACAGCACGGCTCTGCTACACCCACCTGCACAGCCTGCTGCCCTCAGGGCCTGGAGACACCGTCCACAGGTACACTGGCAAGGTGGGCTGAGGGGCCTGGCACAGCGCCCCTGGAGTGGGTGCTGAGGGGGCCCGGGGTGCACAGAGCTGACACCTGCCTCTCGCTGGCTCAGCATTATCACCTAGTGCTGGATACTGCCCTGGAGCCTGGGCTCGTCCCCCTCCCCCAGCACTGCCCAGGAACTAGGCTCCTGCCCAGCCCTGTCTGCAGTGCCATCTTACCCACTGTCTGTGTCCCCCTCTCCTGGAGGCACCTAGGCCTCCAGGGGAAGCAGAGGCCTCAGGCCCACTTCCTCAGCCTGGACTGTGGACAACAACACAATGGCTTCCCCAGGTCACTGGGCAGCACAACCTCCACAGGCAGAGCCCCCAGGGACCTGACCCTGGACATGGGGAGAGGCCCCTGGCTCTGGCAAGAGGCAAGAGCACCTTGAAGCAGACTGAAACAGAGAGGAGAGGCGGGGAGGGAGGAGGGAGCCGAGTGGCGAGCGGAGGGAGGAGGCAGCGCTAACCACAGATTGGTGAGGTGCAAGACGCATGCTGGGACCTAGGGACGCCTTTCCATAGGGGACCAGAGTGGGCCACCCAATTTTGCTTAAGCTTTGGAGAGAGAGCCAGCAGCTACCAGAAGGATCAAAGGAAAATCAACGGTGGGGTCCTTCCCAGGGCTGGGCCTGCTTAGCTGCTGAGCGGGAGAAGCCAATTCTTGCCAAACCCAAAGATGGGGATGATTCCAAATGAAGCCTGTCACGACCTCCTGTGACACAGGGGGCCAGGCCTCTCAAGGACAACTTTTGTTCCGTTTGGCAGTTTTGTAAAATCTCAAATCCACAAGAGGGGAAAAACGTTGGAAGGACCCAGCTCTTTTCTGCTGAGACTGCAGGGCCCACACCCCATTTCTCCCCTATTCTTGTCCCTGCACGCCCTGATCCCTGGCTACCTGACACCCGGAGCCACTCCCCAACCCCAGCAGGAGCTGAGGTCTGGCCCTAGAGCCTGGGGCTTGGCGAGGGGAACCTGCCTGGAGTCGGCCGGGCCCAGCAGAGTGAGGTCCAGGCTCGGACATCTGGGGGGACATCACCTACTTGTGTCTGGCTCATCTCCTGATGCCAGCCTGGTGACAGTCAGGGAAAACCAATCAGAGCAAGTCCATGGCAGGTGCCATGGGGACCGGCTGCCTTCACAGGGGAGGGGGCTTTCCTGCCATCTCCTCCACCTGGGAGCCCAGCCAATCTCCTGATCTGCAGGGGCTGCCCCCAGCCTGCGGGTCAAGTTTTCTGGAAATGCCTGGCCCCAGGAAACCATCTAACTTCAAGAAAAGCTGCTGAAGCTGACGGACACCTTTTCGTGTGGAAGCACTTTGTTCCCGTCAGGAGCCAAGCGTCTGACAGCGGCACTAGGCTGCTGGACCTGCCTTCTCCTGTCTCCATCCCTCCATGAGAACAGAATGAACAGTGGGTGCCAGGTCCACCTGCAGGCGGGATGTCTGCCCAGGTCTGGGCTTCCCCACAGCCTCTGTTCCACCTCCTGACCTTGGCCACTCCTACACCTGGGGGCTGTTAATGACCAGCTCCTGCTGCAAAGGGCAGGTGCCCAGAGGGCCCTGGGCCACGGGTCCATCTCTCCCTGTGACAGCCTGGGAGAACACCCTCACCTCTGCACAGAGGCAGGGCCTGCCAGGCCCCTCATGTGGAGCAGTAGAGGGGGCTCTTGCCTGCCCTAGGCTGACCCCCAAGTCCTGCTCCTTTCCCCAGAACAGAGTGGCGCTGGATGCACACAGGGAACTGCCTTCTCTTTGGAGAGACGGAAGCCGCCTCAGTGGGATGAGCTGGCTCCACTTGGGGTGCCCCTTCCTCACCTCTCACCCCAGTCCTTGCACAGAGACTCATAGGGTAGAACCTGGGCACCAGGGCCAGAGCCACGGCCAGGTCCCAGGTTTCCTGCAGCCTCCGTAGAAGCAGTTCCACCTACAGGATCCAGTGCCATGGGCCGGTGGCCACCCTGCGTGCTCCAGGGCTGCTTCTTCCCTAGCTGGACCCCGACCCCATACCACTCGGCCAGAGCATTCATCTCCAGGAGGGGAGTACCCACGGGGCCGCCGCGGGAGCCCCAGCTCCCTCAGGCCCTGCCTCGGAAGGCCAGCCCCTCAGCCTGCCTTGGCTGGGAGGGTCCGGGGTCACACCCTGACGCCCGATCGTGCCCACAGCAGTGCTCCTGTGCAAAAGAGCTGGTTCCTCCCCAGCATGCTCTGCGCAGCCTCACCAACCTTCCTACTAAACTGAACAGGGGGGGCCGGTCGTAAAACGGGTCCCGGCCGTCGCACAGCGTGTGCTCCGGAAAGACGTCGTCCTCCAGGTCCTCCTCCTCCTCCTCCTCCTCCTCCTCCTCCTCCTCCCCCACGCTCTGCTCCTCGGCAGGCTCGGTGGCGTCGGAGTCGGGGCTCGAGAAGGTGGGGGAGGGGGTGAGACCAGCCATGCGCTCGCTCATGCATGTGTTGAGAAGAGGGTAGCTGTTGCAGCCAGAGATGACTGGACTGAGGTTAGTACGACAAGACAGAGAGAGGTTAACACCAGCTACCCGCGGGAGGCGGCGGCCGGGGCACGCTTCTGTGTGAACCCAACCCAGCACACGCACCACCGAGAAGGCCGCTTTAAAGACAGGAGGACCAGAATCCCACCCCAGCCCCAGGCTTGAAGCAAACCACATGTGTGGTCAGCTGGAAGGCTCCAGAAGGTTCTGGAAGGCACCAACAGTGTGATGGAGAACAGGGGTCCTAGCCAGGCATCCCCAAGGCCATTGTGAAGACCTCAGAATGCCACTGTCGTGTGGGGTCAGAGGCTGGGCACAGACCCCAGACCAGAGACCAGGAAGGAGGTGGTGGCCTCTATGGCCTCTAGGGCTTGGGGGCACAACCCTGCCTCTGCGTTCTCACCCCACAGGGCACCGGCCCAAGGCCCCAGCTGCTGGGGAGTCTCACACAGACTGGGCAGGGTGGCAATGGTGAGACCCAGCTCATGCCCTGAGGTTGCGGCCCACAAGTATGTGGTGAGGAGTGGCGGGGCCGGGGACGGGGGCCTTGGTGGGGCAGAACAAGGCGGAGCAGAGCTCCCTCCTTGTGTTAGGGCCAGGACCAGTGGGGTCCAGGCCTGGGAGGAGGCCGCTCTTCCCACTGCCCTCTCGCTATCACATGCTGTGCCAGGGCAAGGAGGAGGTGCCCACCTGCCCACCAGCCGGAACCAGGGGAAGCGGTCATAGAAGGGGTCTCCACCGGTCACCACGTTGTCGCAGTCCTCCACCACGCTGGAGGGCACCTCCGCGGCCCTGTCGTACATCTCGCGCATCAGGTCCAGGCGCTGCCTGTGGGGCGCAGCACACTGTGTGGGCCGGGGCCAGCCACCGTGGGCCTGGCACAGAAACCCCCCAGATCCTCGGAACTGGCCAATCGGGAGACGCACTTGCAGTTAGACAGGCAGACTCACCCTCCTGAGCCCACAAGCCTGCAGCTGGCCTGAGGGGTGCAGGGACCCCCATGGGCAGCGGCTGGAGGAGAGGCAGGGACGGGGCAGGGAGGACTAAGGAAATGTCTTCGAGATCATGCTCAGGTGAGCGGCAGTGCTGGGCAGAGCCCAGGCTCAGTGCTCAGGACCACACCCACTCCCAGGGGACACCCCTGCCTGGGGCAGGCACCCTGAGCATGGAGCCCGGAGGTCTGCAGGGTGCTCATGTGTGGACCCCTGTGTGTGTGTGTGTGTGTCTGCCAGGGTGCATGGGAGTGTGCCAGATTGTGTATCTACCATTGTGTGTGTGCAGTGTGTACCAGTGCATGTGCTGATGTGTGTATGTGTGTCTACCAGTGTATCAGAGTATGAGTACTGGTGCATCTACCCGTGTGTGTGTCTACCACTGTGTACCAGCATGTGCGTGTATCTACCAGAGTCTACCACTGTGTGTACGTGTCTTGTGTGTGTGGACCAGTGTGCGTATCAGTGTGTGTGTGTCTGTGTCCACCTGTTGTATTTGTGTATACGTGTGTGTGAGCTATACAAGAGAGGACAGTGTGGATCCCATGATTGGTCTTCCATGTTCTGATGTTTGGACACTTTGGGGACTTTCTGGTGGGGAGAGCCCTCTGCCACCTCCCACCCCGAGCCTAGCGGTTCCTGGAGCCCACCTGTCACACACAAATGAATGACTCGGAGTGCCCCTGACCTCCTCCCTCCCTGGTTTCCCACAGGCCAAGCCAACATTCCCTCTGTCCCACGTCACCAGGCCAGGAGGCGGTCAGAAGCTCTGGCCTTCCTGCTTTGGCCAGCCCTGGTGCCTCCCCCCGTGCCCTGGGTCCCCTCCTAGCAGCTGCAGGGACAGTCTGCTCTGCCTTCAATGGCATCTGCCCCCGCGTTTTCACGCGGTCACCTTTCATAGAGGAAGAACAAGCACAAAGCACAGTGAGTCCGCAGGCCACAGAAGCCGAGCCACAGGGCCAGCGGCTCCTGGGTGGTGCAGCTGCTGTGGGAGGGTGCAAGGGAGGAGCCAGGAGCCCAGTCCCCTCCTGCTGCCCCCAAGCTCCTGGCTCTGGGGACGCTGATCCCACCCTGCAGGCCTGGCTGTGCCCATCCAGTGCCCCACTGCCCACAGGACCTCCAGGGGCATGACCCTTCCCTCCCTTCCAGAAGGACCGTCTTGGCCTCTGTGGGCCTCAGTCCGCCTCCTCTTACTTCTGAGGTCTGACCACAGCACTGGTAAGAGGATGCAGATTACAGGAGACCCCCCGTGTGCCCTGTGCGAAGGTTGAGCCTGGCCCTGGCTCTGTCCTGGAGGAAGGCCTGCCCCACTGTCCACTCCAGCTGCCCACCAGCCACACCTGAGCTTCTCCAGCGTCCAGTAGTGGGTGGCCCCGTTCTTCTGGTCCTGCACTTCCACGGCCACTATCGTGCGGGGGAAGGGCCGAGTCTCCCGGTCTCTGGCAGCCTCTGGGGGCAGCAGGTCTGGCGGCAGTGGGGAGTAGAGGGTATCCGTGAGGAGGACAAACTGGAACTGGACCTGTGGAAGATGGCCTATCGTCAGTCCCTGGTGAGTGGAACCAGGTCCCCAGTGGGGCTTCCTGCCGACCTCAGAGCCTTTGACTGGTGCCCATGGGCACTGGGCCTTCTAGCCACACTGCAGAGGTCCTGCTCCCCGTGTCCCCTCCTGGCCAACACCTTCCCTGAGCAGAAAGGGCAAGCTGTCCATCTCAGCCAGTCCCAGACCCTCCTTCTGCTGCCCACCCCGGGGCCAAGCTCAGGCAGGGCCCTTCTGTCCACCTTGGGCTGAGAGGCGACAGGACGGGTCTGGCCAGCAGAGTGAGCACCCACCTTCTTCTTGAGCTCGACGCTGATCGCATTGGCCTCCTTGAGGAAGATGGCATTGCCCCACAGCAGGTCCCGCAGGGACGTGAACTGGTACCACTTCCACTTCCGGAAGGCCCACAGGGCCAGCTCACACTCGCGCTCTGTCCACTGCACTGTGGAAGAGGCCACAGGGTCGTCAGAGACAGGCAGCTGTGTTGTCCACTGTGCCCAGCCTTTGGGAGGTCCAGGCAGCAGGGTCATGCTGTGAGAGCACAGGCTGGCTCTGTGCCCAGTGTGCACAGAGAGGCTACTCCCCTGCAGAGGTGCAAAGGCAGGCTGGCCTGGTGGGGGACTGGAGCGCCCAGGTTCTGCAGCTCTGCTCAGCCCTCCCACTCAGGGCCTGGGCCTGGGGCTCCATGCTGGGGACCCCGATTTTAAAGACAATGAAGAAGCCAGTGGAAAGCTCGTAAGTGAGCCATGTGGAAGGGCCCAGGTGCCCCAAGATAAAGGGCGGTGGTCCCGAGCACCAGGCTGAGGTGGGGGCTGGGGTAGTCTGCCAGTGGTAGCCAAGAGGCCACGCGGGCCAGCAGTGGGGGACGGGGCCCCAGGAGAGGAGGCAGGAGAGCAGGCCAGGTGCCCCCGGAGCAGGGCTCCAGGCCCCCCAGGAAAAGGGCGTCCGTGGAGAGGGACACGGTGGCCCTTGGTCTCCACGGGTCACACGGTGAGGCACATGCCAAGCGCTTGCCACCGCAGCCCTGGCCACCCGTCCACACCCACATGTGCGTGCACGGCCGTGCTTGCCTGCTGCTGCTCGGCCTCCAGAGCCCCATCTCCACATGCTCCCTGGCCAAGGAGGCCTCCCCCTGGGGGCCCTCACCTTCGTCCTCGGGCTCCTCCTCCTCCTCGTTCACCTCTGGGTAGTACCTGGAGTCCATCTGCTTCTGCAGGGCCTCCAGCTTGCTCTCGTAGTCCTGCAGAGAGAGGCCAAGGCTTGGGCTCACCGGGGGGACGAGGTGGCCCTTGCACAGAGGAGGCTGGGCAGACAGACAGGGCAGGGAGAGAGGCCCGCAGTGTCCTCACCAGCCTCTGCTGCTCCAGCAGGTAGGTGGCCTCCTCCCGCTCTCGGCGGTACTGGTCCTCCAGCTCCTGGAGCCTGCAAGGGGCAGCAGGTAAGCGCAGGAGGCCCACAGGCGCGGCGGGCAGCGGCCTGCCCCAGGCTCACCTCTGCTCCATCTCCTGCTTCATGTCAATGCCTTGCTTCTCCAGCAGCTCACGCTGGGCAAAGGCCCAGTCCACAGGCTCCGCCGGCGTCTCCGCGCAGGGCGTGCGCTCCCGTTCCTGGCGGGCCTGCTCCGGGTGGTTGAACCGGAACACGTGGCTCTTACCCATGATGATGCGGTTTCCTGGGGGACAGAGGCAAGGCTGGCCTCAGTGGCCATGAGAGAGAGGGAGAGGAAGGAAGGGGGTGCAGCTCCTTCCTCTGTCTGGCCCTCGCAGCACTCCAGGGAGGCCCCCACCACCAGGAGACCCACTCCAAGCCCCTCTCCGCCTCAGCCTCTTCCTTCTCTCCCAAATCCAACCCCTGGGTCGCTCCCTGCTCAGCAGCTGGTGGTCTGCTGCGTCCTCCAGTGTCCCTATAGAGTGTGGCAATCACCAGTCTGGTCCCCCCTCCCCTGTGCGCTCGGCCAGGGCGTTCCCTGATGTGCAAGTTGTGGCTACGGCCGGGGCCGTGGGTCCCCAGAGCCTTCTCCCCATCGCTCCCTCTGGACAGGAAGGGCTAGGGCAGGGCTGCCAGGCCCAGGGTGGGAAGGCCACAGATGCTGGTCCTTAGGGCAGCCAGAGTGTCAGAGGCGGAGTGCCGGAGGCTGACCTTGGTCCAGGCCTGCCCACCCAACCCCAGTCCTGGACCCCTCTCAGGACCCACGCATCTACAGGGCCCCTGGGGCAGTGCCTGCTGATTTTGGACAGTCCTGCCTGTATGGCCCCTTTGAAGCCCTCACTTCCCCTGTTCTGCCCTCACCTGAGCCTCAATGTTTGCAGGAAGGTCCCCTCAGTCCCTGCTCAGCCCCTAGCCCGGCCACCCTCATCCAGTCACTGCCTCCGGCCTCCCTGTGCTCAGGCTCACACACTGGGTGGGAACCCCAAGCCAAGGTCTCCCCTGGGCGGGCCCAGAACCTGCCCAAGGCTCATGGGCAACAGAACAAACCCTGAAATGACCGAGAACAGTAGCAGCTGTCTGTCTAGACTGCCCACCCCAGGTGATGAGCCTCCATGGCCTCCGGGTATTCTGGTGTCCCTCCAAAGTGTCCTTAGGGACCCAAAGGCAGGATTTTGGAGTTCTGAAGACTGCTAGACAAGGAGGCCCTCAGGGTGAAGACAGGCTGGGTCACCTCCCACCTCCCTACCCCTGGGGTGGACAGAGGGACCTCCTCATTCCCAGCCAGAGCTCATTCCTGGCCAAGGTTGATTGATGGTCAGTTTAACATGTCAGCTTGGCCAGGTTACAGCAGCCAGTGACCCCACCAAGCACTGTCTAGGTGTTGCTGTGGAGGTGGTCCTGGACATGTGGTCAACATCAGCAACCAGCTGACCATATGTGAAAGAGAGTTCCTCTACGGTGCGGGGGCCTCCATCAATCAGTGGAAAGCCCTAGGAGTGAACAGAGGAGGGAAGATCTACCTGCTGATGGTGAGTCTTCTCCTGCCCAGGAGATTCGGGCCTGCTGCCTGCCTGGGGGCTTGGACCCTCCCTGGCCTACAGCCTGCCACTCACCTAGGCCATGTCTTTGAACTAAATCTTCTTAAACGTGTACGGGGGTATCCCTCAGCCAAGCTCTGGCCATGGCTGCCTATGCACCCTGCTCCTGCTTTCTCCAGACGGACCCCAGGCAAAAGCCAGATGGCACTTCCCGTCCAACTCCCCTAAAGAAGGGAATTCCTGCCACGTGCACCTGGGTTTACACCAGGGCCACCAGGATGCTCACATCTGGACAACAGGCCAAGCCCACACCAACTGACCACGCTGCCCTCTGGCCCTCTCTCCCAGCCCAGCCCACCAAGTGTCCATCCTGAGCCCGGGGAGGAGCCTCTTCTGGAACGGGTCCCACCTCGGCTTCCCAAGCAGCCCCAGCCCACTGTGGGGTCCCCGTGTGCAGACCGGGCTCTCTGCTCAGGCCCAGTGCCCGGTGGGGCGTGGGGAGGCTCGCAAGCTAGTCAGGAGCCCACAGCCTGCAGAGCCGCCACCCACGGGCCATGGGCTGTGCCCACAGGGGGCTTCACACGGAGAAGGGGTGACTTGGGCATTGGGATAGGGGCTTCCCCTGATGCCCTGTCCACTCCGTGGTCCCTCTTGCCCTTGGCCATACCTGACCGCAGGATGCTGGGCTCAGTGACTTTCTTGCCATTGACGTACGTGTCTGCCCCCTCACAGGGCTCCAGGGTCACCACAGCTACAAGACAGAGACAAAGTCAACTTAGAGGGACTGTCACTTCAGCAGCTCAGCTTTCCTGCCCTGGGCAGGAGGTGGGTTCTCTGCTCATTCAGTAGAGGAGGAAAGTGACCTCTAAGAGGGAGCTGTGTGTGTCCAAGACGGGGCTGGCGAGGCCATGCAGGGCTCCACAGCCAGGGCCCTGCCCAGGTCTCCAGGTGGGTAATGGGTAATACAGTGGCTGACTCTCCCCAGGGCATCCCAGAGTCCTCTGGCTTCACCCCACCCGAACTGGAGAGGACAGACGCTTTGGGGACAGAGTCAGGGAGAGCTGACTGTCGTCAGCATTGCTCAAGGACACTAAGCACCATCCTCCTGAGCTGGCCAAGTGGACAGTGAGCTCCACTCACAGATCTGCAGGTCACAGGCTGGTCAGACTCCCATTGGGAGCTGCCCTGACAGCCACGGACATCAATGTAGCCGGCCCCTCCCAGAGATGGGCAACGCCACCTTCTGGAAGGCAGCCGCTAGACAGGCAAGGAAATGGGCAGATGGCCGCTCCACAGGCAGCAGAAAGCATGGTCCCCAAACAGCTCTCCAGCCTGGACCTGGGCGCTCCTCATGGCTCACTGTCCTGCTGCCAGAACACCCCCACGCTCCCAGACACATTGCCAACCTCCCACGTCCCACCCCTCATCTTCCAAGACACTGGGCTCCCTGGAGCACCCCTGGCCATGGGAGGCACCAGGCCCTCCCTAAGTACCCAAGGGAGTTGTCCCCAAGGCTGTCCTCTGCCCAATGCATGGCTTAGGCTCCTCTAAGAGACCCCTCCGGGGCCTGGTCAGCAGCACGGGGCAAGAGGGGTGGGGAACACACACCTTCACTGCCTCCCCTGGAGTCGCTCCGGAAGACACAGTGCTCCTCCTTGATGAAGTGTCCGCTCAGGACAATGTCCTGCCGCCTCTCGGCATCCTCCCTGCCCACTCTGGGGGGGGTGGGGCAAGAGGACCATTAGCAGCATACACAGGTCCAGCACACCCATGAGGACACCCACTGGCCCACCTGTGCCCACAGGCAGCCTTGGGGAGGCCCAGCTGGGATCTTTGGGGAAATGCCCCACAAGGGCATTGTGAGGGTGCTAGGCAGTGAGGGGTGAGAGGACCCCAGCGCAGCCTTGGGATCGACAGCCCAGAGGAGACACAGGGTCACTTCAGAAGCAAGCATGGGCAGCAGTATTGCTAGAGCAGGTGACCAACTTGATGGCCCTCTGTGGGGTAGCACAGGCTGGTAGGAACAGGGAGTCCCCCACGCCCAGCCCACCCTACCAGTGCCCACCTGGTGACGCCGTCCTTGATGTAGTACAGGAGGCACTCGGACATCAGCGGGTCCTCGTTCAGGTTCACAAGGTGAGGAGTCTGGGGGTAGGAGATGGGATGGCCACCTCTCCCAGGGCCACTGGCCACCCCACCCAAGCCTCCCCAGGCCCAGACCACGGCAACCCCAGCCTGGCAGACGAGACAGGAGAGCAGGAAGGTCTCAACGGCAGAGCTCTTGCAGATGCCGGGACCCTTCCCCATCTGCCACTCAGCAGGTCAGAAAGCCGGGACTGGCCCTCAGGACCAGGAAGCACAAAGGTTGTGAAGGACGTCCCCCGGAGCCACGGGGGTTTGGAGGCCAGCTCCCCTACCCCAGGTCCACCAAATCCAGCCCAGGCCCAAGGTGATGCAGCCCCCTACCAGGCCTGTCTCCACGGCCTTCTGCCCCCTGCCCACCCCATCAGCCCCTGCAGGCCCTACCCACTGTGGCCCTGGACTGGCCTCACTGCCTCCCCCACTCCTCCCAGGGTCTCCCTGGGCCCCCGCCCTCCCTGAACTCAGGAAGGGCATCACCCAGCTGTGTTCTAGGCGAAGTCCAGCAACATGGCAGAGGCCCGGGCTGGCCCTGCTCCCTGTGTCCCACAAGGGACCCCAAGCTGTCAATCCTAGGGCAGGCAGGAGAGACCTGGCCACCAGTCACGGGACCAACATCAGGCTGTCCCCTTCCCTGAGTGGATGCGGGTCCTAGGAAGGGCCAAGGGACACCAGATTCCCAGGGACGCCTAGCTTCTCGTGCGGGGTCCCTGGTGGTCCCACTCCTGAGCAGTGCACACACCCAGGGACATCAACAAAGCCGCGGACTCCAGGTGCCTAGTCTCCCAAGGGAGGGCCCAACCTCCAGGCTCCCAACAGCCTCAGGGCAATTTGCTCCAGACAAGAGCAGAGCCTGCTCAGGAGGTGTGTGGAGTCCAGCCCCATCGGGGCACCCTGGGCCCTGTCTGCAGTTCCTCCCAGGCACTCCTGCCCCTGGACCTGAGCACATGCTGCTGCCCTGGCCAGGTCCTGACCCTGCCCAGCCCCCATGGCTGGGACCTCCACCAGGCACCTGGCACATGCAGGCAGCATCAAGCCTTGCTGGGCCTGGCAGAGACACATGTGGAGCACAGCGGGGTCCCGCCTGCTGCCTGGGGACAGCCCAGACTCTGGCTGGGGGTGTGTGAGATGCACAAGCTCCACACCATCTGGGAAATGCGCCCACCCGTTGGCCACAGAGCCTGCGGTAGGTGGCCTGGTAGCCTGGCCAGGGCCCGCAGGATGCCCTGCACTGGCCTCTTCCCAAGGCCTGATCGCACTCCATGAGCTCACAGTGCATGATCATCCCCAAAGGGTCCAGTCCAAGAAGGCCAGTGCCCAGGGAGGCCACCCTGAAAGTGCCCAGTACCTTGTTGCTCAGATGGGCAGGCTGCGAGTCCCACCTCCCCCAGGGCAGCCCTTCCTCAGCCTGGAGGTGGACTGTCCCTCCTGGACCCCTGACCACCCTGCTGCCCACAGGTTGCCTTTCCAGTCTGGGGCCCAGGGGGACGAGGGCTAGGGGCTCCTGTGAGAGGCATGGGCTCCAGGCTAAGGCTGGGCCCACGTGTCTCAGGTGGCCAGCCCGGGCCTGGTTTCCCTTGCCCTGCCCCCAGGGGACCTAGTCCATATCTCAGGCAACTAAACACCTATCTCCTGTCCCAAAGCCACGAGGACTCCCTGACATGGTGACAGGGGACAAGCCTCCCACGGGAAGGAGAGTCTGGCTGTGATTTAACAGCCACCCTGATGCCTGGCCAGACCCCCGCCTGCTCCCCTCCTCCCAGGAGCCCCTCTGGCCTCCACCAAGGGCACTGTCACCCTGCCCAGGGCAGCCCCCCAGACCTGGGCCCAGCTCCTACCTTTTTGGGAGAGAACACACCCAAGGTGCCACCGTCCTCCCTCATGGCCACACCCATCTCGGCCAGCAGTGCTTCCCTGGGGGACAGAGCTGGGGTCAGCAGGAGCGGCAGGGGACTTCCAGGACTGGCCTCAGCCTGCCTGACCAACTGACCCAGAGCCACCCAGTTGCTCCCAGGCCATATCCTGTCTGGTCAGTGAATTAGGCGTCCACCGGTGAGACCTTTTGTACCATGCTCCCTCAGGGGTCCTGTCTGCCAGGCCTCTATGGCCAGTGGCCAGCACCACCAGAGCTGGGGTCACTGGGTCAAAGGTAGGTACCAGGTTTGTCTTGGGCTGGGGTGCAGCCACCCCCAGGCCCAGGCACCCGGTGCTGGTGGCTGGGGCTTGTGTGTGTCCTGCCTGGGTCACAAACTCTCGGGCTGTGCCCCTGGCCTCAGTGTCCCCATCACTCACCTCTCCATCCGAATCGCCTCCGTCCGCCGCAGCTTCTCCTCCCAGGTCTCGTTGAGCTCCGCGATGATCTTCTCTGTCTCCTGCGGGGCAGAGGGAGCAGGGTAAGGTCCTGCAGGCAGCAGCCAAGAGGGCAGGGAGGGCCCAGGACCTGATCTGAAGGTCCAGGTGGGGACCAAGGGACACGAGGCTTTCCTCTGGGTACAGCCGGGAGAATGGGGAGGTGACGTGAAACAGGAGGAAGCCAGCCTGATGTCCCAGAGGGCTCTGTGGCGGCTCTGCGCAGAGTCCCGTCCAGAACACAGTGCCAGCACCAGCACCTTGGGTGTCCTTCCCGCACACATCTCAGGGCCCTCCAAGCCCCAAGAAGGCCAGGCCCACCCCGGGGGGCGCCAAGCTCCTGGTACACACTCGGCCTCTCACATCAGCCTCGCCTGGGCCACGTGCCTGGTCCCCTCAGCCCCAGTCTGGCCCACCCCCTGCACAGCTCGGCACCACAGGCCCGGTGACCGAGGAGGCCGAGCATGAAGTGCTGAAGGCACAGTGCCCGCGGCTGGGGTGCACGCGAGGCACCCGGAGGCACGGTGCAGCCCAGAAGGGGCTCCAAGCCTGCACGCCACGTGGCCTTCCCTCCTGTGAGTGTGGCTCCCGGGACGCAGGCGGGACTGCCACCACCTGCCGAGACCACCACGCAGGGCTGCGGCAGGGCCAGGGGCCGGCACTGCACGACCCAGCTCCCCACCAGGCGCCGGCTCATGCCATCGGATGCAGCGAGTTCTGCCAGTGCCCCACGCCCAGGGCTTCCCTCCACGCTGGCGGCCAGGCCACAGGCCACCTGATATCACCCCTAGGTCCTTCACGGCACTTTCTGTCCAGAGCTCATCGGCACACTGGCCAAATCTTGTGCAGCCTAAGGATGCCCAGACACACCGCCGGTGGGCAGGGAGCAGGCCACAGCTGGCCTGGGTGGATGCCAAGAATCTGCTGCTGCCGGGGGGAGGGCAGGGCTGGGCCCACACCCAGGTGCCGACCTGTCGCCTCTCCACACTCACCCTGCGCCCTGCAGCCTGCGTCCGTCGCCCACCCTCTGGTGCCCTCATTCCAGCCTGTCCCTCACCTTCAGCCTTTCAATGGCCTCCTCGCTGCCAGGGGCAAACAAGATGCGCTCATGGAGGCTGGACACCGAGGCGGCACGGCTGGACAGAGCCGAGAGCGAGGATGAGGGGCTCATGCCCACCAGGGCGTTGGTCACTGTGGAGAGATTGTCAGGGGCCTGACTCAGCTCGGCCCTGCTACGGTTATTGTTCTCAAGGTCCGACACATCTAGGACAGGAGGGGAAGGCCAGGGGACAGACAGACGGAGGGAGAGAAAAGAGAGACGCAGTTGGGACAGAGCCAGAGGGCAGACACCACGGCACGGCCAGGCAGTCCCCCAGGACAAGCACACACAGGCCTCCCGCAGCCCTCTCCTGCACGGCTGCGGTGGCACAGGCAGGCCCGTGTGTGGCCCACGGAGCTCTCCCGGGCAGCAGCGCCCACGCCCCTCTGTACTCTGCCGAGCTCCCCACCACCTCCCCGTTCCTGGGCCCTCTGTGCTCCACGCACCTGTATCCAGGGCCTGCGAGGGCACCTCGCAGCCTGTGCAGCCGGGGCCGGAGCTCCTGAGCCCACTAGGCCCGTCTGCCCTGCACCCAGGACCCTGTGCTCATCCTCACCCTCTGTAGGTGGGCCACCCCACCTCACCCCAACCCCTCCTGGGCCACCACGCACCCCAGCTACAGGGCCAGGGGGCACCAACTGTCCAGTCCTGCTGAACACACCTGGAAGAGGGGGTGAGCAGAAAGCCCTCCTGAGGGAGCCCCCTGCTCCTCCACCACCCCAGGGCTCAACTGCCCCAAAGCCCAGGGTTGGGCTGTGACACCCTAGAGGGGGGTGCCCAGCCCCCCGCCCCCAGCAGAAGCACGCACAGCAGAGCAGCGGCCAGCACAGGGCAGCACTGTGGGAGGGCACCAGAGACTGGGCCTTGTGCCCCGGGGTCAGGGAGAAAACACACCCCAGGGAGCCAGGTCAGGACCAGAGGAGACAGGCTGGTCAGGACCGGGTGGCACCTAGCACCTGCCAGCCACTCAGAGCCAGCACTTCCCTCCCAGGGCCTGGGGTCGGGCAGCTGGAGCAACAGCAGGGGAGGTGGGCCTGAACCAGGACAGCTTGGGACGAGCCCTCGGGCCCGCCTGGCCCTGGCGCATGGGCCTTCTGACCTTCCCGGCTTCTGGAGCTCAGGGCTTAGAGGGTCTGCCTTGGCCACTGGGGCCTGAGAAGGCCTCGGCGGCAGCCCGCTCCCAGCTGCCTCGGTTTCCGGTGGGGGTGAGGTGACCTGGAATGCGCCGGGGGAGGCGGAGCAGGGAGGCGCTCCTCGGCCTGCGGGGGCCTGCCCTCCCAGCCCGTGGTGCCCTGTGCCCCCGCGGCCGGGCTGGAAGCAGACAAGCAGAGCAGTGCTGGGAATACACACATTTGGGTCCTCCGGGCACAGAGTTGGCTACGGGGAGGGCAGGCGTGGGGGAGGAAAGACAGAGAAACACAAGAGCAGGTTGGTCTCCAGAGGGCCAGCTCGCCCGCTCGACGGTGGGCAGGCGGCAGCACGCAGGCAGCGGAGGTCTTCAGAGTGGGCACACAGGTGGGCAGCACCGGGGCCTGCCGGGCTTTCGGGAAACCATCTCTGGCCCGCTTGGGCCAGCTCCAAACCCAAACCATGCACCTCCATCCAGGCCAGGGACCTCGGCCCTTGCCCAGAGCCTCCGCCAAGGGCCTCCCACCCAGAGGCAGTCTGGGAACGCTGAGCAGGCCAGGGATTCAGCAGGTCCCCACCCCGGCCCCAGCCCTGCCCCAGCCCGGCCCCAGCCAGCAGGCAGAGACCCAGGAGAGAGGCCACGATGCTGAGGAGCCCCGGTCGGAGGTCCCCGGCACAGGCTGCTGCAGACACTCACTGTCGGTGATGTCACCCAGGCCCTGGGCGTACAGCAGGTCCCGCAGCCGCGTCACCTCATCCTTCAGTTCCCGGATCAGCTTGTTGTTGGGGTCTTCATTGATGATGGCGTTGCAGCGAATCTGCTTGGCCCTGTCCGCGTACCTGGGCAGGAGAGGGGTGGGCTGGGACAGGCCCCTCACGAGACGGGAGCAGAGCTCTACTCCTCACCGGGCCACCAGGGGTCACTCTGCGGCCAGTGGCCACAGGAGACCCAGGGGGGGGGGTCACCCAGCCCTCCTCATCCACTTGAGGAAACTGAGGCCAAGGAGGAGGGACAGATGGTGTGTTGTCCCCAGGAGGCCCCGGGGGGCTCAGGTGCGGGAAGGTGGCTGCCTGCCCACGTGTCTAGCTCACGTACTCAGCACCCAGGTGCAGGAAGGGCAGGGGCTCCCACAGGGTGCAGGTCCGCCTCCCACTGAGCACACTCAAGAGGCCAGAAACGGCAAAGCCAAGCTCGGCAGCCTCCTGAGGCCCGGTGTCCCCACCCAGGAGGCCACCCCTGCCTCCTCTGCTAACTGGCGGCCCCCAGCTGCCAGCACAGCCCTTTCAGCCACCGGGGCCCTGCCTGGCCTGCAGCCCCACGTGGCACCCTGAAGGGTGGTGAGAGCAGAACAGGGCCCATGAAGGCCCAGGAGCCTCAGATCAGTCACCTCCAGCCTCAGAGGGTCCAGGAGGACCACCAGCATGAAGGCCCCACCCAGGTGGGGGTAGCAGGGCCCCCCAGCTGGGCGCACCTCAGCGTGCTGAGTGTCTCGTCATAGTTGATGTCCGCAGGGCTCAGGGCGGCCACCATGGCGGTCCTCGAGTTGCCACCTGCAGAAACAGCCCGGGGTGACCACAGAGGGCTCTCAGCCCAGTGGGGTCTGCTCACCTCCCCCCACGAGTCAGGCTACCCTATGGGCAGACAGTGGCAAGGACTGTCCTTCCCAAGGATCCCCCATTTCTCCTGCCAGGGCCACTCTGTGACCAGCAGCCTCCTCTTCACCACAGTGGAGGCGTAGGGCCTCTAGTCTTTAGGCTGAGGTGGAGGCGTGGGGTTGGATGCTTCCACACCCTGCAGGTGCCCTGGCTCCTCGTGCAATGAATGTCCTGTCAGGGGCAGCCACCTCAGCAGTCCTAACAAAATCACCCGCTGATCCCACCCCAGCCCTCAGGAGGGCTGCCTGTCAGTGTGCCGGGTCGGGATGGACGGTCTTGCCGGCTTGACCCCAGGGACTTGTGTCCACGGGCCATGTCCTGGAAGTGGTTCCCTAGGGAATTCCCACAGGGACTTGGAGGTGACAGCAAGAAGGGCCTGGGCAAAGTGCCATGTCAGGCCCCAAAAAGGGTGACATAGGGGATCTCCCCCTGCTCCACACTAGGGCTAACGCTGGCACGGCCCTGTGTCCCAGGTGAAAGGACAGCCGTTCCTAGGACACCTCTGCCCCCCGGTGGGGCCCACCTGCCCTCTTCTCCACGGGGCAGAGCTGCCTGACAGGGGTGCTGGCTCTAGCCCAGCTGGTCGTGGGGTGCAGAGCCAGGCCACCAGGGTCTGCATGTCCCGCACACAACTGGGGAGGCCAGGAGCCCCCGCTGTTCACCAGGTCGGCCTGAGACTCAGTTGACCTCCTGAGCACCACTTCTGCAGCTACACACAGCTGGGGGACCCTAGAGTCATTTCTGGGAGGGACAGGGTCAATGTCAGGCACACCCAATCTTCATCTCCCTGTGACTCTCACTGCTCGGGACGCAGATGGGGACAAGGGCAAATCTACAGCAGCCCCCAAATCCCAGCAAGCAAGTGGGGTTCTCCAGATCCTCCGTGTCCCACGTCCCTGTTACAGGTGGGGACCGAGAGTCACCGGCAGGAGCTGGGGGCCAGTGCTCTGTAGCCTCCTGGCTTCCTGGACTTGCCCTGGGTGCGCACTGCGGGTAGCCGCCTCACCTAGGCCTGCACAGTGCACTGTGGGCAGCCACCCCTCTGGGCCACTTCAGCCTTGGCCCAGACAGGGCAGGAGGCCTGGTGGCTGGACCTCCCAGGTGGGATGATGGCATGGCCCCTGGTAGGACATAGGGCCCTGGGGACAGGCCGACTGTCAGTCCTCACCCAGGTTCTCGCGGAGCAGCCAGGTCAGCACGGAGTCCCGGTAGGGGATAAAGTCTGTCTTCTTCTTCTTCTTGTTCTGTGGGGATATTCATGGTCAGCCCGGGCCCAGGAGGGCAGCAGAGGGAGGAGGGAGCACAGAGCCTGCCTTGTGGGCCCCAGAGCCACAGGCGGGGTGAGGGCAGGATAGGGTCAGCTAGCTGCCTGTCCCCAGGCCTCTCCAGCCCTGGGTGCCCCCTGCTGGCACCTCCACCCTGGGCTAGAATAAGGATGAGTTGGCAATCCTCAGGGCCTTCCTGGTGCGTCCCTGCTGCGTCTGGGCCACTTGGCTGGGCCCGAGCCCAGAAGTATGGGCATCACTGGCCACGGCGTCCCACGTTAGGACGGATCTGAGCCCATCCCCCTCCCTGAAGCCCACCAGCAACTCTGACCAAGGGAAAAGCCCCAGGTGGCCAAGACTATCTGAGCCTCGTGCCCTCCACCGCACCTTTGCCTCCACGTCCCCGCCACAGGACACCCTCTTCCCACCCAAGTCCCTCCTGTCCTCCAGAAGCCAGCTCATAGCCTCCTGTGCTAGACTGCCCTCCCCTCCCCTCAGCAGGAGCACCCCAAGTCTCTCCACTACTCTAAGGTAAAGACCATCACCCGGGTTCATGCCTGCCCCGGGCATGGCTGCTGGGAATTGTAGCTCAGGGGCACTGCCAGCCGGCTTGACTTCACTAACGGTGGTGTTGAGCTACTCTCCACATCTACCTGCTTTCCATGCCCTGGCTGGGAAGAGTTAGATGAGCACTGCTGTGGCCAGCAGACAGGCCCCGTCCCCTGGTGCCCACACCATGGAGGTGCACTTGGGTGCCATCCGAGGGCTGTGCCATTTCTCTGGACACATACCCCCGCCATGCTCCAGGATGACCCAGGAGGAACCCCACCAGCTCAAAGGACATAAACCTTAAGCAGGTTTGAGACCGAGAGCAGGTTCCTCACAATTCCAAACAGATCCTCAAACAGGTCCTCAAACAGATCCTCACAGATGCTCAGATCCTCACACAGATGCTCGCAGAGATCCTCACATAGACCCTCACACAGATCCTCACACAGATCTGCAAATAGATCCTCACACAGACCTTCATAGATCCTTTCACATATCCTCACACTGATCCTCACACAGATCCTCACAGAGATCCTCACAGGTCCTCAAACAGATCCTCACAGATGCTCAGATCCTCACACTGATCCTCACACAGATCCTCACCCAGATCCTCAGAGTTTCTTACAGTTCACACACAGGTCCTCATGGCTCCTCACAGATCCTCACACACTCTTTGCACAGTTCCTTGGTTTATCACGCGTAGTTTCACAGCTGCCCACAGCGCTCACCCGCCTCACCCCATTGCACACACACCCTTGCGCACTTCCTGCAGAGTTCCTCATGGACTTCCTTCCTGAATTCCTCACACCTTGCACACATGCCTCTCCCGTGTCCTCCCACCAGCAACCTCTGGCCACCTGTGCATCTCACTCTGTCCCCTCCGACTACAGGGCACAGGTGCTTACAACCTGCCTGGCAGGTCCTCCCATGGCTCAGGTCTCTGTTCCAGGCCACTTCCCTTAGGAAGCCTCCCTATCCCAGCCAACTGAAGACTGCCTCTCCTGTCGGCCACTCTCGCGGCCCTTCCTCCCTAGGGATCCATCCTGATTGATAGTGGCGTTTTCTCTTTGTTCGCTGCTGTTTACCACCGATCTCCCCACTGCACTGTGGGGCCAGAAGGCAGGGCTGCGCGCCTCTGTGCTGGGGGGACTGGTGCGTTTCCCCGCTGAGGGAAGAGGTGGGGGGTGGGCTGCCCAGCTGAGGTGTGCACAGGGGCTGGGCCAGTGCTCTGCCTCCAGCCTCCTGCCCTTGGGGTTGAAGGAAGCCGCTTACCTTGTTGGGCCCAGAGTCCTGAAAAGAGAGAGGACAGAAAGAGTCTGAGGACCTGGGCTGAGGCTGCGGCCCCAGAGCATGTGGAGAGGGGAGGACTGGTAGGCACAGAGGGCAGGAGAGCAGCAAGAGGCCTGAGCACCTGCCCGGTGGCCATCACCCTCCACCCACCAAGACTGGCCACCCTGAGCTGGAGTGACAACAGGTAAACTCCGGGTGTCACCAGGCAGCTGTCACCCAGCACTCTTCCCCACCCCCAGCCATTTCAGTTGGCTAGGTTCTCTAGACAGTGGTCCTTCTCTGTCCACAGCCTGCGTGTCTGGGTGAGGGTGGGTGCTGCTGGCTCTGCAGGGCCCATAGAGCCTGGCCCCTTGCCTCCCAGGCTGTGGCTCCTCCTTGGAGAGTGGCCTGGATGGGGCCAACAGCAGTGTGAGCTGACCCCTGCCCTCCCACGAGCATGCCATCCACATGCTCAGCACGGCCATGGTGGACTTCTCTCGGAAGGACCACGAGGAAAGCCGCACATCCCCGTCTTGCAGGCCCAGGGAGGAACAAGGGCCACTACTCCAAGTCCAGCCTTGCCCGTCTCTGGGCTGTCCCTTGGGCCACAGCCACCTCTCCAGACGTGGGAGTGAGAGCAACAGCCCATGTCCTCTCGGCATCAGAGGGAGGGGCCTCCACAGTACCTCCCACCAGTCCAGCCCTGAAGCCGGGGCCAGCTCACCATTTCAGCCAGGGCAGAGATGACCTTCCCCAGGGTGGTCAGGGACTTGTTGATGTTGGCTCCCTCCTGTGGGTGGAAAGTGGTCCAGGTGGGCTCCAGGGCCTGGCCTGGAAGGTGCGGCAGAGGCACCACTCTGCCTGCCGACCCCAGGGGCCACTAGGGTGTGGCCAGCATTTCTTCTCAGTGCCCCTGTCCTCACCAGGTTCCACTTCCAGGGCTGTTCCCAACTATCAAGTCATGGCGGGGACCAAAGGGGGCCCTCTGGAAACCCAACCCGCTCCTTCTTGACACTAAGACTGTCTTCACAGGAGGCCAGTGCACAGCCCGTGCTCCTCAGGGTTGGTGTGAGGACAGGGGGACCGTGGAGAAGTACGGCTTCCAGCCGGAGCCTGTCCTCACTCAAGCAAGGCAGCAGCAATGGTCTTCTGGCCACTGGAGGCCAAAGGCTCTGGCCTGGGACCCCACTCCCTGCCCGGGCTGTGGCCCCGCGCCTCCAGCCCCAGCCAGACCCTCCTGCCCAGCTCTCCCTGGACACCGGACCCCACTGGCTGAGCCCCGTGGCACAGCAGCCTGGCCCTACCTTGAGGCGCGTGCCCTTGGCCCCCGTGGAGTCCGCCCGCTCACTGCCGGCCAGGTCCACCAGGCTGATTTTGCTCACCTGCAACGGCAGATGCGTCAGCTTCTCCCACAGAGCATCCATAGTGGTGGCCAGCCCACCCCAGGGAGGCCCAGCTGCTCTTAAGCCACACCAAAGGCAGGCCCACTGGCTGTCTAACAGGCCTGGACACAGAGGGACCCTCAGGGCCCTGACCAGTGACGGAGGAGCCAGCGGCCGTCTGCCTGGGCTCTGACCATGCCCTCCTTCTGGTCCCAGCCCCCCTCGGCCTCCCTGAGCTTCCTCTTACTACCTCAAGGGGTCAACTGGAGGTGGCCCTGAGGTGACCCCCCCAGCACCTCCAGGGACTGAGACACACTTCATACAGGCCCTCAGCAGACCTGAGCCGCCGGGGAAACCCCTCTGAGGAGACTGGAGGAGGCCTGGGCGGGGCTCAGGGGTGGGGCACAGTCAGAGGCAGGCAGGGAGAGGCCCAGGCCTGCCCACTCCCCCTCCAGGAGCCCCTGGGATACAGGGCCAGGAGAGGGTGCCCACCGGTCCACCAAGAACTTCAAGTGTGTGGGAGGGGCACATGGGACAGGGGCAGTGGGCAGGGTGTGCCCTCAGGCAGGGCGTCCCTAGCTGAAGATGCTGGTGCCCGACCGAGGCCCTGCTCCTGGTAAGGGCCCGGCTCCCAGTGAAGGCAGAGGACGCAGCCCTGCCCGCCTGCACCAGAACCCACGGGCATCTCCGACTACTAACTGGCCCTGCCACCCCACCTCTGCTGCCACTTCTGGGGGTACCAGGCATGCCGCCTCACCTCTGTCCTTGGTGCTGCCTGGGACATCCCCACAGACCCCACCAAAACTGCCCAGCAGCAGGAGGTGGAGGGAGGAGGACCCGGTCCCTGAACCCCGATCCCCTCCACACCCAGGCCGCCCCACATTCTGAGATGAGGTGGCCTCCCAGACTGGCCAGCACCCCACTGGAACCAACACCAGGTGGCAGACGGGCAGCACCTGCTCCTGGCAGAGGGCGGTGCCCACATCTCACAGGCCAGTGTGTGGTTGGGGTCCTTGTGCTGCCACTGCTCTTGGTGGCGCCGCCTGCCTGGGCCCCCACTCACCTTCTCAGTGGTTATGTCGGTCTCTGCATCATGGCGCTTCTGGGTGAAGATGATGTTGAAGACGGCGTGAGAGCGGCTGCTGGTTTCGTTCATGTTGGTGGCTGCCACCGTCCTGGGAGCAGGAAGCCACACAAGATCACCCTTGTCCCATGTCAGGCCACCCCATGGTAGGAGCAGGCTACAGGGCTGCTCGGGCCAGGCAGGGGTGACCATGCCTCCTGCCAGCCTCCTGCTCAGCCTTCCCACTGCCCACCATGGGGGTCCTTGTCCCTCATGGGGATGCCATGACCGAGGGGTGCTCCCTGCTCCCAGGGGCTCAGGAACCCCAGCAGGGCAGAGGTCCTTGAGGGCCCTGGTGTGAGAAAGCCCCTTGGAAGAGAAAGAGTATGTCCACCACATCCCACCCTCCTGCCCACGCCATCCTCTCCAGAGAGCCCAGTAGCCCACCCTATGCCCAGGAGATGCCAGGGCCAGCAGGGCGACCTTCCAGAGGAGAGAGCCCAAGCCTGCCAGAGAGGGCCGGGGTTTGGTTCCCATACTGCCCCAACCTGCCAGGGACCTCAGAGAATGTCCCCAGACTCAGTCACCAGGTGCCAAGAGGCTGCCTGGGGAATGGTGGAGAGAGGGCTCAGGATGGGTCAGCCCCACCCAGAGGCGGCCGACTAGGCAATGGCCTCGAGGGGAGTCTCTGTGGCAGAGAGGGACAGTGGTCACAGAACACAGAGTGTCCAGGAGGAAGCCAGGGCAGGGCAGCTCTCACAGTCTCAGAACCCCTGGGCTATCAGAGCACTGCCCTCGGGGACCAAGACTGGCCCTACTGGAGGGGCCAGCACCCCACAGAGAACACAAAGCCCTCAGCTGGAGGGCACAAGGTCACATTGCCCACTCCCAGAGAGAAGCAGCCCTCACGTAGGTGACAGTGTCCCCTGAACCAGGGGGTCTGGGTCTCTCCCAGGCTGGCACATGCCCTTGATGGCCCCAGACTCATGAGGAAATCAGGGCCACCAGGCAGACCCCAACAGGGACCCTCGGGCGCCAAGAGCTGGGCAGAGGGGAAGGTGGTCCTCCTCGGGGACTAACAGTGTCAGGCATGGCGAGGGTGGAGGGCAAGGAGCATCCCCCACCTGGCCTTGTTCCCTGAGTCCATGAGGTCCTGGATGTCATTGTAGGAGGTGACAGCCAGCTTGGAGAGGTCCTCCACATAGGGCCCCAGCAGCGGATGCTCCCTCACGCGCAGGTTGCCCTTGTTCTTGGGGTTCAGGAGGTCACGGACACGCTCACAGTAAATCTCCATGTAGCTGACCTGCAGGACAGCCACACCATCAGGGGCCAGGCAGCCCCCAGACACCCGTCCCAGCACGGGGCCGAGTAGCCACTCACTCAACAGCTGTGCTCCACACGTCTCCAAGACCGCACAGGGGAGCCGGCGGGGCGGCCCCGGGGACAAGACCGCACAGGGGAGCCGGCGGGGCGGCCCCGGGGACAAGACCGCACAGGGGAGCCGGCGGGGCGGCCCCGGGGACAAGCAATGACAAGCTGAGGGCACAGACCAGTGGCAAAGCACTGCCCTGGGAACGGCACCTGGGACCCCACTGCCTTAGGGACAGGACCTGGGACTCCATTGCCTTAGGGGTGGCTTCTGGGACCCCACTGTCCCCTGCAGGTGTCCAGCAGGGAGCCCTACCTCCACGGAGTAGGACATGTTGTCATTAGTTGTGTCGTTGATTCGGGAGAAGAGGTCTTCACAGAGCTGTAAGGACAGAGGGAGAGTCAGCTCGGAGGACTGATGGCCCCCGGAACCCCATCCCCCATGGCCAAGGGGACACTGCTCTGCCAGGCCCTCCTGTCACAACGCACATCCCAATGTGAAGGCACCAAAAAAAGCCTGCAGCCCAGGGGCTGGTGTCCTCTGGTTCCAGGTCCCCTGGTGAGACCTGATCCTCTCAGAGGGACTTCTGCTTGTCACCCCGACCCCGAGGGCATGAGGCGGGAGCTGCCACCCACGGGGGTTCCCACCGTCTTTCTCCCCGACAGGTCAGATCCTGCCGGGGGCGTGGCACTGGACGGGGGGAGACCAGAGCTCTGGTGGCATCTGAGGAGCCATCTGTGTCTCGTGTCTGGTCACCCCTCGCTCTGGACGCCTGTGCACAGCCAGCTCCCAGCCCACCCCAGCCAGCAGCTTCAGCCGTCCCCTCCTGGTGCGTCCCCACCTGGTGCGTGCCTCCTGGTCGTCCCTCCGCCTGCCTCCTGCCCTGCCCCACTGACCGCCCAGTCTGCCTTCCCACCGGCTCCCTCCTCCTGGCCAGCGGCCACCTGCCTGTGGGATGATACCCTGCTGGCCCTTCTCCTGCTTGCCCATCATGGTGTAGGACTTCCCCGCCCCTGTCTGTCCATAGGCGAAGATGCACACGTTGTAGCCCTCGAAGGCGTGCTGCAGCATCTCCTCGCCGATGTCCCGGTACACCTGCTTCTGCGAGGCGTAGTTGATGTCCTCGGGCTGGGGAGGAAGGGGCAGTTCCTGAGGATGGCCACCGTGTCCAGGGACAGTGCAGGAGGAGGGACGCCTGCCCTGGGGAGGGGCCTCTGCATCCCAGGTGAGAGCTGAGAGCCAGTGGGGGTGCCTTTGCGGGAAGCAGCACAGGCCCAGCTCAGAGGCACCCACCAGGGGAGCAGGTGGGGTCCTCGCCCCACTCAGAGGGAGCATGCCACTTCAAGAGGTGGAGGGAATCCCGGGGGCCACACTGCGAGCTGGCCAGAGCCAGGGTCCACACCACCACACACTGGCCCAGCCCTGGCTCACCGAGGTGTGGGACCAGTAGGAGTAGTCGAAACTGAAGCTCTTGGGCGTCTCCTTGGGCTGCTTGGGGTTCACGATGGCTGCAGAGAGGGGACACAGGGAAGGTGGTCAGGGTGGCACCGAGAGGGACACGGACAGGAATTCTGTGCCCCAAAGGTGGGAGCAGTTTCCAAGGAAGCCAAGCTCCCAAACTGGGAACAGGTCCCCTTCCAGGCAGCGAGTCCCCCCTGCCCCCTCCGTGGTAGACCCTGCCTCCCACAGATGCCTGAAGGTCCCACAGGACCCTCCTGCAGATGCTCACAGGCCCCTGTGGACCTCCAGCCAGAGGTGGCCCACAGCGCTCCTGCCAGCAGACAGGTGACACCACAAGCCACAGCCCACCCCATCTGGGGTCCAGGGCCTGCTTGCCACCCCCACGCTGGTCTCTATGTCCTGCTTGGCAGCCGTGCCCTAGAAGCACCCAGAAGCCTGGGCACCCTGTGGCTCACTGGGCATTTTGGCTGCGGCATGCTGGCTTCCCCTGCTGCGGGCACCTGGGGTTCTCCTCCCCTGTCAGCCTTCTCGGCCGGCAGTAGGGCCAGAGCATGGTCAGTCCTCTGCACACCACCCACCACCGGCACCAAGCCTCGACCCCCCCCCCCCACGAGCTCCAAGCCCAGCTCCAGACACCCGCGGTTGTGTTCCAAAATGGGCTCCTTCAAACCAGGGGCAGGCCAGGAGCTGGCCTCGATGCCCCGCACCGGGGCCTACAGGGGTCCCGGAGCTCCCCTGGAGCCCAGCACGCCTCCCTCTGACTCCCACCCAGGGGCTGTCTCAGCCAACAGGCCCGTGTCCCCTGAGCCAGGACAGAGAGGACTTGGTCCCCAGCCCCCAGGCCACTGTACCCACTGCGCTCTGGTCCATCAGAACCCAGATAACTTTGTTGATAGAGAGCTGTTGCAGCCCCCAGGCCAGAGACAGACCGCACCCTGGGTTCTCACATCCACGAGGAGCCTAGACCCCTAGGCCCTGGGGGACCATGGCCATCACATCATCTAGTCTGATGAGGGAAGTCCCTCCTGAGTCTGCCCCAAGGCCTGAGATGAAGGCCAGGTTTGTCCTCCCAGCACTGGTTTCCCTGGCCTGACTGGACACCGCATGGCCTCCAGGACACCTGCCGTAACCCAGGGTGACAGGATCAAGAACAAAAGCCCTCCCCAAGAGCAAGGAGTTGTGTCCTCCTCAGTTCATGTCCACCCAAAGCCACGATTTCACGTCCTATGGCCCAGCAGCTCAATGTGACCTTATTTGGAGACAGGGCCAGTGCAGGTGTGATTGGTTAAGATGAGGTCACTGGGCGGGGGCAGGGGCAATCCCATGGAACTGTGACCTTAGAAAGGGGACATTTGGAGACAGACACACACGAGGAGGGTGTCTGTGAAGACACAGGTGGCAGGCAGGGGGACAAAGATGAAGGCCATGGTCAGGGACGGCCATGGAGCACCAAAGTCACTGCAGCAGACCCCCCTCCCATCCTCAGGCCCCAGCAGGAGGGTAGGGGTGAGACCATGACGGCCCTGTCCTTGGGGCTGTGGGGGCCCTGTCCAGCTGCCTCCAGGAGCAGCCGCAGGAGGGAGAGAGAGGAGGGCCTTCAGGGCGAGGCCCACACCAGGTGACCACCAGAGGGAACAGGGACGGTGTAGCGACTTCACGGAGCGACTCCTGGAGTCTGAATGTCCCTGCAGCCAGCCAGCGAGGGGGCACCAGGTGGCCTCTCACCGGAGCCCGCCAGGACCTGCCTGGTCCCCCGCTCACTCATGAGGCCCATCCCAGTGGACGCACCTGGGGGGAGCAGGTTGGGAAGAGGTGAGGAGGGTGGAGCCGTGTCGGGGATTGGCAGGCTCATGGGGCCACAGCAGCCACGCACCTCGCTGTCCCACCCTGGTCTCCAGAACTGGGAGGACACGGGCCGGGCATCTGGAGCCGCTCAGCTGGAGGCCCTCTATGGAGACCCAGGCAACGCACATGGGCACCACCTCCCCGTGGCATGGAGGCGCTACCCCCTTCCCCAGCACCAGAGGGGGTGACCTGGGGTGGAGAGTCCTGTCCCAGCCCAGATCACCCCCACCCTGGGCCCAGGGTCCCGGTCTACACAGCTGAGACAGGACAAGGGGCCGTGCCCTGGAACTTCCTCAGTGACTGAAGGACTCAGAAACAACCCGGAAGTGGAGTGTGGGGGTATCCAGCAGCACCGTCTCCACTGGCAGGGACACAGAGGCCCAAAGGGGTGCAGGTGCAGTCCCAGCAAGCTGGCTGAGAGCACAGCCGGGCGTCACTCCTGGGCCCTGCTTCCTGGACCCACCTGGCATTAGCTTCAGCCCAGGATGGTCAGAGCCTCTGAGGTGCCCGAGGGGCCATCACAGGCCAGCCAAGGGCCTGCAAAGGGGCTCACTGGTCACTTCTCCTGCTCTGACCCAAAGAGAGATGGAAGTTTTCTGGGGCTTCAAAGCCTGCCCCCTTGCAAACGAGGACGTGGCCACAAGGAGGAACCCGGCTCCGCGTGGCCGGGCCAAGCTCTGCAGCCAGGGATGGAGGCGCAGGCTGCCCTGATCCTGCTGGCTCAAAGCTGGGTCACAGGACACTCCAGTAAGAGCATCATTTACCCCAGTGATGACCTCACACAACGGGACCTCGAGTGTCCCTGCACCCTCCCCCATGACGCCCAAATGCTCACTCCTGGAGGCCGAGGCCACCACCCCAGCCAGGTGGCCATTCCAGGTCGAAGAGCCCCTCCCTGGGGCGGCCCCTGTGGGCGAAAGGCCCTGCCATACTCCACCTCGAGGATGAGGAGGTGTAGTATGGAACCAGTGCTGGGTACCGTTGGGCCCACTCAGCCAGTCCCCAGCCACCTGCCAAGCCCAGCCAGCCCCAGAACTGAAGTGACGCCTGCTCACACAGGACCAGGGGTGGAGGGCCCAGGGCCAGCCCTGCCCATGGTGTGAGAGGCTGCCTGCCCAGGGCGGGAGGCCAGAGGGGCCAGGCATGGAGGGCAGCTGGTGCTGGCCAGAGCTCGCCACCCCTGTGCTGCGGTCATACAAACTGAGTGAGCTGAACACCTGGGTCTGCCGTCTCCGGGTCCACTGCACCGTGTCCACGGCACCTCACTAAACAGCCTTCTAGTGGAAGACAAAGCAGCTCCCGCCAGCCTGGCTTCCGCCCCCAGCAGCCTGGCCTGCGCAGGACCTCCGGGCAGTCCTGGCCTCTGGCCTTCCGGAACCTCCCTCCTCTACCTTGCTGTTTCCTAACCCCGTGTCGAGGCCAGCCTCCTGCTGGCCAGAGGCTGAGAGGCTGGAGAAACCTGGAAACCTGGGCAGTGGCTGTCCTGAGCTAAGGAGTGCCCCAACGCTGCCCCCAGGACCCTCGAGCGTGAACTTATCTGGAAACAGGGTCTTTGGAGGAGAGGTGATTATTTTCTAAAACATGGTCATCCTGGGTTAAGGTGGCCCTAAATCCTGTGATTAGTGTCCCTATAAAAGGTCACATGGGAACACAGGCATGCCAGGGAGAAGGCCGGGTGACAACGAGGAGAGATGGGACCTGAGCTGGAGGCTGGAAGAGGCAGGTGCCAACCCAGAGGGAGGGCGGCCTGTCCACACCTGGCTCAGGCTCGGGAGCCGTGGGCGGCAGCCGGCTGCTGTGGGCCTCAGTGTGTGGTCGGCCCCAGCAACTGCAGGACACTGTGACCAGGAGCTTGTGGCTCCAGGAGGGCCGGGCTGGCCGAGGGGCCTGACCCAGAGACACAAGGTGCCTGGGGACCAGTGACGTCCCTAGTACTCACTGGTGGTGCTTCCTGACATCTGGATGATGCACTTGGAGTCACGGCTCATCTCTCGGGAATTGAAGGGGCGGACTCGCACCGCCACCTTCACCGAGGCCCCAGCCATCTCTGCGGCCTTTGTCGGTCACTCCTAGTGGTGGCAGGAGCCCCGGCAAGGGTGGGAGATACCTTGGGGAAAAGGAAAATGCAAATTAGAAACAATATCCAAAGACCCAAGATCAGGGTGCTGCTGGAACCCACAGAAGTCTCCACTCCCTTCCAACCCCAGCAGGACGTGCAGCAGCGGCCGACAGGGAGAAAGCGTACAGCACAGGGGCGTGGGGGTGTGGAGCCGGGAGAAGCTCCATCCCAGGACAAGAAGCAGGAAGCACCTGGCCTGAAGGTGACCCTCAAGCCATGGCGGGGTCCTGGGGATCCTGGGGAAGGGTCCCCTAAGGATGCAGCCCCGGGTGGGGGCTGCACAAGCCCAAGATCCAAGTCAAGGGCGTCTGACTGCAGCCTCCACCCTGGGCCCGGGTTGGTAGCCACAGCCAGTCACAGTGTGGTCTCTGCATTAGCAGGACCAAGCACTTAAAGCACTTAACTCAGCACTCAAAAGAACCACAGGGCCCTAAACAAGGCGCAGAAGCCTCCCTTTAGCACCATTTCCTGCTGCCCGTGACCCTCTCAGGAGGAATGAAGGATAACCCTGAAGCTGCGCCCAAGTCACACTGAACAGCAGGCAGCAGACTGGGAACCCCCAAGTCACGGGCAGTTCATGCAACCTGCGGGGCCCCGCTGTGTGACAGTCCCCTGGGCCACAGGGTGGAGGTCCATGGCCCCAAAGCAACTCTGCCCCTCAGGTCCCAGAACTGGAAACTCCTGCGGAACAGGGAGGTCAGCCGATGGAAAGCGCTCTCCAGGGCTGCGGGCAGGTCCTTGGCTGTCCCACCCAGGGTCCTGGGTCAGGACGGTGCTCCCAGGGACAGGGAGAGGGATGGGTTCTGGCAGAGCAACAGTCACAGCAACTGAACTCCTGTGGAAGGGCAAGGGGTCCCTCTTGGGGGCCAGAGCCCCGGGAAGCAGAGTTCCTTCAGCAGGACAGGAAGAGGGCTTCTCAGGGCTGTCACCCACTGCCATGGACACCGGCTTGGCTGCCTGCTGACAGTGAGCCCCCAACAGTAGAGGCTAGAGCAATGGCTAAGGGTGGGCTCCTTAAATCCCCCCCAGAGAGTCCCCCAGGCCCCCCTTCTGAAAAGGCCATCTTCTGTCTTGTCCCCCTGCCCACTCCTCTCACCCCAGGACAATCTGGCACAAAGGTGCCCTTCCCGGACTGTTGCAGACTCTTATCTGGATTGAGGGGCAGTCCCTCTGAGCTGCCCTCTGGGGACCCAGGATCAGGAAGGAGGACCATCTCTGCAGACAGAGAAGGGAGCACAGGCAGGCCAGAGGCAGGCTGTCCTCCCCAACCAGCCCAACAGTGCACGCTGGCCAGCCTGAGCCACCACCCCCACACAGTCCTGCAGCCTCAGGGCACAGCCTGACTGCACTCTGTGGTGGGTCCCTTACTGTGTGTCCTCTTGAATCTACAAGTGACCACCCAGGAGTAGACAAAAGGGTGCACTTCTCTGAGGACCTGTGTTTGATAATGTTGGCAAGTTCCTGTGCCTGTGAGGCCAAGAGACTGTGAGCGAGAGGCTGCTGTGAGCGAGATTCTGAGCAGCAGGTAGCAGCACTCCTGTGTCCCTCAAAAGGCTCTCCCCTGTGACCAGGTAATCCCAAGGGCTGAGACAGCGACAGCTGGAAACGGAGAAGCATCGAGAAGCAGGGGTCCAATTCAACACTGCAAAGTGTTCAGTCCTCCCCAGTTTAGCTACACCAACTGTTTTAGTCAGAACAACTTCAGGGAAGAAGGTCTATGGGAGGGCTCACGGTTTCGGAGGTCTTAGTCCTAGAAGGCCGGTCCATTCCTTGGGGCTTGAGGTGAGGCTGAACATCACGGCGGAGGGTGGCAGGGGGAAGCAGCTCACATCATGGTGACCAAGAAGCAGAACCTCACTCCCCACGTACAGATACATACCCACAGCCACGTCCCATGCCCACCTCCCCCAGCCGCACCGACACCCACGCCACTTCAGTCGCCACGCAGTTAGTCCCACCAGGGGACTGATCACAGATTGGTCTCCTCTGGACCGTCTTGCACTGTCTCTCATGTGAGCTTTGGGGACACCTCACCTCCAAACCATAACACCACTCAGTGTGATCCCCATAATCAGAATATCCCAGCAGGATGTTCAATGAAATGTGGTAAGAGAAGAGATTTTTTAAAAATAAGAAGAAAAAAGGCAGAAATCCCTCCCAGCCACCCTGGAGGCTATGAAGCCATTGTAAGTCCCAGAGCCTTGAAATGACAGCCACAGGAGCTCAGGGGGAGATGAGTCAGCCCCACCCAGCACCCCAGTGCTGCCTCCCAGAGCACCGGGTAAGATCAGCCTTGGGACAACTGGCTGTCCACACTGAGCAACGGAGCGAGAACTTCCTCTCCGGGAGCACCACATGAACACTCTGAGCTGCAGACTCCCATCTGGGGCGAAAATCCGCATGACCAGGAAGACTGCAGAGTGCAGGTGGCCACCCCAGGCTGCCCACACGGCACTGGGGAAGCCGTGAGTGTTAAAGCGCTACAGAAGCAGAGGGGCGGAAGGCCAAGATCCCAGAGCAGGGCTGCCGGACAGCAGCCTCATCCCACACACTATGGCAGCACATTTGCATTCCAGGCACAGCACGGGGCTGGGCGGGGCTGGGCGTCTGGAGTCTTCTCAGGCAGAGAGTGGTTGCCCAGGGACAGAGAAACCTGCAGAGCTCATGGTGAGAGAAACAGGCTCCAGAGGCCAAGATCCCAGGGAAAGAGTCGGAGACTAAAACACCAGTTCCTCCCTTAAGACAGTTGCCAAATTCTGAATGAGGTATAAGAGGTGGGATTTTTTTTTTTAATACTGAAGATTGAAATCAAGGGTGCTTTACCACTAAGGTACATCCTCCGTACTTCAGACTTTTGAGACAGGGTCTCCCCAAGTTGCTAAGGGTCACTAAGTTACTCAGGTGGACCTCCCACTTGCAGTCCTCCTGCCTCAGCCTCCCAAACTGCTGGGATTACAGGCTTGTGCCACTGAACACAGCAAGTGGGATCGAACTTTAAAAGTCTAAGCAGAAAATCTCTGAAAATCAAGAGAAAACTTCAGGGCCAGGTGCTGTTAGGGAAAAAGACCTGAGTTCAAGGTCCTCCGGGAGGAGAACCCCAGAAGTCACAGTGGGACCTGATTTTTGAGGCCTCAGGGAGCGCCGTATTTTAGCAGGTGATGTAATACATATCAAAGTATAAAGGCATGAAGAGACAGGACCACATGATCAAAAACAAAGAGGAAAATAAAATAAAAACACAAAGACCAAACAAAAGAAATGTACCTCTGCAGGATTCAGACCTGGGAGTGATCAAACAGGTCTTAAAAATAATCATGATCAGTATGTTCAACATGTAAGAGAAAAAGAGGAAGTAAGTGGAAAATGGAGAATTTTCCCAGAGGAATGGAAATTATGAAGAATCAAATGAAAATTTTAGAATTAAAAAATGTGATAACTGGAATTAAGAACTCAAGAGATTAGATACAACTGAAGGCAGTGTTAACAAATGGGAAGACAGGCAATAGAAAATGAAAAAAGAGAAAAAAGATGGAAAATATAGACGTGAGGTCCCAGTGACATGGCCTAACACCACGTAAGTGGAACCCAAGAGAAAGCCGTGGAATGGGGGTGCCCAGTCTGAGCATTTGTGTCCCTCCAATTCATACGTTGGAATCCAAACCTCCAAAGTGGTGGTACTGGGAGAAGCGGAAAGTCCGCAGTCCATTCTCAGAATACAGTGTTTCACCTTAATTGGGATGTAAGATCCAACAGAAGCTATTTTAACTATAGCCCTTCCCTTCCCCTGCTCCTTTTATAAAACCAGCGCATTGTGAACACTGTAACCGCGAGCTCCTCCCATCAGAGCAAGGGCAGTGCTGCACTAGGAGCCAAAGCAGGAGGGAGGCCTGCCCAGGGGCGCTTGCCAGCCAGGACGGACACACGCCCTTCTGCAGAGGAAACCTTTGCCTTGCTGAGGGCTTCTGAGCATGTGTCTGATTCCCTGGGGCACCCCGGTATTTCTAACAGAACTGGAAGGTGGAGGTGATTAGGTCAGGGGTGCTCATGAATGGACCAGTGCCCTTGCAAGATGTTCCAGAAGGACCCCCTGCCCTTCCACTAAGAAGACACAGCAGCAAGGCGCCATCTATGAGCCAGATGCTGAGCCTGCCTTGGCGGTAGACTGCCCACCTCTAGAACTGTGAGAAATCAATCCCTGTTTTTTAAAAGCCTCCAAGTCCATGGCATTTTGGTTTTTAGCAGCAGCCTGAATGATGGCAAAGTGGTATTTTAAGAGAATAATCATGAATTGTGAAAAGCTACTGGAGCTTGTCAATCCATAAATTCAAATCTGCAAATGCAAAGCAGAGTACACAAAGGCTACATGGATCGGGGCAGTGGTAAGGGCAGAAGACAAAGAGGAAAATCTAACTCCAGCCAGAGATAAAAAGCATGACACTTTTAAAGGCCAAAAGTAAGACTGACAAGTGACTTCTCAGCAGAAATGAGAGTCAAAAGACAAGTTTGCAGTCTCTCCACTACCACGCAACGGTCAGTGACCATTTAGACCAGATGGACAGGAACGTGTGGTGATTACGGGCAGTCATTAAGAGAACAGGAAAGTACTCTGCAACTGCAAATAACACAAAGAAAAATACAGAAGTCTTAAAATATCTTTTATCAATACAATTGTAAAAAAAAAAAGAGGAAAAACAGAATACAAAAGGATAGATTGAATGGATAAGAAAGAACTCAGATTCTAGAAGACAGCCCAGCTCTGTTAATACAGACTAAGATTCAAGTAAGCATTACAATGGTCAGACCAGCTTTTGTTGGGTTCTTTCAAAGGTTTTACTTTATTATTTTTCAATTAAATTTATGTTTTACTTTATTATTTTTCAATTAAATCTATTTTAACTAACACATAAAAACTGTTCACATTAATGGGGATAACATGATGTTTCAGTTCATTGTAATGTATTTAAGAGAATAATCAGGACAAACTTCTC